CTTCTGGCCTCTCACTTCTCATTTGATCTACAGATTCTGACACTTGCCATGCTCTGTCATCCTTGAAGACATTCCGCTCTGACCGCACTAGGCCCTGCGCTGTTTAGACAGTGTTCAGGTCTGCCACTTTTACTCTGTACTGGCAGCACTGAGGACGCGCGCCCTGGGACTCTATGCGGATGCTCCGAAATGGTGTGTGTGTAGGATGTGAGGTCAATCCGGTTTTACTATCCAGGGCAGCATGCGGCTTTCAGTCAGACAGCAGAAGCGATGCGCTCTTTACATAATTTGTTGCTTGTTGCACGCAAGTCCCACCCGTGCAGCCTGCACAGTGCAGGCGGAACAGCAACAAGCAATGCCTCTGGACCCCGGTGCAGAGCCTGATTTGGATTGCCGTCTTTTTTATGATCTGTAACAGAAAGGCTTGGATGGATCATCCATTGCCTGGGTGGATAATGCACTGAGCAGTTGCATGCCAGTTGTAGGGAATAGCAGGGGTGCTTGAATAGACCAAGGCAACTCTTGAATGGCACAGTGAGCGTCACTGGTCAGACGTGGGAACTGGGAGAATTCCTTACCACTTCTGCCTGCCTGCGGGCAATAAGCTTGTAGATGGAGCGCTTGTAAAGAATCGCTGCGATGATTGGATGGGCCGGGCTAAGAACATGCGTAGGCTGAAATGAACAAATCTTCCTTTGCTTGCCAGTGACTGACAGTGTCAATTTCATTTGCAGACTACAGTTGAGCTGCTGCTGTGCACATCTGCTTGAACATGCAATTAGTATTATTATTACAGTGTCGGCAAACCCAAAGCCCGAAGGCCATAGCAATACCGTGCACTGTTGCTGATGACCTTTTGAAGGCCAAATTTGCTAAAAATTCTTAAGCCATTCTGTGCTGGGAAACACCGTACGGTGCTTCCACGCGTGCTACGGTGCATGTGCCCACGCCCGCACAGCTCCGGTTAATATTATAGTGCCGCAGCTTTCTTGGAGGAGTGATCCTTCCAGACTTTCTGATGTTGCTGGTGCCCTTCATTTAGCAAGAGTTACTCAGATGGTCTGCCACAGATTCTATGATCATGACCAGGTGTCGCGTCATTCCTCCCATGCAATGGACAACGTTACTGCCCACGTGCACGTCAATGATGACTGTGTCCCTCAATCTCATGCACCCATTCGGCAGTTGTCAGTCTGAAGAATTGCCTTTCTTGATCGCAGCTCAATTTTCAGACCCGATGCCGGAACAGCTCACACACCTATGTAGCGGCAACGGCAGCCGACTTTTCGTGTCCAATATTGATGACGCATCCGTGACCGTCTGCACAAGCGCACGGTCGCTATCGATTGCTGTACTGATGCGTCTGTGTATTGATGGAGTTGGAGGAGCTGTCTTGCAAGCGGCGTCTTCATTTGAAGACTGTCGAGGCCTGCACTCGGCTCTGGAGGTCCTCAAGCGAGCTCGCCTGAGCCTTTACAACTCAAAAGGCCTGGTAAGGACGGGCAGCGTGCATCATATTGACCCCTGTCACTGTTGCTGGTATGCACCTGCACGCAAAGGAGATGCTTTGATGGCTCCCATATTCTTGCTTGTAGGCAGTGACAGGGGATGACAATACAGAGCAAAAGGGTGGCACCAGCATCAGAACTCACTGAGAAGGCTGCTGCCACAGGCCTGCAGGTCATTCGTGACAAGAATGCCCATCATTCAAGCAGGAACGGCAGCATGGAGTCAATTGCTAATTAGTCCCGCATGCTGAAGGCGTCTCAATTGAGACCACAATGCAGGTGTGGCATTTCATGGCGTGGCATGTCTTACATATTGAAACGTGCTTAAAATCACAGTCAGAAATGGTCCAGAGGTGCCAGCAACCAGGTTCTGGCCAGTGCAGCCATTCAGCATTTTCAAGGAGCTGCAGAAAGTCAACCATCAACTTCAGCTGCAAAATGTCATGCAGCTGTTAACATCAGATGCTTCCATGCCCACCAGGGTAAGAAGCTGTGTTCCAAGAAGGCAGGGTTACTACTGTGCGTGTTAGGTAGTCGCTTATTGATCCTTTGGGGATGCCTGGTGTCAGAGTGACAATGATGATCAATTCTTCTTAGCGGAGCTCAGAATTTTGCTGTTGATAGAACATGGCTGAGTCACCAAGGCGATTGGCACCCCTGAAGCATGCGACAAAGCAGTCTCTCGGCTTCTCTAGAGAGACTGGACGGTATGCAGACTCCTAGGGAACATGGTTCTAGCGAGAACAATATGAAAGATGTGTGCCTTTGTGCATGAGGCATGCAGGACATGTAGCGCTCAGCGTGTAGGCTTCTGGGCATTGTGGATTGGATGGTCTGCGGCCAACATGTTCTGTGGCCAGGGCTGAGCAACCCCCTGGGTGCGAACATCCATGTCACTCTCGGGTTCATGGCTTTCGAGTTACTGTAAATTGTTTGTCTTCTGGAGTTCAGACAAGTTCTGCCTGCCTGGACACCGATACATGTTGGGTAGGCGAGCAGTGTCTGGTTGACTACTGGTGGTACCTATTTTGAATGAGCGCCAGTGAGCCAGCGCTGGCCTTTTAGAAATGTTGGGCCCTGTGGAGTGAGAAGGCATTGTTGTGGGAATATATGGGCCATGGTGACGATGATGACTTACAAAGTCCCAAGGCTTGGAGGTGGTGGGCAACATTCAGTGAAAACATTAATGATGACAACATCAAGTCTGAGTCACCTGGAGGGACAGCACTTACGAGACATGCCAGGAAGCAAGCTACCGTGATAGAACCGCACCGGATAGGTTTGCATGCATCATACCTTTTGCCACAATCACTGCATCAGCATCTTTCTGACCTTTTGCTTGGTGATTGCAGAGCTTGTGGCCGGGCTTCATTGAGCGGTGAGCCCTGAAGGTGTGTGGCTGTCCTTTTCAGCAAGCCCCTGCTTGCTGATCATGAAGTGCTTTCAAAACGGTGACTGCTTGAACACCAAGGGCACCGTATCAGCCGCATTTGCTCAATGCATGACCTGTGACTGAGCGCTGCGCTCAAGCATGTGTGTTGACTCTGATATGTTGTTCCAACAGAGCTACTCAGAGGCCCACTGCTGGGCAGCGGCAATCCTTTGCACATAGCATGATCTGGAAGGGGGCAACCTTCGAGAGTGGCATAGGTCATGCTGTCTCTATCGAGGGTTCGCTGCAATGTGCAGGAAGCGTGAGGGCCACTCCACACGCTTTCATCCCAGGCACAAACATCACCACACACTGTGTCAGCTGCGTCCCCATATGCATTTCTAACTAAATGCATGTCAGGAACGCAGCATGCACATGATCAATAACATCATCCAGAAGATTACATGGCAGAAGTCTTGCTATCAACACCTAGTGTGTTTGGAAGGCACCCATAAGCCAGTCGGAAATAGACTCCATTGTCTATAAACTAATGTGTTGGCAGGGCACTGAGGTGACAATGATGAAAAGCTTGCGGCCATAACAAAATTGCTAACAGCACCAATTTACTGAGTCACCTTAGGTGTACTTATTGCCCATACCGCGAGTCACCTGAGCTGCTGTGTTGCCCATTCCGTCTGGCAATTTTTAGAGAGCTGCGCTTGTTCCCCTGGCCCGCTGCGGTGACAGTGACTGCAAAGAAGGATCAAAGCAGGAACCGGACCCAGCTATGTTGAAAATTTGCCCACCAATCTGAGTCACTCCAGAGTTGGCCAGCCAGGGGGCGCTGCTCAGGGTATGAGGAGACTCGAGCTGCCAAGCCACTCGAGCCACATTGAGTTAGATCCCGTTACTGATAGGAAATTGGAGCAATCAGCAGCCAGGAAGTGAGGTAGGTATACTTATTGTTTGCAGGCGCTTGGGAGGCTGGAGCCCTGTGGCGCTTCAGTGTTGGAAAGCGCCAAATTCAAAGTACCTTGTCCTGCTAGCCAGCAGAAGGCGGATCTTACAATACTTTGGGAACTCCATGAAATGCTTTCCTGCTGCAAGATAGAGGCAGCCAATCTTTCCTCTTTCAGCATGGCTGCTGTCTAGCAGGAATGTCTGCGAAATATGCAGTATAGTTTGGCCAGAAGCCTGCAGGACTGTACAGACCTGGTGCCCTGACTTCCTGGGCTTGAGTTGCTCTCAGCCGTACCAGCAGGGTTGCACAGTACGTCTGGAGATTTTTTGGGGACGCGTCCTGGGCACCTAAGGACGTCTTCACGTCCTGGACGCCTAAGGACGGCATGATTATTTAGTAATATTAATCAGTCATTGCTTACCAATCATCCTCTGAAGCCAGAATAGGTACAGACAGCCACAAGTTGTGGCCCACAAGAATCCACCAGGATACTAGGCCCTCTGTGTGTTGTGTCTTATCGTTTCTTCTATGCAGCAGATCAGTACCCATGCAACAAGCTGTAGCTTCGGAAGTTAAGAAGCTGGCGGTGGTGTGCATTTGAGAGCTTTAGTGTGAAGGTACCTACGCCGTGGGTCCCACAGTGCCCATTTCCTGAAGTTTAGATTGTATATTCGAGCATGTATTGAACAGTACTGCACATAGAGCCAGTATAATTGATCACCTAACATTAATGCTGTAAAAGCTTACTTCATTACTACTCATACAAGTAATGTCCTACTAATCACGTGCCGTATTCTTGACGTACTGATGATAAAATTTTCCAAGACGCGTCCTGGACGCGTCCCCGTACTTGTTCGCATACTGTGCAACCATGCGTACCAGGCTGTGTTGGATGCCTTTCTGCAGCTGCAGCCGGCAGAACATTTTTATTTTCTGATGACAGCAATTACTGGTGTGTTTGATGCCGCCTAATGAGGCGCCCCTGACATTCAGAACGCTAGTGGACATGCCTAGATGTCCATGTGACTGGTCATTTTGAGGTTCTGACAACAAGAGTATATGTGCCTTGCATGCATGAAGCGCACTGCATGTTGTTTGGATAAATGGATCATTCTCATTGCTTGTAGAGAGATGCTGTGAAAAAAGCGAGAACCTGGATGACATGGAAGAAATCATTACACAAAGTTCAAGAGAAACATAGTTTTGAGGCAAGTGTGATCACCATGCATTCTAAGCGATGGTCTACAGATTCAGAGGCACCCTAACTGCCCCAACTACCAACATGAGTGGGGTACAAAAGCTTTGAACAAGACATTACTAGCCCAGATGTGCTAACTTGGGCACACACAAGAGCAACTGCAAATCTTTGCAAGCCTCAGATGAGCGTCAGCATGATATCTACAAGAGAGGCCACCATCAGGCACAGGTGCATCACCAGCAACCGATATTGATCACTGCCTAGCCAAGCCAATCTGACATGCACATGAAGCTGATCCCAGCAAAAGAAGAAGAAAAGATCACGAAAAGGCAGCTGCAGTGAAGCATGCACTTCTGCAGAATTCACCATGAACCCCAAAACTGTATACTGTACCCCTGTTGCAGACACCCTTAAAGCATTTCCGTAAGATCTACTGGCAGGAAGCAAGCTCCCAATCACACATCATACCCTGTACTACCCCTGTTTCCCTTTCACGCAGCCATCGCCCATCTGTCCTCGGCCACTTTCCTGTTTCTTCCTTGAACAGCCATCACAGAATCCACAGCTAGCCAAGTGCCACTGCCGCAGGGCTGCCTTCACACATCCTCCGGGTCAAAATCCTCCTGTCCCAGTCAACCGCCTGATCCACCCAGCAGGCTTGCCGGGAAGACAGGGCAGCCAACATGAGACAGCGCATGCATGCATGCATGCGCGCCGGCCAGGCCGGCATCGCCGTCGCAGATGGGCCTCCTTCAGGCCTTGGTCTTCTCCTTGTCCTTGTTCTTCTTTTTCTTCTTCTTGGGCGCGTCGGCCTCCGGGGCCGGGGCCGCGGCCGGGGCGGGGATGGGGGGCATGGGAGTGGCAGCCGCCTTGTCCTTCTTGGCCTTCTTCTCAGACTTCTTCTCGGCGCCCTCCTTGTCCTTGCGCTTCTTGTCCTGCAGCCCAGCAGATTCAGCTATTTGGAGAGACAGAGGAATGAGGGCATAAAAGCATTTGAGCATCAGTCATTTGCAACTGTGACTGCAACAGCGCAGACGTGGGAGATTGACACATTGCCAGGAAGTCTCTCGTTTCCCTCTGTGAGCAGCAGCCACAGGACTCACCCTTTCATTGCATGCGAGGTTGCATACACAGGGGCAGCTGCTCATAGAGGGTGCAGGACTGCAGCATGTACTTTTGAGCCCGCAGATGCAACACCCATCAAAGGAGGGATGCAGCTCAGGATCAGGGAGCGACAAACCAACACATATATCAGACACGATTACATCGGGTACATGCATCATGTGCACGCAAAGATCTTCAGTCCGATCCACAGCAGCCCCTGGTCTGCTTCAAGCTTCAGCAGCTTCTTGTGCAGATTATACTGGGGTGTTACTCAAGAGGCATTGCCGCACCTTCTTGGGGGCGGGAGGCGGCGGAGGGGTGGGCTCCTTGACAGGCTCCTCCTCTTCTTCGTCCTCATCTTCCTCCTCGACTGCCTCCTCCTCATCATCGTCGTCGTCGTCAGCAATTGCCGCAGCGGCCGCCGCCTCGCGCGCAGCCTCGTTCGCCTGCGCACCATGCATCCAGCTTGTGAGAACAGTTTGCCAGGAAATTGCCATAGTTGGGAGGGTCTTGTACTTGTTCCTTTCTCCAAATGTACAGCCCTGTGCTCCACCACCAATGCATGGCGCATCATCATTTTCCAGGACTGCCATCAGTCAGAGAGGGTTGTCTGTGGACTTGCTGAACAGTATATCCTGCTGCCCATGTGGGATCAGACCAGGCTGCAAACAACAGCGCTCTGGCAGGCTGCAGTGGTGCACTTTTGCCGGCCACGCATGCGAGGCAATGCGATATTCAGGAGGATATTGGCAATGCAGAGTCAATAGATCACTGCAGGAGGATGACGTACATGGAAGCCGGGACACACCTTGAACTTCTCAGTGTAGGCCTTCTTGTCGCCGTCCGGCAGCTTCTTCCAGTTGGCCACAGCCTCAGCGAAGACAGCTGCATGCACAGGCAAACCAGGTTCAGCTTCAACACGTGTCACAGCAACAATAGCTCATTTGTAGGGCCTGAAACGCCTCCAAGCAATGGGACAGGTTGTCTGTAGAGTGCTGAGTAAGGGTTTTCACAGCTCTCTGCAACAGATAGGCTCTGCCCAGCCCAGGCCTTCATGACTCGTGGCTTTCTCGACACTCAGCAATGGGGCCATGATCGTTACTGCAGCAGTACTTCAAACCCTGCTCGTGAGTCAGCAGTACAGCCATGTCCCAGGTCACTGATTGGGCCACACAAAGAAGAAGCCGCTCCTGCCAGACAGGACCCCTTGAAATCGATACCCATGACTGAAGATAATCTGTCAAATGGCCTGCTGCTTTCTGACCTAAAACTGCTTCGAGCCAGGCAAGGGATGTGTCCCTTGACAACAGCCAGCGATAGGTCAACGCTTGCAACCGCCAAGGGCACGACTCCTTCATTGGCAGGGGGTGGTAAAGAGCCCTCAATTGCGGTGAGTTAACGGAATGGGATACCAAGGCTTTTCCAGAGTACAAGATGTGTGAATCTGGCGCTTACAGTTGTTGTTGTGCTCCTCATCGGTCTGAGGCCTGGCGCGCAGCACTGCGATTTGCTCCTTGACGTAGTGATTGAAGGCGCTGGGCTTGCGCTTGACCCTCTCCTTGTCCTTCTTCTGGCGCTTCCGCTTGGTGGGAGCGGCAGCAGCGGGCTCAACGTCGAAGACGCTGTCGGGGAGCTCCCCGGTTGCGGAGTACTCGGTCAAGGCCTTGCCGATGTGGGCGAACACCCCCTGGAGCTCGTTGGCCACATAAACCATGACTTCCGCCGTTGCTGCGCCTGCTGGGTCGGCCATAGCTGCTGTCTCTGCTCTTTCCTGCGTGGATAATGCCAAGATCCCGCTGAGATGGCAACCTCGGGTTTCTGAAAGGGAACCCGCCAAAGGGCAGCGATGACGCTGGCTTTCCAAACTGTCTGTTTCTCCGCAAATGGGGCTGCAACAAACACTGAATTCTAAAAACAAGTCAGAACCCCAACCAGGCGTGAGCAAACGTTCCGTATGCCCAATATCAAAATCACAGTCGTCCGCTTAGCTAATGCGATCCCCCAATTGACTCCGTCATAGCTGGTCAGCCCAGAGTTGCCTCTGAACAGCCCCCCAGACCAACCGGTGATTCCGATTAAGTATGCCTGAGAAGGTTTTTTTGGCTGCGGTGTTGAGAGGAGATTGGACGTGGGTATTTGGAGGCAAATGTGCATGCTTATCTGATTAGTAAGACTTACTGAGGAAGTAAGTAACAAGTGATTGCCACTTGAGAGCTCTCGCATATGCATGGTCAGTGCAGTACCAACTTGAAGTGACCGCCGGCACAGTGCACCGGCTATTTTTGAGAAGTTCTGCATGCAGACTTGACAGCGCCATTATCCTTACAGCGCCAAGCCAGACTTTGACAGTATGCACAGATGTAGACTTCACACCCGCTCTTTGTCCCAGCGCGTACGCCCAGATGCAACAGAGAGCACAAGCAGCATAAGAGTCCTACAGTGATTGGCGCTCATCCGTGCCTGACGGCATTACCATCGACAGCAACGCCCCTGGAGAGGGACACAGCCAGTACGGGTGATCTTGTGGATTCAAGCCCCACCTAGGGAACAGATACAAAAAGGACCGTCCGACACAAACTGTGTCCTTCCCCAGCATCCACTCCCTGGTCAACATTCAATCTGCCGACCACTCAAAACGCATCTGTACCTTCAGCTCCAGAGCCCCAGACTTACACAGGCTCAGCAAGGACATGCATTCATGTGCGCCATTCAAGTCTGCAGTCCTGTTGACAGATGCCAGGCTGTGGGCAATAGCACAGACTGCATGTCTGGCACATCTGGAATGCGGCAGCGCCAGGGCAGCAGGCCCCTCCACCACAGCATGTCTCCCTCAGCGAGTGGGCGCCTGTGCACAGGGCATTTCTGCTCAGCATTTCCGCACCACCGCCGTATGCCAATTAGAAGGCAGAGCAAAGGACACAGAATGCCCATCATAGACAGAGCCAAGAACAAAAACTTGGGTCATGTCCTCCAGTAGGAATCACACCTGGTTGAAGTGGCTCGTGTCCTTCTTCCCCTTGGCTTTCTTTGCGCGCTCCTTTGCCTCCCGAGCGGCTGCTAGGGCTGCTGCACTCGTTGCTGACTTTTTCTGCGCTGCCGCCTTCTTCTTGGCTAGCAACCGCTTTGCCTGCACGCCAAAACATATCTTCAATCGACAGAATCACCAGTTTTTAGTCATGCGGATCAGGTCATACATCTGCACTGCCATGACACAAGGAGCAGGAAACAACACACTGCACGCACATACCAGCCGAGCCAGTAATGGCAGACTGGGCTTCATGCTCTGATGCCTGCACCCGGTGGATATTCAAGCAAAACCAATCACCAGCGTGAAGCATGCAGTTTCAGACGAGGTCAAACCTCTGCGGGGTCGACAGGCACTGCTTCCTCTTCCTGCTCCTCCACAGCAGGCTCGGCCTTGGGGGCGGCGTTGCCATTGGTGGCTTCAGCGGGCGCGTCCCCTTCGGCCTTCCCCTTCTTTTTCTCCTTTTTCTTCTTCTTTTTCTCCTCGCCCGCGTCGGCCGCCTCGCCCTCGGCCGGCTGCTGCGGCGCCTCTATGCCCAGCTCTGCCAGCGTGCGCGCCAGCTCCTCCATCTCCCGAGCTTTGATCTCCTGCGCGCATTAACACCATGAGGTGAAGCACTGCATCTGGCAAGCACAGCATAGCATGCCCAACCACAACCTGCTGGATCAAAAAACTTTGCAGGATGCAAGAACATGATATGATAGACATTCAAATTTTTCCAGGCTTATTCTGCATACAATCTTTAGCAGACAACATCATTGGCAGATGTGAGATTGCACAGGTAAATGTGTCACATTACTTTCTTGACCAGGATCCTTTAGATCAGTGTGGCAATGGTCTATACGCACGAGGCACAAAAAAGGCGTGCCTTCTTTGACAGCATCTTCTCTACGGGCAGCACGGGCTTTGGTGCCACCTCCTGTGCCACTGCCTGCACTCGTTCTGAGTCCTCCTCTGCACCCACAACATGAACAGTGTCACCCTATAGATCGTTTGCGCAGCAATGTGCGAAACTTGTCTTCCCAAATGCTTGCAATTGATACGGTAAGCCGATTGGCGCACCGGCATGCTCCTCTTCGTCCTCCTCGTCATCTTTGGCAAATTCGACTCCAAGCTCGCGCTGGATTGCCTCGTGATGATCCTCCTGCAAACACAGCATCGCTCATGCAACGCTGCATGCATGCATTCATTGGCCGCTGAAACTGCCACTCCTTGTGCACCTGCACTGTATTGTCAATGTGAGGATGTCATTCACAGGGGAGTGAGGACATAGGAACAGGGATCACCTCATCGCTGTCATCCTCCTGCTGCTCTTCCTCCTCGACTTCTTGGCGTGGCTTTCCTGAGCTCTGCACCTGTGGTACAGAAAACAGGCTGTTAAGGCATCGCAGTGTTTTAAGGGTGTATTAGATCTGCTTGCCAGTTGTGTCTCTCACCCATGCATGCATGTTTGTCAGCAAGGATCCCTCCCAAAGGTTGAGACACACCACCAGATCAAGAAGTTGTGAACAGAAGTTTGGATTGGAGCTGATGTGTACAGTCTGCATCGGCTAAGAATCGATGCCCAAAGATTGGTTCTGTCAAGAATGACAAGATGCATGCGCGGTGCCATAGTGACTGTGCAGATGCCTAGTTGCAATCTGGCTAGACGCACCGGAGCGCTCCAGGACTCGGGCAGCTCGTCAACGAAATCATCGTCGTCATCATCTGTGTCCGCCCAATTGGAGATGCTGACCTTCGGCCCCGAAAAGATGGCCCTCTCTAGCTCTGCAGAGCGGTCAGCTTTGGACACCTCCTTCTTTTTCTTCTTGTCGTCGGCGTCCTTCGACTTTGAGCTCTTCTTCTTCTTCTTGGTGTCGAGTGCTGCAAAGATGTTTTGGCTAGTAATCATGGCAGTCCAGCTGTCCTGTCTTATAGCTCTTCTCCTCTCTCAACCTGACACTTGCTGCAGCAGGGCACATCAACCAACTCTAACCCCGCTCTCAATGCGGGAAATCAACAAGGCTGACCCCAGGCCTCAAATGCTGTGTTTTCTTGCGGAAAACAAGATTGACAAGTCAGTGCAAAACAGCCTGTCCTTGCAGAAGCCAGGGATCAGGTGAGGCTGCTGATGGGTCCCGGGGGGACCGTCCCCGCAGCAGATCCTGGGCCCCCCGCTTTCAGGGCCCCGACCCTTCAGCTATTCAGGGTTGCAGGGTAGATGTTCTAAGCCGCTCATGCGCTGAATCAGACATCTCCCATCGGATGTCCGCAATCGACAGCTAGAGCCAGCAACATCTGACGTGTTCTGGGGCAAGATGCTGACCAACAGGATGCATCAAACGAATGTCCTGCAGCAAAGACGATGCCCCACCGCCTCCTGTGTGGGCCCCACAAGAGCTAGCCCTGCACTTCCTCGGGCCAACTTGAGGAAATCTAGCAATGTTCCCCAGATCTTGGCTCCATTCAGGGGGCAGCAGCTCCTCATTAGCGCTTCATTCAGATTACAGACATCTAGGAGATCCGCACCCATCGTCTGTAGTGCAGCGTCCACTGATACTGCAGGCAAGTTTTCACTCTTACAGATCTATAGCTGCATCCCTGGGTCCTCTAATCGCATTCCTGCTCTTTGCGGCATTGACTTGGGAGCAATCTTCTAGAAAGGGGGTCCTCAGCCTTGGAGGGCGAGATTAATCTGTAGAGGCATATGCCCATGCAGCCGCAGGTTGGGTGCTGCCTTGGTGTTTCGTTGCATGGATAAGATGTAGCCACTTCGTTTATGTTATTCTCATGCGCTGCCTGTTCACCCTGTGAACATTGCTGCACCAAGAAACAGAAATTAGCGAGTCGATGGATGGCACGGTAGACATCTGAGGGAATATATCTTGTTGCACTTCGGCAGGCCAGGCGCCGTCTGGTGGTATGGGAAAGACGTTGCTGTTGGGCGGGCTCTTCGGAGGGTGGTACCTCTTCAATATCTACTTCAACCTGTGAGTTCTGCCTCCACCTTGGACTTTAACACATAGACAATTCTGTGCCTTGTGATATTCCTTGTTTGGAATCTTCCTCGAATTTTTCCTGTATTGTGCAGATACAACAAGCAGGTGTTGAAGGTCTTCCCCTACCCCTTCACATGCACAGCCCTGCAGGTGAGCACTGTTCCCTTGTATCTTCCATGCATGCTTTTCATTTACTGAGCAACCCCCTTTTGCGCATGGCGCATGAGCAATAATTTAATTGCGCATGGAGCGTTTGTGGTAAAGATCACTTGTGCATGTGCAGTTTGCAGTCGGCTCCCTTCTAGCCGTGAGCATGTGGACGCTGAACCTCCATGAGAAGCCCAAGGTTGACAAGGACCTGGTGCGCATCTCAAGCCTCCCTGCTTGTTCGATTGCCTTACCTCTTTGGTATACTTTTACTGCTGCTATTTGCTTGTCCCCAGACTAGCATACCCTGCACCTTGCATGTGGGGTATGGCGTGGTTCTTCAAAAAGCTTGGTCCCAAAGAGACTTTGCTGCTGTGCCCAGATCATCAGCGTGCTGCCCTTGGCGGTGGTCCACACCCTGGGCAACCTGCTGACCAATGTCAGTCTGGGACAGGTGGCCGTCTCCTTCACGCACACCATCAAGGTATGCAAGATCTGTGCTTACACTGTCAAGCGTGCTGAAGGTCCTCAGAACAGTGTTTGGGACCTCGAGTTTCCTGCTCTAGAATGAGCCTCAGGGCCCATGGCACCGACTCAAGTGGCCTGCGGGGCTGCAGAATGCCTGAATATGCAGGACATACTCTTGCATGCTCGTGTATTGCCATTGGACTCTTGCTCTTACTCATGCAACAGTATATACACTTGTTTTTATCCTCGTTGTTGGCATAAGGGCAGGCTGCAATACTGCCGTACCGTGACGCAGACACGGGACCCTTGTCGCATAAAATATCTGTCACTGATCAGTCACAAATGACCACCCAATGCAAGCGCCATATCTTGCATTCGCGCAGGCCATGGAGCCCTTCTTCAGCGTGCTGCTGAGCGCGCTGTTCCTGGGGGAGTCCCCCAGCATCCCCATCGTGCTATCGCTGCTGCCGGTCGTGGGCGGCGTGGCTCTGGCGTCCGCCACCGAGGCCACCTTCAACTGGGCCGGCTTCCTGGCGGCCATGGGCAGCAACATCACCTTCCAGTCGCGCAACGTCTTCTCCAAAAAGTTCATGGGCAAGAAGAAGGTCCGCCCCTGTATTCACTGTATTGCCCGCTTTCCCCTCCTGCCTGCCTTGCATGCCACCCTGACACGCAACCGCACATATACCAAACTTGAATTCCCGCAAGCTCCAACATAGGGCTTGGGGCAACTGCGTGGAGAAACAGTCTCAAATTTCCCCATTTTTGTTTAGCGGTCCGTAGCTTTCATTTCACGAATGCGGCAACAATGCTGCCGCAGCCGCCACTGTGCTCTGCGTCCGTCCTCAGCGAGTCAGCATGCAGCCTAGGGATGCCTGGGTCATGTCAATACCCTCGGCTTTGACCCTTGACGGTCCGCCCTTAAGATTTGACTGAGACCCTCTGTGCGCGCAGGGCTCCCTGGACAACATCAACCTGTTCTCCCTGATCACAATTCTGTCCTTCTTGCTGCTGGCGCCCATTGCCTTGATACGCGACGGCGGCCTCATGCTGACGCCCTCGGCCATGCAGTCCATGGGCATCATAAACACCAAGCTCGTGCTGCAGCGCGCAGTCTTTGCTGGCTTCTGCTTCCACGCCTACCAGCAGGTGACACCAGGCTTGGATCTTTTGGCAGGGGTTCAAATGTATTTCATACAATTGGTAGGCGTGTAGGTGCTGTATGACGCAGCAAAGGCCAGGGGTTAAAAAACCCCACAATTCCAGTTAGTTCAGGGGGCGCAGAAGCGGATGGCGGGCAGGTTGAAACCATGTGAAGCCACCCAACACATTGTTCAAATATCAGACCTGCACTGGTTTGGTCTTTCCGGGATTTCTCAGGAGATCTGTCAAGAGTGCAACGTCTCTTTCAGAGAGTGTGCCTTCCCCTCTGAGTGCCAGTTGCTTTGATGAGGGAAACCCCTGCAAGTCTTTTTGCTATGTGGTGCTCATTGATTGTGCAATTGGTGCTGACCTCCCAGAAGAGCAATGCCGTTTCTGGGGCAATGCTCCGTAAATATACGATTGATATCTATATCGTGCCGGGTCAGACCCTGCATGACATGACTCTGTGTTGTGGCCTGGCGCAGGTGTCGTACATGATCCTGCAGCGCGTGTCACCGGTGACTCACTCCATCGGCAACTGCCTCAAGCGTGTCATCGTCATCGTGGCCTCCGTGCTCTTCTTCCAAAACCCCATGGGCCGCCAGAACATGATTGGTGCGGGCTGCAGACCACTGCTTGAAACAAGACACTCCATTGCATGGCAAGAAGTTTGTGATATGTAGATGGGCAGTGACAGACTGCCTACAAGACCAATGAGCGTCAGGTGGATCCCAAAAGGTCTCTAAAATGTAATAATAATTGCAATGCCCCAAAGTATGCATGCGCGAGGCATAGATACCCCATCTCCCGTTGGACAATGTGAAGATGCACTTGCTTCTGCAGCAGATCTGTTGAGGAGTTGTGGCCTCAGTTTTGCAAACACCCTACCATGGAGCCAGGATCTGTTTGACCCTGGGTGACAGTTGCGAGGAATCGCTGTCCCTGTGGGGTTCAGGATTTTGGCCAATGAGCCGAGCACTTTCTTTGCCCAGCTTGCGACGATGGCTCCTGTGCTGAACGGTGAATAATGCTGATGCAGGCACGGCCATTGCGCTGGCGGGTGTGTTTGCTTACTCCCAGGTTAAGCGCATCCAGGTTTCCAACAGCAGAAAGGCAGCTGCTGCTTGAGGGTCCTCTGACGAGCCCTGACTTAGATTTGCAAAGGCCATGTCAGCTCGGCTGAGCACTGGACGGACTTTAGCTTGCGGCATCAGCACGAAACATGCCGTAGGATGGGTCTCTGGCAATAATTGCTGTCAGAGGCACTCGTAACCACGCATGCGCCATCCCTCACTCAGCCGGGTGTGATTGCTGTTCGATTCTTTTGTGAAAAGTAGCATTCGTCCGTGCCTGCCGCATATATCAGCAGGTTCACGCGTGACAATATCTGTGTGGATTTATATCTCGTCAATTGAAACGGATTCATGAGTGTGCGAGCATCATAAAGAGTGGTAGTTTGCGTATGAAACAGTTGTTGCACACGTATGTGCATGACTGTTGGATGGCTGTCGTGTTGCTTGGGCACTGTGGTTTTGCCATTTATGCAGATCTCAGATCGTCACAAAGGCTTTGTGATGATGAGATGTTTAATATGCTTATGTGATTTACGTGCACATGTGTGCATGTGCCATTCCTCTCGGCGAGGCTCTCGCCAAGTGCAGTCAGTACTGTTAATAAATAAATATGTAAGGATTGAGGCGCTGCATCGACTTTGAGCAGAAAATGGTATCCAAGCTGAGATCTCTACAATGTGCAATACACCATCATCATAACCAAGAGACCCGCAAGAGACACAAATTTAAATTCACATGTGGCGTGTACACACCGTGGCACTGTTATCCATTGCAAACGAGAGCTTATCACAAGTATCATTCAGTTCTGACTAGCAAAGTCAATCCACTTACTCCCTTTGCCTGAAGGCTTTAATTAGGCGTAGGGACCTGATATGGTGCATAAATCTCTATCATGTGCTCCTAGCTGCCACTAGAGCCCAGTAAGCTGCGAGCCACAGGAAGCTTGAAGAGCAGTCACGTTACCGGCACGCATGCACACGAGGGCAAAAGACATCCGTGCACTCCCCAGACCATGCAGTGATGCAACGGCTGCCAACACGCTCGCTGACACATGCATCTTGGACGAAAAGCGATCTGGCAGGGGGCAGGCCCCGCACCGCGCCCCTTTGAAGCAGAACTTGAGAGCCGTCTGTTTCTGCACCTTCGTGACTTGCCTGTTCCACATTTGCCAAACTGATGAGCACGGTACCGCGGCATTGCTGGGCTGCGGCTTCTACCTGCTCCTTTCGACTGCTCATGCTCCCGGTCACAACATACACACGGACCCTTCATTGCTAGCAGGAGGCGATCTGCGTGCTGTTGGCGGCTGTGACAGTGAGCGGGTAGAGGATGTCATAGTGCCCGGGCCGGTAGAGCACATGCACGCGCGGATTTACGGGGGCGGCCGATTCCGCGAGGCTGTCAGGCACAAAATCGTGGTGGTTGACCGCGGCACTGTCATAGCCGACGCCGGCCATGGCTGCTCCCATGCTGCGGTCAAGGTACACCACCCGAATGGGCACCTGTCAAAATTCACCAGCAAGCGGGTTAAGGCAAGCTGACAGCTGCTCCCTCACAGCTGACGGGCGTGGTGCTCAATGTGGAGCATGCAACAACATTGAGGGCTCCTGCCCAGAGCAACCATGACATTAGGGCAATAGACCGCGCAAACTGCCCGATATTGGTGAAGTGAAAGCTGCCCAGCCTCCAAGCAGTAATTACAATAGGAGTATAATTGCTAAGCCCATCATTGACAGCAACAACCTCTGCACCATCCCCAGCCTGCGGGTTAATGACATCAAGCACTAGCTTGAGGATGGCTGCTGCACGTCATGTTGCTCATCGTTCATGCATACATTCTGAAAGCTAAGCTGATAATATCACAGCGGCTCACCAGGAGGGCGTTGGTGAGAGCGACGATGTGGACGTGGTCACTCTCCTCGCCCATGGGCTCCACATAGCGCCGGCAGAACTGCTCCACGCTCACCTCATCGTCGCACATGCCCTGCAACACAACACAGGGCATTACCTTCTTAGGAGTTGTTGCTAGCACAGATGATCGAAAGGAAGAAAGGCAACAATTGATCTAGTTCTGTCGGCACACATGCAGCAGCATCCTGCCTATCCCCAGAGGCCCTGCACGTCTATAGCCTGATATCTTCATACACTGGTCGAATACAACCCAGACCCTTCTGACACAACTTTCAGGAGGTACTTAAGACTACTTAGTAGTCTTTAGTAGTCTTTAGTATCCCCTGCAACTTTGCTTGCTCCATTCGCCCTGCATGCACACCTTATAGGCAAAAGAACAAATCCGTGCACTTGCACTATGCACAACTACCCATGTACTACGCACAATCCCCGCATACTGCGCCCTATGCACCTGCAGCGTTGGAAGGGAAACCCACCTGATCTCTGAAGAACCAATCAATATTCCTACTAGAAGAAGCATGCAGAAATATGCTACTGCAAACATGCTGCATGTTGGAGGAGCACCACGCATCGCACCATGATGAAGGGCGCGAAGAAGTCAGAGCGGCGCTGGATCTCTGCCGACGTCAGCATGCGCAGCAGCATGATGATCATGGGCGACAACATGGCGTCGCAGAAGTTGTCTTCCAGCTGCGGCACGCTCAGCGGCTCGGCAGTGCCCAGGGAGTTCAGCTGGTCAATGACTATCTCCATGGCGTCCTCAAATACCATCTCCTGGAACCCCACGCCCACCAGCTTGGCCTTCCACTGCCGTATGCACGTCACCACCCTGCAACGCAGTGAAAAGTTTGACTTTTAGCTCAAGGTTCACATGTTCATGAGTCGTACAGATGATATCACAGTCCTCTGCGACAGCGCCCATACTGACTGTAAGGTCCAAATATTGCTCAGTGCGCATGACTTATGGAGATGCTATTGAGCTGTTATTGCCTCTGCTGCATGTGCAGAACCCTCAAGTCCGAAATATTAAACCGCTGTTGGGAAAAATGCATGAATCCCACCCTGCCAGATGTCCCATGCATGCAAAGTGTGCTATTGACAGGAGCATGGGGCGATGCCCACTTGAGAGAGGAGCTCTGGGCCTTTGTGAGACATGACAGAGAAAGCTGCACCCAGTGGCCACGCCAGCAGGCTTTAAAATCTGTCCTCTATGTAGCTGGAGGACCGAACTGTTCTGGGAAGGTGCGAGGCGCACCGGTTGCGCTCGGACAGGTCGTTGTTCTGCACCAGCTGCTCCATGAAGGCAAACATGAAGGAGCGGAAGAAGCAGTTCCCGTCCCCGCGCGTGCGCCGCATCGAGCCGTACTGCGTCTCCAGGCTGCGGATCTTGTCCCGGAACACCGCGCTGCCTTGCCGGTACTCTGCAGCAGCGGTCAACATGCACTCATGGAGGTGACAAGGTGCTGCCGCATGCCAGGATAAATGTGCCTGCTGGTGACTGCTCTTTGTGGAAATTTTAACCAATCAAAAGGGGGTTTGGAAAGAAGAAGTCACCTTCTTCAAGAGCAGACAGGGGTTCGACGATGCCCATGAAGGGCATCTTCTCCGCCTCTGCAGCCCTGCATGCACATGATGATACCCATTTCAGTACTTCGAGGGATGTGGTGGTTGAGACGTCCTCGTTCACAATACGATGCCACATAAGCACAAAAGCTTGCAAGCGCCCTGTGAAATATGGGTTGACCCATTGACAACGATGTACAGCTCAAAAAAGCTAGCCAAGAGCAAACTGACCTGATGGAGTTCTCCTGCGCAATGATCTGGTCATCCGTCGGTCGTGATACCTCTTCGGCCTGATCCGGCAATAGGATGGGCGCGGATGTAACTATCTCTGCTGTGGGCTCATCAGCACTATCCCCAACTGCCGCGGAGACCGAGTTCACAGATGTCCTGAGGGTATTATCCGCAAAACTAACACCGACTGAGTGGTCGCCGACAGACTGAAGACGCCTGCTCTCAGCCCCATCGGTGAATGCCTCGGCAGTCTGCTGGTGTGAGATGGCAACCACAGAAGATTCTGCCCTGGCAGGACTCTCATTGCCTGCATACCCGCTTCTCATCGTGCACGAACAGAAAATTTGCTCTCTAAGCTCCAGAAAGTACTAAAAAAAGTGGAAACTTTCCGCTGGAAAGGCATTGGAAAGGCACAAAAAGGTTCGCATTGCGGGCAGCCATCATGGCCTGCCCAGTGGGCTCCAAGGGAAAACCCGCTCGCACAAGCGTTCAAAACGCTCTGATGGACAGCTAAGCTCTTGGAGACGCTTCCGTCCGTCCAGCAATCTTCATGTCAAAAGTCATCAAATAAAAATTGCAACGTATGCGCATTTGCATGCACAGCAAAGTGTCAACCTTTGGGCTGAGATACACCTATCGTGAACTTTCAATTTGGAATTTGTAAATCACCTAAGCTTGACGCTGTCTCTGACACTCAGTAGGCTCTCTTCTCAAGCACGAAGCAGTCCAGAGAATCCGAGGGATCGCCACGTTTCGAGTAACTGCGACCTGGCCCTCACAACAGAGATGTCAGCAGGGGCTGTCCAGAATTCAGATCGGGGATCACGCCTGCAGCTTCCCAAGAAGGCCAAGCTAGCACCCCAGGTACGGGGCAACGAGGCCAGTCTAATAAACGGTAGCCTGCATCCAGGACCACGACACTTTCCTGACCCATGCCCTTCCACACAGAGTGCACCTGCTGCCATGACGCGAAAGGAGCAGGAGCAGATAGAGGCAGCCATACGGAAGAGCCTGCAGGACTCTCAATCCTCACAGCCTTCAGGGAAGCCGCCTGGTTCTGCCAAAGCTCCTTCTCAGCAGGACCCGAGCTTTGGGGAAAAGGACGATGTGAAGGAAACGCTTGTGATGGATACACCCAGCACAGGAGGAAAATGGAAGCCTGCTGTGGCAGATTGTAGGTGTGGATTCAGTCCTCTGCATTTCCCAGCTTCTGCAACAGAACATGCCGGGACACTCCCTCCAGCACTTGAGGAATTTCTTTGTTATCTGATGACCAGAATTCTCATGGCATGCATCACCCAAAGTGCGCAGCAAGGCGCTTTCTTCCCTTGTAAATGAAGGGACCCTTCAAGTGGATGCAGGAATTCAAAGGTGGTTTTGGACAGCGATGATGATGAGAGCAGCGATGATGAGAGCAGCAGCGGTAAGGAAGAGGCTGGAGTAGAGTCAGAGTCAGACAGCGGCTCAGAGTTCTCAGAAGCAGAATCTGCATCAGACAGCGATGATGACGGATCAGACGTGGCTGACTCCGAGGAGGAAGAAGACATCAAGCCTGCAGTGAAAAGGCAAAAGAAGGCAAGCTCAGTAACTTCTTGTATCCTCCTTCCTTGGATGGATGTGAATTCTTGGAAGATGCAGCTGCTACGCTCAGTCACTTATTTGCGATGGCATTTCGGCATCATTTTATACAAGATTGCCCAAGGATTCTCATCCTTCTCCGCCTGTCGATATGCATAAATTCTGATCTGATGATTCAGCTGCTTGGTTGTGTGTGACTCCAGGGAGCAGCTGCCCCGAAGAGCTCAGCAGCTGCGCAGAAGAAGGCTCCGGCATCGGCAGCTGCCAAGAAGCCCGCGGCCAAGAAGGCAGCTGCCCAGAAGGCGGCAGCGTCATGCCCCGCCGGCCCTGCCCCTATCAGACGCGCGGCTGCTGCCCCTGCTGCCGCCTCTGCTGGCGCTGCCAAGAAAACACCTCCCATTCGAGGTGCGCCGAGGACTGTCTTACATGTAATATGCCGGCATGGGAATTATAGAGGCTTCGAGGTATAGCTTATGAGCTGCATCTGTGTGTGACAAATGCGGTGCAGCAACGTGGGCTTCAGCATGGGTATTATGCATCAATGAGACATGCTTGATGTTTGCTGCAGGGCCAGCAAAGCCGCTGCAGCCATCGTCGGCAGCTAACAAGCAGCAATCCGTTCAGGCTGCTGCGTCCCTGAAGACTGTCAAGGCTGCTGCACCTAAGGCAGCCATCTCTGGTGAGGCACTTGGCCGACATGCCTTGAAGCCATCTGCTAACTTGTTTTACGTAGTACAGGATGCATGTCATGTGCCATTTGATGACTCACCACCATGTCCATCTGAATGGTGATTTGTTGCAGAAACCAAGGTAAGCACTCCAGCTACAGCTGTGAGCCGACCTGCAGTGCAGCCAGTGCCGCCAAAGCCCACCTCCGCCAAACGGCCGGCTGCGATAGCATCCGTCAGTGCCCACACGCCCTCCGCTGCACGAACAGGTATGGTCACACCCTGAGCTATGTAAATCCTCTACATCACAAGATTTGCCCCTGCACAGGAATTTTCTGCTTTGGACTCTTGAATCGGACTTGGTGAGAATTGGACCTGGTGATGGATCAGGTTCTTAAATTTACCGTTCTTGCCAAGCCTGGGAGTTCCCACAGCGCTGTGGAATTGTGGCATGCGCATGGTGCATATTCCGCAGCAAGATGGAGCATGCTGCACAGCAGCCGATGTGTCAAACAACTTCATCCGGCTCTGCGCAGGGATGGCGGGGGCCACAGGGCAGGCGGGAACGCCCCTGGGGACGACCACGCCGGTGCAGCCGCTGAAACGCGCGACGCCGGCGTCCGGCAATTCGCTGTCGGGGATACTGGCATCGGGGCCGCAGTTCCGCGTGTCCGGGCTGCGCCGCGCTGGCGGCATTAAGCTGCACAACGTCGGCCCCGGCCAGACGCCACGATGACTCATAGGGCGCACCATGATGACTCGTGATGACTTGTCGGCTGGCGGCATGGTGTTTGCAGCCAGCGGTGCCAAATACTGTATGCTAATACTTAGACAGTTCTGTGCCTCATAATAAGAAGTCGCTGGCCTTCGGGGAACTCCCTGCCCAGATCTGTCGCGGCTTGCAAGCTTGCTAGGATTGCTCCTTAAAGACCTGGAATTTTACATTTTGAAACTGTATGCGCATATGCAGTACATGACGCTGCAAGAATTCCCATGCATGGCATAAGCCATCCCGGATGGGCCACGGCGTGCCTCATGCATTACATGCATGCCAATATATTCAAAGATATTGGTGGCCCATCTTTGCAGGAAGTCCTCCTGAAGGTAACTTTACTATACCCAGAAGCATATCTCTATAGCATTCTTCTATAATTCGATGGCAGTATTTCGTGAAAAATTGGCCAAGTATTGCCAAAATCAGTGATTTTGAGAAGGGAACACCATCAAGCGTAGAGTTGAGCGATCCGTTTGTGCTCAGCTGCTGAGCCTCACCATCACCAGCTACCGGCACCTTCTGCCAACGTGGCAAGGATCCTCCGTCCGGACGGTTCCGCTGGTATTAGAGTTCATCCACTTTGCACAATGTGTTTTGTAAAATTATCGACCCTTCATCGACTTTAAACCCTGAGTCCACCATTGCATGCCCCGTGAAAAATATTACTATAGAGGCCCCTTCCCTAAACCCTGAACCCATATTCCCGAAACCCTAAGGTCGGGATGCAAAAAGGCCTGAGGTGAAGTTACCTTGGACTTCCAAACTTTGACTTGCCCATTCAGCATCATTCGCTGAAGATTTGCTCTGATATGATTTGGGCTGTTATCATCCCCTAAGTGAAGATAGAGTTCAAGTCGCCCCTCATACCTTGAGTTTGGGGAGGTTAAGTTGCGCCCGCGCTCACCATGTTGGGCAACGATGTCGCGATGGCATTCTGCAAATATGGATACGAAATATTCGGGTTCCATAGAGCTCCATTGCAATATAACAAGCCACCACCATCTTCCTTTCCCTCTGTGTTCATGAGGGCCACTTTTGGTGTTGAACCAGCGACCATCCTGGCAACTCTACTGAAGGTTTCCGTTCCAATACCCACAAGGTATGTGTAGTCCGTTACTCCGTCAATGGGATATTGGCATACACTTCTTGATCCTTCAGCAGCAAAAAATCTGGGTTTCGATACTTTTGGATGCTGTCCGGTTGAATGCAGTGACCGTTATAACGCAGATGCTCGTTTGCCACATTGCCCGAGGAACAGCTGCTGCTACAAGTATACGCTCTGCTGCCTGTGGAAGACAAGGTACGACATTTCATGACCTGAGGCAGCATGAATCTGCAGCTCGTCAGAACCCAATTATCTGCAGTGGATGACTAGGGCCCTATGTCTCAGTTGTCATTCTACTCACTGCGTGTGCAGGTAAATTTCGCTTTCACCTGCAAGGCATTCCTGCCTCTGCTGCTCCACAACCAAGTGGATGTGGAGCTGAACCAGAAGGCAGGGGACCAGCCCAGGCTGATGAGCCTCACCTCAACCGCTGCCTACCTGAAAGATGCGCGGCAGCTGAGCAAGATCACCGAGCTGCACATGTTCAGCAGGTTCAAGCCTGCGCAACAGCCACAGGCTTCGCATTTGGGCGCATTAACACCTCTCCTTGGCCACATGCACACCCTGCGCCTGCATAAGGCGAAGGTTGAGCTGTGGCTCCTGGGCAACTGCAGCTTCGTTCCTCACCTTGAGGTGCGTCCTTGATAGCCCTAGACGGCAACAGGCGTGTTTCAGGTGCTCGCCTTCGAATACATATCAGCCCAGAAATACACAGCGAGCTTGAATCACTGATCATGATGCCATGGGCTCACCAATTATCTCTTGTACACCTCCACATGCAAGAGATGTACCACTTGAGCGCACATGCAAGAGGTACTTTCCTGATGATGTGCATGCTCTGTGTAGGTCCTGGATCTTACGGACTGCTCCATGGAGACAGTGACGCGCATGCGCAGCAACGGCGAGTGGGGCCTCCTGAGCAGCGGCTCAGAGAAGCTGCGGCAGCTGATCCTGAGGGACGCACGCATCACCGTGCAGGTGTAGCAAACAATCCACATTGAGGCTTTTTACCACACTCATCATGTTGGCCTTTCTTTCCGCTGTGACCTGCATGACTGTTGCAACTGCAGAGCACGCTTGCTGACAGACCCACATCTCTGCACAGGAGTGGAGGCCAGACGAAGCCTTCCAGAACATCAACCTGCCCCAGTTGAGGGACCTGGACATCACTGGGCTGGAGAGAGTCTTCCCAAGCTATGCCCAGCAGCCGGGAGCCATCAAACTCGTCAGCCCGGCCTTCTTCCGCGGCTGCCCCCGCCTCACCATAGTGGCATACAGCCAGGAGCCGGCTGCGGCGGAGGCATCGCCGCTGGCCGGCTTCCCCGCTTTGTGCGCTGCCGACATTCGCCTGGCACCTGCCGTCACAGCCGGGCCCCCAAAATTTCCACCGCAGCTGACCAGCCTGACCCTGCGCGGAGTCCCAGGAAATCACCTGGACGTTACAGCAGCTCTGCGCGAAGCTGCCGCATGCATCAGCGCCGGCATGGAGTTGCAGCACCTCGGCTGCTCGCTGTTCAGAGTGTCTGTGGGCCCCAGCCTTCCAATCGTTCTTCCAGGCGTGAAGTCAGTTCTCCTGGAGCCTTTGGACTCTTCCAACAAGCAGGCGCGTGTGTCAGACAGTCGGCTGCAGAAATCGATCAGTGGCGTGCTGAGCTGCACTCCGGACGTTGAGCAATTAAAGCTTGGAGCCTGCCCTAGCCAGCTGCTTGTGCCGGCATCTTGCGTGCGTCTCAGCAGCCTCAGCATCCGCCGGTGCCCCTTGGGCCTGAAAGAGATCTCCTGCGCAAGCCTGAGAAGCCTCAGCCTCTCGCACTCTTTCCTGCGCTGCGCAGTTGGGAGCAACCGTGAGCCCGACTCTCTGGAGGTGGACCTTAATGGCTCCATGATGGACAGCCTGGAGAATTTCACAGTCAGCTTGAGCAGCTACAGTGTGGGTGACACCTGCAAGTTCTCAGTGGCACCTGCGCCGGGCAGAGCGGTGTGCAAGGTGTTGGGGCATCAGGGCGATGCTGTGGGTGAGTGGGTTCTGTCAGTGGGCATGCATGGGCAGGACATCGCTGAAGAGCAGGATTCACAAGCAACACACATCAGCTTTGAATGTGTTGAGGTGCATGACAGAGCAGTGTGGGAGGTGCTTCCTAACTCTGTGGCATGATTATTACACCTTTGTCAGGATTACACGCGGAGGTCAGTTTTGCTTAGTCTCACGTTCTGGTTGTATGGCAATAAGGGACGCATCATGCCCGGGCCGGTCATAGTACTACTGAGTAGTACTCACACATTTTGCTGATCCTGGGGGAATTTTGAGAAAAGCATATGGATTTGCGTTCATGTGATGTGATGACCTGGGCTGGGTGCTTGTGCAACAAACGTGATACAGGGCCAATCCCAGCAGGTGAAAAATATTGTGCAGGAAGTCTGTATGCATGAGGAAGCAATTTTGACGAGGTACAAATTGCCAGATTTGGAATGGTCTGCAACTTCCACTTCAGTGTCCCTGTCGAGTTCCCGTTTAAAACCTAGCCTTCTTCGCTTCTGTCGTCAACAGTTCCAACTCGATTAGGCTACAAGTATGGACTACTGCGTCTGACAACAGCAACTTATTGGCATTTGTGCTTCGTCCTTGTTGGTTTAACTGAAGAGTTGATTTCTGACCATGTGTCCGAATACGATGCAGCTCCTTTGCAATACAACAAGCCTCCACCATCGTCCTTCTCACAAATGTATTTCGTATGTAAATTAGTCCTCGGACGAGGCACCGTGCTGGCTGATCTACTCAAGAACCCCGTTCCCACTCCTGAGAGGTTCTAGACCCTTTCGGAAGATCTCCTTGCATTCTTGAGATCTGTGCAGTCGTGCGAATTAACCTTGCCTGCTGGCACCAAAAACCATGTCCACAGCAGCATAACCAATCATGGGAATGTTTTACCGCAGGTGCTCGTTTGCCTTATTGCCTGAGGAACAGTTTCTGGTGGATATATACAAACTCCTCCCCATGGAAGACAAGGTGCGAGCGTCACGCAGGGCTTTCAAAATAATTCTAGCGGATTTAGCCGTCCCTTTCTGCCGCTTGCATGTCTGCTTAAGGGCGGGCCTCGCACAGCATGCATAGGTTGTCGGCCATATTGTCGCCCGATCGCAGGTTGCGATATGGCTGATCTTCACAATATCCTGATCCAGTCACCTTGCCAGAAAACGTGCATCGATGGTATTCTTGATTTCGCTGCAGACGAATTTCGCCTTCACCTGCAAGGCGTTCCTGCCACTGCTGCTCCTCAACCGCGTCGATGTGAAGCTTGGCCACAAGCAGAGGCCACAATGGGATGCCAGGCTGTCGGGCCTCGCTGCAACCGCTTTCTGCTTGAAGGATGCGCGAAAGCTTAGCAAGTTCCAAGAGCTGCGCATCTTCAGCTCTGCCAAACATGCGCAGCGGCCAGAAGTCCTGCAGTGGGCCGAGTTGAAGCATCTTCTGGGTCACTTGCACATCTTGCGCCTGCACAACGTGAAGTTTCAGCTGTGGCTCCTGGAGGACGTGGGCATCGCACGACAGTTACAGGTATCTCCATGATGGAAGCTTCCTTCATGTCGATGTGTGCCACAGAGGAACACTGGCAAGATATCAATCCCCTTTGTCCTGGGGCTCACAGGCAATCCAATGCTGACGTCTGCATGCGCCTGTTTTTGTTGGCCTAATTGTGTTCACGTGTTGCACACCAAAATATCGTGGCCTCATTTGCAGTGCTTTGTTCTTGGGCTGACGGCCTGCATGCCTTGCGCAGGTCCTGGATTGCACGGGGTCCACCCTGGAGACGAAGTATATTCGCAATGAAGGCGATTGGTGGCTCCTGAGCAGCGGCTCTCAGAACCTGAAGCAGCTGATCCTGAGGGATGCGCGCATCTTGGTGCTCGACTACATGCCAGACGCACCTTTCAACAAGGTCAAATTGCCCCAGCTGAGGGACCTGGACATCTCCGGCTTTGAGCGGGTTTTCGACAAAGAGTTCTCTGACGATCCCGAGCCAGAGGGCGTCATCAAGATCGTCAGCCCGGCCTTCTTCCGCGGTTGCCCCCGCCTCACCACGGTGGCATACAGTCAGGAAAACGCCACGGCGGAGGCATCGCCGCTGGCCGGCTGCCCCGCTCTGCGCGCTGCCGACATCCGCCTGGCACCTGCCGTGACGGCCGGGCCGCCTAAATTTCCTCTGAAGCTGACCAGCCTGACACTGCGCGGAGCGGAGGGGAAACACCTGGACATCACAGAAGCTCTGCGCGAAGCCGATGCTGCCATCGGCCGGGGCATGGATCTACAGCACCTCGGCTGCGCGCATTACAAGCTCGCCGCAGACCTGGCCTATGATCTCGTGCTGCCCGGCGTGTCTGTTCTGCTGGATCCTGTGGACGCGACAAACAAGCAGGCGCGAGTCTCAGACGGTCGGCTGCAGGCTCTGATCGGAGGTGTGCTGAAGTGCACTCCAGATGTTGAGCGGCTGGAGCTTGGAGCCTGCCCGAGCTGGCTGACTGTACCGGCATCCTGCGCGCGCCTCAGCACCCTCTGTATTCGCCGCTGCCCCCTGGGCCCCAAGGAGATCTCCTGCGCCGGCCTGAAGGACTTGGCTGTTTCGCACTCTTTCAAGGACTGCGCAGTTGGAAGCAGCCGTGAGCTTGAAACCTTGGAGCTGATTTTGGCGGGGTCGATGATGGATTGCCTGGAGAGTTTCACCCTCGGGCTAACCGGCCACACCGTGGGAGACACCTGCAAGATTTCAGTCGCCGCACCGTTTGGCAGGTCAGTGCACAGGGCGCTGCCACATCAGACGGATGTTGTAGGGAAGTGGGAGCTGTCAGTGGGAATCCAGGGGCAGAAGGCTGCTGCAGTTGAGGTACCCCAGCCGAAGGACATTATCTTGGCATGTGTTGATGCGCATGGCAGAGCAGTCTGGGAGGTGCTCTCTGCAGGCCTTGCATAATTTTGCTTATTGTGCCCCCGGTGCTGGATCTGCATGGATAAACCAAGACTCTTTATTGGATGTGCAAGTTACTAACTCTCTCTAGCTCTCTAGTAGAGAGCCTACCGGCTGGCAATGGTACTATACTTCTTAGCTACTGAGCTAACAATGATGAAGTGGAAACCAAGATTCTGATTGCATTTTCACATACTGTAATTCATGCAAATTGTAATCAAGGAAGTGCAAATGATTCTTATGATTACCAGAATCATTAGTCAATGTTGAAGTTCAAGCTAGAAAATTTTGCTTTATCTACGCTGTAGGACCGCTAGCGCTGTGAATCAAACACTGTCACCGTGTGCTTTTAATGCAACCTTTGATCTAAACAGTACTGTGATCAAGACCGTGAGGAAGCTTGAGGTTCCCCAAGATCATGGCTATTCACTCTCTTCTGCAACCCTTCAACCAAGCACATGCATGTCCCCTTATGTAAGCCTCATGTCAGGCCTGTGTACCGGACGTTGAGGCCTGCCCAGAGTTGTCATCGGTCTATTCTAGGCAGATGCTGTCGTCCCATCCGCACTGAAAGGACGTAAAAATGGTTTCTCCCCACACAGGGGTATCTTACATGTGAGCTTGATATCTGCGCAAGCACATGTGCCAGTTCCTGTGCACAACCTTTGCCAAGATTGAAAAGACAAGGATTGACTAGGCTGTGCTGCGTCCATTTTCATAGGGCATCCGTCAAGAAATCAACCGACTCAATATTGTTTATAACTTCAAGGAGGTATTGTGCAGGATAAGTGGAATTGCAGGAATGAGGAATCTTCGGGAAATTGCAGCCTAGGCAGAACATGGGGAAGCTTTAGCTGTCTCCATGCGCCATACTAGACATCTGAGGCAGCCGAGGCAATACAGCTGAAGATTCAAATGGCTGTAGAAACGCAAGACCAGTCGAATGCCGGGGGATCCGAAGCGGCAGACTCTACGAACGGCATTGCACGAAGCAGCTTCCGTGAAGGATCAGTGACTCAAGCCAGTTCTCTAACGGCCTCTCAGCAGAACAGCGACGATGAGTACGAGGGATCTGAACATTCCGAGTCGACATGGCTCAGCAGAGCACAGAATCGGACAGAAGAGCTGCGAAAGCTGTTCCACCTTCCTCCTGGCGAGGTGGGCCTTCTCTTCTTCTGAGCACAGTTGGCATGCAAGTTATCAGTGTAAAAGGTACTTCATGGTACTCAGCCTGAATACTGCTGCCAGCAACCCAAAGAAGGACTTGCCCAAAAGCCCAAGGGTTATTCCTCAAAGAACATGGGATAGAGCAGCAACTTATGCCAGCTCCTACGCTATTCGCCTTTGAATCTCCATTTGGGTGTGCTCAAGCTTCCAAATGATTCTGGCAGATTGCTCCTCACATTGCTAATGTGTGTGTTTGTTGGCCAGAACGTTTGCGACGAATTTGTGTGCGCGCTGCGGAAGAGGATCTTGCTGCAGGGGCGGCTGTACATCTGCGAGCACTACATCTGCTTCTACTCCCACCTCTTCGGCTACATGAAGGAGAAGGTCATCCCTCTCAAGGTGCCCGCCTCACAACCCCCCTGTCACTCGTTCTCATGCTCACAACACCAGCATCCAATCAAGAAAGGGCCAAAGTTGCTTTATGCAAAGAATGTGCACAAAAAGACATGCCCAACCTGCTGTTCCTGTGGCACCTGTCAATGCAGGATGCTGCATTGACCTTGAAGACCCTCGTCATCTTCTCAGCAGTTCTGCTGCAGAAAAGAGCTGATCTGCAAGTAAATGCGCAGGAGGTGACGAATGTGCGCAAGCGGCGCCACTGTGGCTTCCCAAACTCCATCGAGATCATCTGGCGCGGCGGCAAGCGCGAATTCTTCACCTCTTTTCTGTCTCGCGACGACGCGTACCGCCTCGTCATGATGGCCTGGCACCAAAACAGGTGCAGCTTCCCATTTCACAAATGCTGGCATGCGAATGCAATCTATCCCAATACAAACCTGGATGAGATCTTGGGCAGCCTACTAATGCCAAAAATAAAACCTGCACGGTTCTTTTCAACTCGTGCTGATCCTTCAGCATCCCACGCTGCCCAGTGTATGGCATAGGGATTGCCCAGGAGCAATGCAAGGGTGTGCAAAACTTCAGCATATCATCCTGGTCTGCCGACAAGACATGAAGTCAAACAATAAACCAAGTCGAAGTCAATCGTCAGAAAGTCCCAGGGTTGGTTGACACTCATTTAATCCCATGTACACAGCGGGTACGCGAAGCTGTTTGGAACGCTGTCGCCGCACGAGTCGGCGCGTCCGGTGGCGCTGCAAAAGGCGAGCGCTCTCATCCGCTCCTCAATCACCGGCCACTCCGCCGGCACCGCCTCCGCCGACCACAGCGACTCCGAAAAGGGTGCCGAGGCAAGCCCCCCGCTGCCATTCTATCCATGCTCTCATCCAGATGCCACGCTGTGTCTTTCCACTGATTCTTGGGCAAGAGCTGCGAAGAGTGTGGCCAAAGCTGTGGTGCTGCATCTGCAGGGCAGGTGGTGTATTGAGCCCTCAGCAGCATACCAAACATGAGCATCACTGTCTTGTCAACTATCACACATTTGATGAGCCAAGGTTGATTGCGGTTAGGACAGTGCCTCCAAACGGGAGTTTTGTTTGTGGTCGTGTTTATGTGCATTCAGGTGCGACTGGTGCGCAGGGAAAGCGGAGCAGGCTGGGGCAGATCATAAACACGCTGGCGTCCGGGCACATCGTCCCGATCGGCACGCGCCGCAACATCTTCCAGAACGGGGGGCACCGTGGGGGGGACCGGGATGCAAACGATGATGTCAGCTCCCAGGGCAGCGCCAGCTCATTCGCTGAGCGCAAGGCCGAGGTGCAGTCTGGGGCAATTGATGCATGAAGTTGCTCTGGGGTGTTGCGGGACGCAGCCATGTAGTGTCTATTGTGCAGTGACTGCATGGGGATGGAGAACTCTCTCGTACTCAGGCCTCTTGATCACCTAGAATAGGGTGGAAAGTGTCTGTGGGGTGCTGGCTCCACATTCTGCATGCTGATTTACACCCATGAGTACCCTTATTGCATCTGTCATTCAGACACCCACCGGTTTTGTGTATTGCTGCGCAGGTCTCCTGGACCCACCCTTCGGCCGCAGCTCTCAGCGTGGACGATTCCGAGGCATACTCGGCAGACAACAACGACAACGACAGCGATATCGCCAGCGATGCTGACTCAGAGGCTGGGGGTGATGATGAATTGGACTGGTCCCCCCAGCCTGGGCCGGCCCCCCCAGTCCCCCCCGACTGCCACGCTTTGTCCAAGGGTGTCCTCAATGCCGATGTGCGCGAGGTGTTCCACCGGCTGCTCGCTGACGAGGTGCGCACCTTTTCATTTCCCCAGATTGGCTGCTTTGTGGGTTTTCATCTCAGGTGGCTCTCCTATCCGACAGTGAGTCACAGCAATGGTTTTGCAAGTCAAAGTTGGCTCATTTGCATGTATGGAAATAATCTTGATTGCAGACCCCGTGCTTTGCATCCCCTGCACGTCTCGTTGCACCACCGCCGTTGTTGTGCAAGTTCTGTATAAGTCAGTGGCAGTGCATGACACTTACTAAGAGATGCGGCTCAGGATTCTGAAGTAGTCAGTGACAGTCCCCGTTTGGCTTGCCGAAAGTGCTGGCACCATTGTTTATCCGAGGACCAAAATAACCCTGGCTACCCTAGCAATAATTACAATTCCCATAATTCCCTGAAACAAATGCAATTTCCGCAGCGCTTCTTCCGCTCGTTCCACGAGGGCCGGGACGACCGCGACGTCCGAGTGTCGCACTGGCGCCAGCACCCGGCAATGGGACGAGTCCGCGAGCTAACATTCGTCTCCCCCGTGAAAATGCGCATGGGCATTTCCCCCTCCTCCGCGCACTGCCACCAGACTCAGCGCTATCGGCTGTTCGAGGGGGGCGCACATCTGGTTCTGGAGTCCAGCCAGACCATGAATGACATCCCCTTTGGGGACCATTTCACTGTAGAGAGCCGCTGGGACTTCTCGGCTCTGACGCCCGCGCCAGACGGCGCACCCCGCACCAAGGTGAGTGGATTTTCCTTGATTGTGCTCAACTTTTTGTTGACAGCTGCCATTCTGGAATCAGGGTCGCTGCAGGGCCCTTTGTGGGAAGTGCATTGGTACTGTGCAATCAAATGGAAGCACTGCATGCAGTGCTTTTGGTGGACGATAATTGTACGCATGCAAGCATGGATTATGGTACAATGCATGTTTATTAGCATGGCCGTGCAAAGTCAAATGGCTTTGGATTGAAGGAGTATTGTGATGATTGGTGGTGAAAGAGGTGTGCATGCACACGATGTGACATATGTGTTATGCTGGTGCACAGGCGGTCAACCATGTGAAGATTCCCTTCAACAAGCACACAATGTGGAAAAAGGCCATCGAGAAGGGAACGCTCGACAGCTGCAGGGAGGCCCACGAAGACCTGGTGAGACTTTTCTCCTCCTTTTCACCCTATCTCGTTTGGTTTCTTTCAAATCTGCAGATGCTTGCAGATCCTCCATTGCCTGCATACTATTGTTCTGGCGATTTTGTGCCAAGATTATTACATGGAATGAGACCTTGGTCTTGCTGTGCCCCTTTGGTGACAGTGAGTAGCCCCCGCTGCATATTTGAACACGGTAGAATTTTTTGCCACAAGAAGCTTCACCCTTCCTTTGTGGATGTCAGTGATGTGGAAGAAATGTGATTCAAAATGATCCCTCTTTGTGGCGTCCTGCAGCTGGTCAAGGCGCAAAAGCTGGTAGCAGCAGTGCCAGCAGTGCTGTCTACAATTCGTAGCTCTTCCGGCCGCGTCCCAAACGGCGCTCCAAACGGTGCCCCTGCGACGCCGTTTGCGGCCGGCGCGGCGGCCGGGATCCCCCCGCTGCACCCGGGGGAACCCAGTGGAGCTGCGGCGGCCGGCAAGGGGCCCCAGGGGTCGCGCGACGTGGAAGAGCTGCTATCGCGCATCCCCCCTGAGTACCGGCCGGACGTGGCGCGCATGCTGCTCAATTCCCAGGAGAAGGCTGCCGGCGGGTGAGGCTCAAAACACAACCTGGCATTTGTGGGGTTTAATTCTGACAAGGATTATTGGAGGACATACAGTTTCTTGGTGTACCAGGCAGGAGCCATATGCAGTGTTCAGTATTTGCCCCATTGACAAATAGCAGTCATCTCAAAGGGAAGGATTTTGAGGGACTGGGCTGTGTTTCTTGGCGCCCTTGCCTACATTTTCTGATGGCGGCTCCCCAACTCGCCTTATCCCTTGGCAATTCCTGTGGCCAGTTGTGCTGCTCTTGGCGAGTTACCTGGTCAGCATGCTGTGCAATGTTAGGGTATCAGCGCCCTTCATCCTGACCTTCCTGCTAAGAGTGGCACAGTGGCTGAGAGGAAATGCCCTGCCTTTGGACACCTGCATGGTCAGCAGTCAATGCCTCCTAAGTGTGACAGAACTGGATATGCATTGATCAGGAAACTGAAAAAGGATTGCTGGCTGTGCAGGTCTGGGGCCATCACCCGCATGCAAAGTGAGGCACTTGTGAGGGCAGCGACCATGCCTGGCGCGCTGGGCAGCGGGGGCGTGCCCTCTCCCGGCAACGTAAATTCAACCCACCCATTGGCTGCTGCATATCACTGGCTGCGCGGCTGCTGCGAGCCGCGCTACCTGCTTATGGGCTGCATCCTGCTCGCCATCCTGATCCTCCAGGTGCGGCAGGAACAGCCTGTCTTTTGAACTTGTGTGGTCAGCCCTTTCAAGTCCCCCTTGCTTTGTGCGCCTGCAACTTTAACTTTCAGGCAATTCAACAAGAACGCAGTCTGAAGACGAAGTCTCTGCGAGAATTTAGATCAACTGTCATGCCTTTTCGCCTGTCCACCGAAGGATCCTCCCCTGTGCAGCCATGCTTACAGACAGCCATGCGTACTATGCTTTGCAGATGTGCTTTTCCTTTCTTTTTCTGCAGTGAGCGTCTTTCTTCAGCAGATTGTGAGTCCTGGGTTTTCATGTCACGTTAAAAGTGACTTACATAATTGTGGGATTGTTGGTGTGCGGCAGATCATAATCCTGGCCGGCGTCGGCCGCGGCGGGGGCATGCGCATGGCGTTGCTGGGGGTGGAGGCGCCAAATCAGGCGCTGGCACAACGAGTGGAAGTCATGCAGCTGGAGATGGCAGCCCTCATGCAGCGCATGGAATTACTCAATGCTGAGCTGGCGGCCGCCGCACGCCATCTGGCAAACCAGACCGCTGACGTGGCATGACCCAATTCCCCACTCGTGACAGTTGCCCCACTGAGCTCACGAGCCCAGTTGGCACGGAGCATGGGGTTGAGCAGCAATCTGCCATGTCTAATCTTGAATGATGTCCCAGATATATTCGTCTTCTTCCTTGCCTGTGTGGCACCTTTGTGTGATTTGCGCCCCTCATGTACTGGTTTATAACTAAGGGGAGAGGACATCCGTGTGGATACAACAGAATAACGCATGCACTGCGTGGGATTTTGGGGGTGCGAGCCTATGGTGCCAGCATTGCAGCCAAGAGAGCTGGGGAGCACTTGATCTGTACGGATTTTCTCGTAGTGAAACAAGTGCAGTGCGCCACCCTGACTGCAGGCAATTCAGTCAAAAGGTCTCCTGGTTGATGCTGCAAGCAGCTGTGCCATTATGAGGCCTTTTGAATGTTCAACGTAGAGCAGCCATGGTGGATTTGAGCCACAAATGTTGCTTATGAGGGAAGGTTAGAGGCAAACGGCGCCGATGAGCAATGATATTGAGGGCGTTTGCGTCTGGCATCTGATTGGTGCAGAAGCACATTCCTATAGGCTGAATACGTATTGGTCTATGAAGTATAACTCAAAAGTGTTAGGAACTGTACACATGTGGGGCTGTGACGGCACCCAATTGTGGCATAGGAGACACTTTCCGGTGGAATAAGCTGAACTCACCAGGAACAAAGGATCTGGAACGGCAACTGTGTATTTGACAACCTGCAGGCAGCTAGCAGCAATGTGTGGCACAGAACTGCACCCAACGGTGCATGATCTGCCAAGGAAGATTCAAAATGCGTGAAATGCTTGGACCTGTACAGTTTTTAGGACTCTTTCCATCCTTGAAATGATTTCATCATCACCAATGGGTCGGGCTCAGCGAGAGCTTACTAAATCTGGTCTCAAAATTGCCGTAGGGTTTATATTTTGCATTTTAGGGTCTAAATTTTCGACCTTTCATTGAGGACAAAGGAATTATTATATGCGGGAAATATGGTGCTGACTATGGTATATATACTTTATATGGCTCCACGCAGTGAGCCAGAATGGCAGTAATCTGGCCACAGTAGCTGTGTACACTGTAGGGAGGAACAGCTGCTATGGTATTAGCGGATCTGCACTGTAGCTTTACCACTGTGTATCTAACGCAGTCGGAAAGTTTGCTGGAACCTCTGAAGTTGCAAAGGGGCTTCCTTGTCTTTGCTGTGCAATGAAACCATACAGTTGTCTGATCAGCAAGTGGTTGGCCAGAACTTGATCCGGTCAGCTCAATTGAAAGTTACAGAACAGTAAAATAAAAGCAAATCCATGGCCAAGCACAGGATCCTAAGATTAGATAGCCACACACCCATGCGACAGCAATGCAAAATTTCAATCAATAACCTGCCGGAAAGCTCCGTAGACTCACTGCAGGGACTTCACAGCTTTTGATTGCTGAAGGCCGCAGAGGGAATGTAGCATGCATGTAGCATACTGTCATATGACAGTAAAGCAGTGCTGCCACTGTACCTGATGCTCTAAAAGTGCATCCAAGCAATTGCATTCCTGTCTGGAGTGTTTGCCATTATGGTGCAAACGATCCCTCTCGAGCGTTCATCAGCAGCAAATTCTCCCACATGAGACAACTCACTGAAGACATTTGACAGGCAACACCACGTCTTTCCCAATAGTGCTGCGGCCGCAATTTTGCGGCTCGCTCTCCCCCCTCAAACTATGGCAAACAATTTGTGTCCCTCAGGACCTCGTTGACATCATTTCTGTCAGGTCTGCCAGCGAAAGCAAATGGCGCCCTCCACAGACACCTCACGCAGGCGACATGGGTCCACAGTGACAAGGCGCCATTAGCAATTCAGAGATCATTAGCTCTGGTAAACGCCGTCCTATCACCCTGTCTCAAACACGCACAGTACCATGTCTCCACTGTTCGAGGCGGCCGGCAATTTGGCGCGCTAGTGAGTGCCGGTGGCCGGCGCGGCCGGGTCGACGGCAGCGGCCGGGGTGGCGGCCGGCTCGGTGGCGGGCGTCGCCGCAGCAGCCGGCGCGTCAGGAGTTGCCTCGGGAGCTGCGGCCAGCTTGGTGACTACGCCGCCCTGCGCACAATGCAGACTGGGAAAGTCAGTACCGCGTATGGAAAAGTTGCTGCAGAAATGCTCGATGTGTGTGGTCTGTGACAAGCGGTTTGGCTTGGTGTTGCTCAGACAGGGAGAGTTAGCTATGTTCTGGGTAAGTTGCTGGCAGGGAATTGCATGCTTAATGTGTGTGGTTTGTGATAAGGTGCGCAAGCGGGTCTGCTTGGTGCCGCTCGGACAAGAGCCAGCTCAAGGCATGCATTGGCATACATCATCAGAGTGACAACTCAGAAGGATGCTCGTGCAGAATTGCATAACAGAATTGGCCCAAAGGCAAGGCTGAGGCAAGCATTGAGGAGGGGCGCAGGCTCCAGATCTCTCGTAAAGCACAAGGACAGATTAGCAGGCAATACTGGTCTCCAGGCAGTGTGCATGAGGCAGGGGCGCACAGTGGTGGCATTCGCAGAAGTTGGCACGGCAGCCTTTCCAGCTGTGGTGGCATTGGTGGTGCCAGAGCTGCCCAGGCCTGGAATGTTGACTCCCTGCAGAGCCACACACCTGGTAAGAGCAAACTCATGTACACATGCAATTAATTGCTGGGAAGCAGACTTGCATACTTCTGCAATTGAATACTTATGCGGCCAGAATGTACTTTGCATGGCTGCTGACCTCAAAGAGGCACAGCAGAAGTAGGTGTATGATCAAGAGTGTGTCAACACTTGTGCCAGGATGACTGTGTTTCATCAAATCTGTATGACAGGCCCTAGGGTGACAGCAGGAGCTCACGTAGGACTTCAGCTGGCCCTCCAGGTCCGCTGGGTTGATGTGGGCAATCTTGTCTGCGGCCTCGTGCCCATACTTCTTCACCTGCAGAGAATATTGTGAGTGTCTCAGCACAATGAGAATTCTGAGCCTGAAATTTCAAACCCTAGTTGATAAATATCAGGTGATGTCGAAACATAATTAAGACGCCTTATCAGCTTTACCATGCATGAGCAAAAACCCAGACACTTTGTTTACAAAATTCAAGACTAAATTACTGGCGGAGAGATGAAATGGGGCATAAACGCGTGAGATGTTTCCCACGACATGCTTGACAAGGTACGGGCTGGATAGCGCGAAGGAGCGCAAACTCGACGCACAGAACAGGAAACTAATGACATGCTTGATACCCTCAACTCTGGCCGCGAGCGCATGTCAATTTGCCTTTGCTGGGGCCTGTGAAGACAATTCAGATTGACAGATAGATAAATACCTGCTCTGCCCCGCTCGCACCGATCTTCGCCTCAGCGGCCTGTGCGGCCTTGTCAGAGGCTGCGGCGACCTATACACATGTAGAGTAACATCAGTTGTGGGCCAGCATGATAAACACGACAGGTGATGTACCACGATCTGAGTTCAGCGATCGATTGCTTCTCTGCGACAGAATGTCTGGCATGTTTGCAGGCTCCGAACGCCAGTCGTGCAGCGAATGCTGAAGGAATGTTTTCTACCAATAAGTGGAAGCACCTGCTCTGCAGCTTTCTTCAGAAAGGAGTCCATGATCTCGGAAGTGCTCGACGACTGTGCTGGAAAGCGGGTGCGTTTCGCTCGAGGGTGAACAGTGAACGAATGTCAGACGTGTAATCAAGCGAATTTCTGAGGCTGTGTTTACGAAGGGAAACAGGAACGTGAGCTCTTCTGCTGAGCTGTCTATTCTCCTATATTAGGTTACGATAATCGCAGGGGATTGCAATCCTGCATGTCCGAACTCTCATGAGCAATATTGTCACGATCCACTGAGCAGAAATGCGAACTCCGATATGAAATTAAGGTGCAGGTAGTATCAAAGCGTTATTCCTGTGCAGGGCGGGCCTCTCCAATTAAGTTCGAGGCAAGGCAATCTGCAATCGGTTGCACACCTCGTCCTCAAGAACGCTTCAGTACCGTGCTTCATATCCTAACAGTAGTATGAAAGGCGTACGCCACGTTTGTACGTTACCGGGAACCAATCCTGTGCCCTCTGGACGTGCCCCGGGATCACCACCAACACTCACGTCCTGCTGAAGACCCACGGTAAATGCTGGATGTTACCATTGCAACGGTACTATACTATCTGCTTTGCCAAACGAGAATTGCGCTCAGATGTGCCGAGCGCCAAAGTGCAGCACCGTCCCATACTCCATCGCAGAATATGCTGCACCCCATGCTCCAATTTAAGTCCCTTTCTACTGACAATGACAAAGCCCAACGCTTGTCTGAACAGTTCCATGCTTTTTTGCGACTTCAATTCATTATGATTCCATTTGTGTGAGGCAGCAGGGCGTGATGGACCAGCAGAAGGGGAAGGCATCCCAGCCCAAGCGCGGGGTGCAGGTCATTGACCCTCTGCTGGATCGCCTCAAACCTAATTCGCGCCCCCAGCCGCGGCCTCAGAAACCCCCAAGGCCCCCTGCATCCTTGGTGCAGTGGCCCCCGCCGGATGCTGCCTCCAACAGCATGCTCCCCGCAGCCAAGAGGCCCAGGATTGGAGACATGCCGCCCCTGCCGGGCCATGCTCCCAGTCAGAGTGCTCCAGCTGCGGCAGCAGCAGAATCGGTGCGTGTCAGTCTACTGCGAGAGCCTGCATGCATGTGCACCAATCGGACCTCCATCACTGACACATGCAGGCCTAGTGTGATGTACCGCTCGCGATGAGTTTGACGTCCCTGCTTGGGGGTGCTCTAAGACATGCATGAAAGCCACCTGCCTGCATTGGCTGCATGTGCGGCTGGTTCACAGGCTGCTTTTCAGGCAGATAGCTCCATGGACATTCGCTGCTGCATGCAATCTCAACTTCTCTTGCCTATTCCAATTTTGCATGCAATAGCTAATGACAAAGTACTTGATCATCGGTGCTGCAGGAGCCCATCCTGCAGCCCAGGAAGTCTGGCAAGCCGGAGAACTTCAAGCGGCCCACCGCGCGCAGCACCAAAGGGGGCCAAATCACCGCGCAGTCAACAGGAGGCCTGGACAGGCATGCTAACTACATGCTGACTTGCTGACAGACTAGAATCCTGACGAACGCTTGCTTATTGCATCAGTGATGGCTGTGTCAAGGGAGCGCTGCAAAGATGCATGGCCATGTTAGCAAGTGTGGTGACAGTGAATTTCAATACATGTCTGCTAGTTGGGTGCATATTAAATGGCGCATTGATCTTCAAACACAAAAAAGGGATCACTCCCCTGATGGAGGGAGCCATGTGACCTTGTTTCCCTATACAAGGCCTGATTGTCCATATCTTGCATATGTGCATGAAGGTCCGTCCCCACGGTTGATTGGGTCTTGCTGGGATCTGGCCAGTCCAACAAGGGGTAGTAATTCGGCAGCCTTTACATGCAGCTTGTCTGTGGACGCACCTTGCCTCTAGCCGAAATGGTGTGCAATATAATAACAATAATACTAACAATGATTGGAGTATTCATGATATTACAAGGAGTGAGCATCAAGACACCGGTCCAATGCAATGCAGGCTGGAGCGGGAGGTGCTGGGCGGCCGCCTGTGGCACGGCGCGTGCCGGCGCCTGAATGAGGACCTGCCGGATTCAGTGCCGCTGTCTTTCACGGACGCGGCCGAGTATGTGGGCACATTCGAGCCGCTGCTGTTTGAGGAGGCGCGCGAGTGCGTCCGCAGCGACTGGGGCGAGGCCTGCGAGGGCGCCCGGCCCAGAACATGGCCTGCCGCAGTCTCCAGGTCTGCCGCAATTTTCACCCTTCTGGACCAAGCTAATTGTTGTCAGCACGGGCCTTCACTGGACACATTTTTGGCTCTCAGTGTGCCACGGCGTGGCATGCCACATAGTCGGATATTAGCATATTTTGCCAATGTGCTGGGAGCGATTGATGACACCTTACCTGATATGAGATTGGCTGTGCTCTCAAGACCGAATTCGGCTTTCTTCAGACCCTGCAGGACTGCCATAATGCATTGCTTTCTCCTCAGTCCACAAAATACATGTACGGGCAACATGGAGGTTTCCAGATATTGATACCAAATTCTGCTTGTGGTCGCAGCCTGGAGGAGAGGCATGGTGGCTGGGTGGACGTGACAGTGACGCCGCAGCCGCAGCCGGGCGCATTCTCGCTGATCCGCCCGCCGCAGGCCGGCAGCGTTGTCATCCTCACCTCGCAGCGGCCCCCCGCCCGCCAGACCCTCGACTGGCTCACCAGGTGCACTTTTGCCATCTTTTATAATGCAAGAGAAAGAGGGGGCCTCTGTGAAGGGCAAGACTTTTGTTGAGGTATCAGATGCAGAGACGCAGCGCTACTGCTCAAATTTCATTTCAAAAGCAGTCAGGCAAACTTTCAACATTTGCAATGGGTGCATGAAAGATACGTGCGAAAGAGCATGACTGCTATGTTTAGACGTGATCTAGATTGGAGGTTGTTCGTGCATGCAATTCCAAATGCATGTCTTCTGCCAAGGCCCAATTCACCAGAAAGTCAAACCTTAACAGTACAGGACAAGCAATCTGATGTCCGCTGTGCATTTGCAGGCCTCCCAGGGACAGGGGCCAGCCAAGAGACAGCCCAGAACCCCCCCACGGGCCCGGCGGTGGCCACCGCAGCCGTTCCCGGTCCCCGTATACGGGCGCACCCGGCACCAGCCGCGCCGATTGGAACCGGCAGCAGATGGCAGAAGGGCTGGACGGCCTGCAGCCTCAAGCACCCACTGCTAGATCCGAGGAGACTGCAGGGCCTCAAAAGAAGCCAGCCTCCACAGAAAAGGGCCAGGCATCGGAGCATGCAAGTGTCTTATCAGCTGGTGCAGAACAGGACACCGTCATGGTGGAGAGTGAGGATGAGGAAGGGCAGGTGAAGGAGCATGCCGACAGCAATGGGTCCGCAGCAAAAGAAGCAGGAAATGCAGCAGAGTGTTCTGCAAGGTCAGGGGCTGAAGGTAGTTTAGCAGCCAAGCAGAGGAAGCCGCAGGGCCGGCCAGTGGCGAGCAGGTCAGCGTCCCCAGAGCCAAAGGCTTGGAATGGAGGGAACGGTAGAGCAGACAGGGGCGGGGGGTCCTACTCGCCACCCTTGGTCATCGCAGGTACGTCTGGATGAATTGAATACATCAGAGCCTGCATGCATGGAGTATGTTGATTCAGCACCCATAGGGAACATCCCATGATCAATCTGTGCCCGATGTCTGTTCTGATGTCCCTTGTCTGATGCTCTGCCGGCCATACCATGACCCTTGTTAACTGACTTTAAAGTTGTCAGAGTAGCTTGGATTCAATGAAGCATTTGTGTTTGTACACACGAGCATCCTTCTGAATCAGGCATGGATACGCAGGCATTGTGAGGACGGTGCCTTACAGGCAGGACGCCGGTGCCGGCACATTTGTCATCAGCGTCCATCCCTGTTGTCGCGCGCATGAGGAAGAGACATGCGAGGCTCCATGCATGCAGGTACTTTCACCGTCAGCATATTTGCATGCTGCTTTTTGCTACCTCTTTTTGGCAGCACCCTTGGATGCAATCAATTGCCATGAAGGCATTGTGCATGTCTTTGCAAACAGTTGCTAAACATGTCGCAAGGGCTAGCCAGCACATGCTGCGTGCTATTCTCTGCGTTCAAGCAATGCATGCCTCCTGCTTTAGTGCACAATGACAAGAAACCTGTGCATGCGAGAGTGTATTTTACAGGGCTCTGGCCGACATGCAGGCACTGGCGGAGCTGAGGAAGCAGGCCAGCGGCTGGTGGGGAGTGATGCTCTCGCCGCTGGTCACACAAGTCAGGGAGTACCAGACTATCCACAACCTCCACACCTTCCCGGTGAGCACTTTGCTTTAGCATTGGCGCTGTGCAGTCAGCAGCGGGTATGCGCGTGTGCCACCTTCACGTGTGAAACCTATTACATTGTCATCGACTCCTTTTCCATGTGGGGTTGTACACGCGCAAACTGAGCTGGTGCAGGCAAAGTGCATGCATTTTGATTGCCGACTCTCCACAACCGCCGACTCTCTACAACCTAGCAGACGTGCATCTCACCTCAACTGGCTGGTAGTCATGTAATGTAGTGGAGGCAGGTGTGATGCATCACGAGGCTCAAGAGCCAAAGGGCAGGACTCTTTGCAAAGCTTCTGTCATGATATTTTGTCTGTACATGCGCAGCTGGCGGCGAGCATCCTGCAGCCGGAGCGCCTGAGGGAGATTGGGGAGCGGACGCTGTCCAAGGAGGCCATTCAAAAGATGTGGCCCATTGAGGTGGCCCAGAAGGGCTTCATAGACTTCCTCAGGGAGCAGTACGACCACACCCAGCTGGAAGCCATCGAGGTCAGTCTCTGCTCACTCAGAACCATCATTTATATAGCAGCAGACAGCGCAGGTTTCAACTGTTCATACTTCTGCTCTGTGGGTATGTGCATAATTGCATTGCAAGGGAAGATGTCAGAAATGGGGGTTGATCATTGTCAGTCCTCAATCTTCTATATTTGCATCAGGATTAAGATTGCATTGCATCAGGTGCTTTCTGCAAGCGGATATTACAGTATGAGTGCCTTGCACATGCATCTGCTAGTAAGAAGGTCAGGAAGCAGGGTGTTGCTTGCCACAGCAGCAAGTGCCCAGAAGCAAGGGAATGGAGACTGTAAAGGATGAGTGATTGCTTCAAAGTCAAATGCTGCACAGGTGGCGACCTGTCACCTGGGCCAGTCCAGCAAGGCGGAGCAGAAGCAGGAGCTGCTGCCCTTCATGCTCATCCAGGGCCCCCCCGGCACGGGAAAAACACACACTGTGAAGGGAGTGCTCAACGTGTGGCACCTGGTGCACTACCAGCGCTACTACAACTCCCTCGTGGCTGTGCTCACCTCGGACGCCAAGGCCGGCATCAACATGGAGAGCATGCAGAACGCCATCGACCGCAAGTGCGTTCTCCCCTTATTTCAGCTGTAGACAATCTTAAATATCACCAAGTCAGACCCTTTCATTTCACCTTGCTCTGGCACAAACGGCTAAGGTTGCCTTTGTGCAATGGGCATCCTTTATTCTTGGCTCCGGGCGGAGGTTGTGCGAAGGAGTTTGTTAGCACAGGGCATGCTGTTTTGGGGCTTGCTCGCATCATGCAGATATTGCTTGGTGCATGTCAAAACAGAGATTTTGTTGCCACAAAAGAGTAACAATGGGGCTTGTACCCAGCATGCAGACTCTGCGTCAGCCATTGAAAGCACACCCCTGGTGCCAGAAAAGGATGTTGGGGCTAGCGTGCATTCTCTGCATGAGGGATATAAAAAAGAAGTCCCATTTTTTGCCACAAATAACGAAGGTCTGCGAATACGCAGGGTGCGAAACACAGCGCCGAAGCCGCGCATCCTGATTTGTGCGCCCAGCAACGCCGCCGCAGACGAGCTCCTGCAGCGCATCATGGACACCGGCTTCTCTGACGCTCAGGTGCGCCGCCAGCTACCTTGCTTTTTTTCTTCCTTGTTCTTTTTCTCTATTCCTTTGAAACATGTTTCTTTCTCTTCTTTGTTTTCTTCTTCATTTTGAGATATGCCTGATCATCTTTGTTGTAAACATGCATGATCCCGAGGTCGTGTAGATCTCTAGGGCCAGATTGTAGAGGATTTTACACCTCTGAATGATATTGCACTTCTTCTTTTCCTCTGAAGCACGGCTGATCATGAGGATGCATGCATGATCTCGAGGTCATGTGGATATGTTGGCTTTGGAAGGTTGAGGATATCATGTCTCTCGGTGCAATTGCGGTATTTTGGGCTTTTGCTGTGGTGAAATATGGGGACCGCTCCCAGGTGGCATTGTGATTATGAGGTGGAAGCCCTAGAGACATTGCCGGAGCCTCCACTTAGAAGAGCGCAGAGCCACTTGAAAGGGGAACTTGGTCGCCCCCTTTTCCCTGCTAGCAGCAAAAACATGGCGCACCAATGACCAGCAATTGTTTCTGGCTGGCGGACCATAACTGCAGGGCCTCGTGGCAGTGAAGTTCCTAGCGTACTCGTCTTTGCCTGGACCATGAAAGGTGGTCTTCAGCAGAAACTGCCAAAGTACCACCCAGCAAGAGGCAGTGGTGATGAAAGCTAGAATAAAATGCATGCACCAATGCAGGGCAAGGTTTATCGGCCGAATGTGGTGCGCATCGGTTCAGAAGAGGCACCGCTTTCGCAGCGCGCCAAGGACGTCTGGGTGGACGGCCTGATCAGGCAAGATCTGCCATTCGTACTTGAAATTCCACACTTTTCCAAATCTCTATGATGCACACTGCATGTCTTTTCACGAAAGAAGCACCATCTCAGATGGACTAGCATCTTGAGGTGACACCATTTCACGCCTGTACTTGTGATGGTGTCACCTTATGATCCCTATCCACCTCGAGTGGGGTTGATCCAGCCTCTTTTTTCCTGAAATCTTCTTCTCACTAGTTCTCACAGTACCCTGGGTTCACTTGCAAGAGGAGTCCCTGCCTACCGCAAATCTCAGAAGGTGCCCAATTCTTCAGCACCTGCATGGGAGCATAGACTCATGTTGATGCTTTTTCCCAGCTGCATGGAATGATTGAAATGTCTGTTAACTACCAGCATGGAAACATGACTAATTATGAACCTGATTCCCCAGGCGCTACATGGGCATGAGCGTGGCGCAGTGGCAGCGCGACAGCCAGCGGTTCCGGCACGAGGTGCTGCGCCTGTCGCGGGGGATCATGGAAATCCAGAGCCGTATCAAGGCCGCCCAAAACGATGCGCCGGTGTGTTTCAAATCGACTTACATCCTGTGTTGGGTGGTGATGTCTCAAGAAGGGTGGCTTCTAATTGGAGCACTTCCAATTCATCTATCATGCTTGCAAGCCACTCTTGGGCGAAGGTTTCAACAGTCTCGTTCGTTTTTTACTCAAGAGGCTTGTGCAATTTCGCATCACCAAACACTGCTTGGACTGTAGCAGTGCAATATTGCACTGCACCCGATTAAGACACTCTTTGGGTCACAAATCTCTTGATCTTCAGAGGCTGCTACACTGCCACACGGTTTCCCATGAGACAAGATGGCGCAATGTGCTTGACATCTGAGGAGCACTGTCGAGAGGGCCTGCACACGCGCGCAGGCGGAGGTGCACAAGTGGGGCCACGACCTGGCCAACATGGATGAGGCGCGCGATCGAGCAGTCGTGGAGCTCAACCGGCTGGACACCGTGCAGGGCCTCGTCTGCCACCCCCAGGGCATCAACAAGCGCGAGGTGCAATTATCACAAGCTCTGCTAGGTCATGTGTCCGATGGCTCCACGGCAACTCTTGCATGCACTGAGGTGCTACTTTCCAGCATCCTGCAGATGGGTGAACGACCTCGTGGTGTGTTCAAGGGGCAATCTTAGCCCTCCGCCAAAGGCGCACCATGTGATCTTGCAAGCCAAACCAGCACACCGCAGCTTTGTGAGCCGTTATATGCAAAGGCATGACAGGGGATGCACATGCTGCGCGCAGGTGGAGTGCAGCCTGGAGATGTCGTTTGTGATGGAGGCGGAGATGGTGTTCACAACGCTCAGCAGCACGGGGCGCCGAATCTTCCAGCGCCTGGAGGGGACGCCCTTTGAGACCGTGCTCATCGACGAAGCCGCCCAGGCCTCCGAAATCGCCGCGCTGCAGCCGCTCGTCTTCGGCGCCAAGAGGTGCGCCCAAGAAGCTTTGCTAGCCCATTCTGGACTACCTCAGATAGTCATGCAGCTGCTTCTCCTAGCTATATCGCTGGCAGCATGATTTTCCTTATTAGGCTGCTATAGGCTCTCTCAGAAGAAATTGTCTTAACAGCAAGTGAGGCTTAATTCCTTGACAGACACAGCAGGATGGACACCTTGTGTCAATCTGCTTCTGCAAAAAAGAAAGCAAGTCCTGTAATTCCATTAAATTTGATTAGAACTGGAAAAGGAGGTGCACATGCAAGCGCAGGGCACGACACCTTGTCTAAGTCTGTTTTCTGAAAAGTTGCGACCAAACCGCTAGGAGAGAAGAATGCCTGGGAGGAGCAAATTTGGCTATCAAGACATTTTGCATGCATGGGTGCGCAGGGCGGTGCTGGTGGGCGATCCGCAGCAGCTGCCGGCAACGGTGAAGTCGGCCAAGGGCAAGGAGCTGGAATTGGAGCGTTCCCTCTTTGAGCGCCTGCAGCGCGCGGGGTGCCCCGTCAAGATGCTGAGCGTGCAGTACCGCATGCACCCCACCATCCGCGAGTTCCCCTCCAACTACTTCTACAATGGTCGCCTGGAGGACGGGTGCGTGATTTCTGCACTTCTTTGCTCGGCAGAGTGTATTTGTTCGAAAATTTCTAAATCCTGACACTGCCCAGCAAAGAGCAGTTGCAAGGGGTCCATGTGTAAAACAAGGCTCCAAGGAAGCCCAGTTATCGCTTAGCGACCGTTTGCTACCCCACATCTTGATGGGGCTTCCTGGAACCTTGTGTACACATAGACCGCTTGCGAGTGCTTTTTGTTGGACAGTGTCCAGCTCATTGCTTGCTACCTTACGCATCCTCTCGACGGCTGAAATTGGGTGCCATTGCCATCGAAGGCCATGCTGCATGGTATAGCGCATGTGCTGTTATAGCAGGGCTAGGTGCGTTTCCAGCAGTGCTTGCATTTTGTGTTACATGTGACAATCTGAAATGTATGTGTGGTTTTTCTGCTCGGACAGGAAGTCGGTGAAGGAGGCAAAGCCGCCGGTTTTTTACGAGCACCCGCTGCTGAAGCCGTACGTGATCTTTGATGTGTCCCACGGCCGTGAGCAGCGCGGGGGGTCCAATGGGGGATCCCTCAGGAACCAGGCAAGCCCGTTTTTTTACTCCTGCTTCTTGACATCTCACTCAATATTCTCTGGCTGGTTGGCCATGCAGCGTGGCTGTCCTGCGGTGTCTGAGAGCATGCTGCTCATCTGCACGTGTTCCTGCAATTGCAAGGGGATTCTAGACCGCAATGATTGACAGCGCTGAATCAGTTTTATCAGACTTTTGTTGTACAGATGTCTACCTTTACTGCACGTGTGGCCTTGCCACAAAATTGCTTTTAAAAAAAGTGGCAGATGGCTTTTTGTGATAAGCTGAGTAGCCTCCAGCTGCCGGACCTACTGTGATGTGGCGCTGACTGAGCGTGCTGACATGGCGCAGGCGGAGGCTGACCTGGCGGCGGCGCTGTACAAGGAGCTGACTGAGTTCCGGGCTGCGGCCGAGCGGCGCGGCGTCAAAGTTGGCGGCTGCGAGGTGGGCGTAGTCACCCCCTACAAGCAGCAGAAGACCTGCCTACGCGATACCTTCCTGCGCGCCGCCGGGCCCGAGGCTAGCGCCAAGGCACGGCCCCTCCTTACTGTAAATTTCTCATCATCATTTGATCCGTGGGTTGATGCAAGCCTGGTCGTGCTGTCTGCTAGTGCTTTTGCTGAGAGAGGCTCCTGTAGTTTGTGGAGAGGCAGAAGAGGCTCACTGTAATGGGGGCAAGTGAGAGAGAGGCAAGCCGTGCTGTGCTTTGGTCCCGCTTTTTGCGGGTCAGCCGGGAACTTGCATCATGCAATATGCTGTCTGATTCTACATGTCCCTCGCGATGCCTAATGTCATATCATGACAAGAAGAGACAGGCACTAATTGTTATGCCGCATACTGAAAGGACAAATGAGGTTCTTGGGGGCGCGCAGGTGATGATAGAGACGGTGGACAGTTTCCAAGGCAAACAGCTGGACGTGATCATTCTGTCGTGCGTGCGCGCCTCCGACCGCAAGTCCGGCGTCGGCTTCCTAGCAGACGTGCGCCGCATGAACGTGGCCATCACCCGTGCCAAGCAGGTGCCTATTTTACACTGCTCTCTAAACCCCAGGAAGTGACATGCCACAAAGTGGACACTTGAGCTTTCTGGCTGGTCACGTTTGCGCATGGGTTTATTTAAAAGTGCTTGCCGTGCGCTGTGAAGGTCTCTTGCGGTTGCGTGACCAGCTGCAAGCTGTGAACCCAACTGACACTTGCAAGCCTTTGTGTTGCTTGGTCCCTGTCAGAGATACACAGCTTAAAAAGCTGTCTTCGCCATATGCTTGCGTACACCTGTGTTTGGTGGAGCCTCCTAAGACCAATTCCATCCACTCCGTTGCCTTTGAGTAAAATGAATGGCAGCATTGTGATTAGTCAAACTGCCATGTGGGACTTTTGCAGGCGCTATGGGTGCTGGGCAGCGCAGCGACGCTGGAGAGGAACCCGGTGTGGGCGGCTCTGCTGGCCAACGCACGCGAGCGGGGCTGCGTCATCAAGGAGGCCAATGCCAGGTGCCTCACTTTTCTACCTCTTGATGAAATGTAGTCCGCCAAGAAAGTATGGACAATTTCTGTGTCTAGCGTCTCTCTTGCCTCGCAATGGGATACCTGTAGTGTGATCTGTGTGAAGTATAAAAGCTTCTACGGCAATCCTCCAAAGGTTGCATTCACTGTGCTTTATATTTCGTGTCAACAGCCGATTGCAGCAGCTAATGCAGACTGTGCTTTGTGCAGGCAGCTGTTCCCTGACCAGAAGCCGTACAAGCCTCCAGTCTCTATCCCGACACAGCCGGGGGCGGCGGCCGCAGCCGATGCGATGCTGCAGAGCAGCGCGCAGCAGGACTTGCCTCCTCAGGAAGCTGCCGGGCAGCTGCTGCGCGCATCGGCTGCCGCAGAGAAGGAAGCCGTGCAGTACCTGGAGCTGCGGCCGGCCGACATCCTGCCGCCCCAGCCGGCAGCGCAGGCGTCCGGTCGGCATCCGCACAGCATGTCCAGTCAGCAACCTGCAACACCCGCCGGTGATCCCAGGCTCCAGCAGCAACAGCAGCAGCAACATGCCTCTGGGAGCCAGGCAGCTGCGGTGTCTCAAAGCGTGGTGTCAGACCCGCGACTGAGACAGCAGCAGCAGCAGCAAAGTCAGCCGCCACCCTCAGGGGCTGTGCCTGGCCCTGCAGCAGGAGCTCAGGGAGCCAGCATACCTAGCGATCCTCGACTGAAGCAGCAGCAGCAGCCGCAGCCTGTCTCTCTGGCAGACCCAAGGCGGCCATCACCTTCAGGCAACACTGCTGCAGCAGGCCAGACAGCTACAGGGCCGTCAGATCCCAGGCGGCCGCCGCAGCCGGCCGCCAGCCAAGCAGCTGCCGCGCAGCTGCCCACCCCCAGCGATCCGCGCGTGCGGCCAGACCGGGCGCGTCCTGAAGCGCAGCCACCAGCACACCTGCCCAGGCCAATCATCCTGCAGCCCCCAGGTGCTTCTGGCCAACCATCGCGCGCCGGGAACATACAACAGCATTTCTCCAACCAGGGCCCAACACCAGTAACGCTGCAGCCGCCTGGTCACTCAGAGCAAGTAGGGAGCCATGTCAGTGTCCCCAGCAGCCAGAGCCGCCCCATCACCCTGCAGCCCCCCGTGCCGGGAGCATCTGGACAGATGGCAACGCAGTCAGACAGTGTGCATCAGCATCCAGGAGGATTGCATGGGAGCGCGAATGGGGGTGTGCCTCAGCACATGCAGCAGAGGGGGCCAGGGCTGCAGGGGCAGGGTGGCCACGGAGCAGGGGTGGGGAATGCGAGCAAGGGAGATGATGCGCAGCGCGGGGGCGCGCCAAAGCCGATCACACTGCGGCCCCCACAGCAGGGCCAGCAGTTTCAGGCGCACACGTTTGAGTACCGGCGGTAGTGATTGGATTTGCAACGTAGAAAATGCGTGTGCTTATGTGCCAGCTATACTTGCTCAACTGTGGATTGAATGTACGGTAATTATGAACCCTTCAGCATCAAAATTTAAATGTATAGTGGAGAATATGAGTAGAACATGTGTAGCCTCAAGAACGCGTGCAAATGTTCAGGTTTGCCCCTTGGTCAAGAATGTGCACACCGATGCAGTCTACCTGGGTGCTCCCCGTGTATCACCCAGCAGATTTTAATATTGCATCGAGGTCAGAACGTAGCACCCTGCCATGTGCGCTAGGCTTATTTGGAAGAAAGTGTAGAAGCAACTACGGACCGTAGTCTACGGTACTTGATCATAAAAAGATGAAAATTTTGCAATAGATGGTGCATGCATGCATATGCGTATACGTCCTGGCCTTATAATTATACAAGATCATCTGCAGATCATGCTTGACGAATACGGAATACATAATGCTCATTGATGTCGACAGCAACAGCGCTACAGATGTAATTGTAGATTCCATTCTGATCAGAGTCTGACCGCCGCCCAATCGGCTGCGAGCTCGAGCCGGCATTTGCACCATTATTATTATTACATGCTTTTCCTGCCATAAGCAAAGGTGCGTCTGCAGACAAGCTGCAGTAAATGCTGCCAAGATCCTACCCCTTGATGGACTCGCCAAAACCAAGCAAGACCCAATCAACCGTGGGCACGGTGCTCAGTATTTATACCGCCCCCCGCCAGCCGGGGCCAAATTTGCACCATTACTATATATTAAATATATTTGCACATGCGCGCAGCGGCATATATCACCTCTTGTCTGGCATTGCACGCACAGCTGCTCTCCAATTCTACATCACGGTAAGTTTCTTGAAGCACGTCCAACAATGACATCAAATCTTCAAGCGCAATGCAGTCAACATGGCACATCATGCATGATGCCAGTGATCATCACAGCCGTGGTGGCCCTCGGGTCATGACCCCGCCGCAGCGTGACCCCGGGTCAGGTGCCATCAGTGAACGGCAGGTAAAGTGTCAAGGCAGGTCCTACGCGAATCTTTGCCATGCTTTGGTCTCTAGACGTGAGTTTGCTCCTAAAGGGGCCTCGAGGAGGCTCCTCCATGCAAGCAGATGGACAGATGTCTGCTAGGCGTTCCCTTCGCTTTTTTCTCGGCAAGATAGTCTGTTTGACAAACTGGTGGCATCATGCATATTGAAAGCGTTGCGACGCTCCGATCTGGTTAAGACTTCACCGACCATTGGAAGGAGTGAAATTCATGGATCATCAGGCCCCCACTGCCGCACATGCATCTAGTATCGATGGCACGCGTCACGTTGCCAGGTTATCTGACTTGTCAGACGAGCTTGTATGGGATATATTTCAACATCTCAATTTTGAGGAGCTGTCAGCAGCGCAGTGCGTCAATCGCAGATTTTACAGGCTGCTATCACGCCCTAATCCTTGTATCAAGGTCTACGGATCTTACTCCCTCACAATGGACAAGATACACGCGAGCTCATCGCTCGCGGAATTTACGAGGTATTTGATGTGGCCCAACGTTTCTTTCAACTGCAAATGCGGAGACCTGATCTGCGCACCAGTACAGTTCTTATTTGCACATGTGCTGGCAGGTACCTGCTGAAAAGAGCCCCTGGCTTCAAGTCTGTACGCCTCACGGTCCCGTCCAAGTTCCAAGGCAACGAGGAGTGGATGAACACCTTCCTAGGCGACTGTCTTCCACAGCTGACAGGATTGTTCGTGGAGTATAATGTCAGCTTGGAGTTAGACCTACAAGAGGGTGCGGAATGCCTTTGCCGATCAATGTCTCAAGAGATTGTATGAACTGTATTCGTGTCCAGAGTTCCAGGCTGCAGCTTGAAAAAAGAGCCATTCACTGCTGTGCAGGAGCTTGCCTCCTATTCCCAGTGCCTGAGGACAATCATCAAGAGGAGGATCCAGATTATTTATTCAAGGGAGATTACTGGCAGCTGCTTGCTCCATGTCTGACGAGCCTGACTCTGAACCTGCACAACCTGCCGCTGGAATTTCTTCTTACATCTCAGATGGAGTTGCTGCTGTTGCTGCACAACTTGGAGGTCCTGGAGCTCACAGGTGGGCTTGCCCACAGCTACAACCATTGCAAGATAGAAAGACAGACAAGGCAGTGCGAGCGCCAAGAAGGAAGAAAGGGCTGCCTCGCGGGCTGACCATACGCAGTGCATCAACAAAAGAATATTCTGCCGGCCCAAAAGCACTAGTGATCACATTGCAAGCACGCATTCCAGCCAGTGTGGCTAGGTGAGGGTTAGGACAGAGCAATGCATTTTCTGCCTTCCATGCTAAAGCGGCAGTGATGGCCACACTCTGAGACACAAAGCAGGACTGCCCCAACTTCAGCATTGAGCGGGTTTTCGTGTGCGCAGGCGACTCAGCTGGCCACATAAGTTTGCCAGCGCAGCTGAGCTGGCCAGCCTTGCGTGAGCTGAGGATCAAGGATTTTGAGATGCTGGAAGCCACTGACCTGGCCTGCCCATCCCTGGAGAAGCTCTGCCTCAATGGGTTCATGTGCCTCGCCCTGCCCACAGGCCTGGCCGCATCCCCCCGCCTCTCTGTCCTAGATCTCTCCGGCCCCACAGACACAATCATCCCCAAGGCAGACCTGCTGGCCATCCTTGAGGGCGTGCAAGCCTCCCTGGAGGATCTCACAATCCAGGGGTGGGAGCTCGAAGCTTTACCTGCGTGGTTTCCCATGCTGCCGCGGCTGCACACGCTGTGCATCGCAGACAGCCAGCTCAGCGTTGTGCCAAATCTCCCAGCCTCGCTGAGATCCCTGGACCTGCAAGGGAACGCCCTCACTGAGGTGCCAGCGGCGCTGGAGGCGATGACTCAGCTCACATATCTGGCGCTGGGCTCGCGGGCAGGGGAGAGAACGTTCCAGATCTCGCGGTCCCTGGATGGGCTTATTAATCTGCCAAATTTGGAGGTCCTGTCACTGGCGCCAGAATTGGAGCAGCCGTTGGGCAAGCGGGAGATCTGGACCCCCCAATCGCTGCAGTACCTGGGGCTTGCACAGCATAAGCTCTTCAACAGCGGCAGCAAGCTGCAGCTGAACTTCTGATGCCTCATTTGGTCTCAATATTGCACGACAAATCCTGCAGGTGGATTGAGCCATGAGCAAGAATGCCTCTTATGTGCATGCAGCATTGAATCTCAAGCATTGTGTGTCATTCAGCAGCTGTGTCATTTTGTTTTGGTGCTTATTCTGTGACTTGCATGAGTGCAGTAGGCGTTGCTCACGCTCAAAACAAGGTGCAGATCCTCCAGAGCGCTCTTCAGTTGCCAGACATGTTGATCAGGTAACATTGGCAATCAGTGTGCTGATGGTGTTCAAAATTTTTACACAATCACTTGTGAGCTTCCTCCGAGTGAGTTGAGTGTCCAATATCATATTGTCAATACGTGTGGCATTCTCCCTGGTTCCGTTGAGGGCAGTGGGTGACATCTACTTTCAATCGGGCCAGACCAGCATGGCATATATGTCAAAAGGTGAAACATTTCAAGATCTCATGGATATGAATTCGATTGCCACTGACAAATATTCAAAATGCATGTACCGCCGCGGATCCGCGCGGTGCCTTGTTGTCGTGTACTCAGGCCCTATGTGCCGAGCCGGGATGCTGGTGTGTTATGATTTGCCGCGTGTGGCCCCTTGTGATTGTATTGTATATTATGTGCACCGTGCATGTGGAATCGATGAGATCTCTGACATGCGTCTGCCAATGTCAAGATCACAGTATGTGTGAACTGAAAATCATATTGCAAGCTGCAGTGGCCACCTGCTCGGCCAGTACTAGCAGCCATTGACGTCATGCTAGCGATAACATGAAGGATTGACAAACACACGATTCTCGATGACTGGCAATGGTTGGCGCACGCCGCAGCGCTGCAGCTGCGGCCTGCATGCGCAGAGTTGCGACCCGGGATCATGCTCAATAATTCAATCATACTTTATACCAGAACTTTCTAAAGTTGTCATCCTCATCCGCGGTCGATGGTCAATTGGGGCTGGAGAGATCAGAACTCCTTGCATGCAGCAGGTGCACCCACGTGGGGGATGCCTGCACGTGCACTGTGAGCTGCAGTATATTAAAGGCTGCCCATAAGGCTTAAGGGCTTAACGGCTGAGGGGGAAAGCTTGTTGGGCTTGCCAGATCTAGACCAAGACCCAATCAACCTTGGGCACAGTGCTCGGTACTTCTGACCACCCCCGCCAGCCGGGGCCGATGCCGCTTACTAAGTAAGAGTACTAAGTACTATATATCATAATGTATTTAGGGTTTATGGTACATAGGATTTGGGGCATTTGGGATCTGTGCTGAGAAGGATTGCATGCGCATGCTGCAACGTCACGTCACGAACGGTTCATGAACGTGTTGATCAACGTTTACGTTGTTAATTTGCATTGAATTCATTATATATGATGCATATGCAGATACTCTAGCCATGCTCTTCACTTCGGGACTATCTTCAAGGAAAGACATGCACATGTGGATCTAAGTCTGCCACTGTGGATTTCTTGAGGCTTCCAAGATGCCCTCGTGGCTCAGAGAGCCAATCAGGTGCCACTGAGCCCCGAGCCAAATCAGGATCTGCTGGACAGCACCAAAAAATGGGAGTCCACGGTGGGAGGAGGTGTTTATTTGCCGAAAGGCGCTAGACACGCCAGCCAATATGTCCGCTCACATCTGATCTGAGAGTCCGTGAAGCACGAAAAGCGCCATGTGAGTCTTGGTGTCGTGTGCCATTTAAGGCCCACCACTTGCCTCACGTCACTCACTTGAGCTGATTCTCCCTTGTAGACCAGTGGAGTCGTGATCCTTATCGTTCACATTACTGCAAGTAATCTAGTTCTCTCTCTGTGCCTTGGATCATAGAGACAAGGGCTGTGGTGCTTCTTCTGGGTAGAGCCTGGAATCTAGCCCACAGGAGTGCTCATCCAAGGAGAGTGCTGAGCTGCTATAGCCCATGCAGTGGCAGCCAGACTGCTCCAGTCTGGTGAGTCTGTCGGGGAACGATGGCCATCGCGGGCAGGGACGGGCTCTGAGGTCTTTTTTGGCCTCTAAGAAGCAGTACAGTACCTGGAGTTGGGCAAGATGATTATATATATCGCGCACAATGGAAAGAAGGTGGACATACAAGCACAGCCGTCCACAAGGTGAGCGAATGCACTTGAGACTCTGAACAGGATGCGTAATGCTCTTCACATGTAACAAACAGAGTTTGTCCGCAATTTCTAAAAGTGTGTGCCAGACTGTGACTTCTTGTAGCTATTTTTGCACGGACGCAATGGCTGAGAAGGTTGCCCGTGTTTTTCCTTCTGTGTATGTTTGAAGGCATGTGTGTATTCTGGTGAACTGGTGTGGACCAAGTTCACCACTGTTATGGGTATAATTTCTCCGTGGCATCCTGTTCTAGGTTCTTCTGTTCTCATTATGTCGGGGTGAAGTACCGTGCCAGAGGTGCACTGCCTACTCATCTCCTTAGCTTCTGCTTTACCATGGCTTTCTGCTGCTCGTCTTTCCACGTATATTATGAAGGCCACCTGGACTGTGCTAGGGGCTCCCTGCTGACTGTGACATGAGATGGTGTCCTCTGAAACGAATCATTCTGGATTTTGGCCTGAAGATAGCAGACTGGCATGAGCTGCGACACCATTGGTTGTTTTGTGTACCTGGGCCTGCCACACATTTGGCCAGTCCAGCTCTTGACTCTGTGCGGCAGCAGTGCCTGCTGACAGGTGCATCTGGAAAGCGATTGTAGTGGCATTCGAGATGTTTTATTAATGGTGTATTTCTGTGTTATGGTGGATTTCTGTGTTGTGCAGCGTGGAGGCAGTGCAGAGAAAGCTGGCCTCTGTCATCGGCACGCCAGTGTCAGAGCAGATTCTCATCGTTAATGGGACGCCCCTGGATCCGCGCCAGACCTTGGACACCTACAAGCTCCCGGTGAGCCATGCTCGACCACAGACTCAGTCTACAGTCCACTCGAGAGCATTTGCTGGCCGCGCTCCTGTTACCAAGTTTTGTGCTCCTCAAGTTACCAGTATTGTGCTCCTTGAGGCCATGAAGATGTGCTGCTTGTCTTGCCTCATGTGGCATTGCACTGCCGACGTGAAGGCCAGGGAGGGCAGCGCAGAAATAAAAGCGATGTGGGGAACACTCTCTGGACAGGGAAGAACTTGATTGCCAATGTCTGGGACTCATGTGTGCGGTCTGTTGTGTGTCAACAGGCGGACAGCGAGGGGGGACAGCATGGAGGCGATGTGTTCCTGTATAACAAGGCGCACCTGCGCTCTAACGCGCCCTCACCAGAGCCGGAGACCCTCAGGCCCATTGTTGTCAACTGTGAGTCCCTGCCCTGAGCGTGCATGTTTCTTTCTCGTGCCTGCCTCCTCTAGCTCAGCAGTACAGAGTCTTCTGGTGACCTGTGCTCAAGTCGTGCGACAATTGCACTCTGACAGACAGTATGTTCCGTGCCGCGCTTCTCTGATGCTGTCTGCCGCGGTCTGAGGAGTGGAGAGCTGATGTGGGCAACCTTCTCAAACTTATGCTAGCTTCGATTAGACGCACTGCTTGATTCAGCTCTTCTGGCAGTACGATCTTGTTGGTGTCATTGAAGCCCCTGACTGGGTCAGGCATCAAATCAACCCAAAGTTGGCTAGAAGCAATGTTACCTGACTAGCTCAGCGAGAGCCCTGAAGCTGGGAGTTTGCAGACCCGAGATTGGAGCCTGAATGTGCTGTTTTTGCATGCATGCAGTGCCGCAGGCTGGGCAGGTACGGTACGAGGCGCACCTATTGGACTCGGCGGCGTCTCCGCTGGTGGCGGCTCTGCCGCAGTATGAGCGCGGCTTTCGAGATCACCGCGCCGCCGGCCGCGCCTACTGTGAAGCCATCCAGGTGCGACCTTTGGGCCTAAATATAATGTCTGCGTCCCTTAAGATTCCCTGGGAAGGCATGTGCAGTATTGCTTGTGTCACACCTCTTTCCTGCAAGGTGAAATGTTGAGGTTGAAATGCGCATCTTCAATTACCAGTTTGAGGGGCTTAGTTTTATAGGTGTTCCCTCCTAAGTGCCGCCAGAAATGGCGCGGGATCTGCATTCTGATAGTGTAACAGAAATCTCTATCATTATGACCATGATGGTGGCTGGGTCACCCCTGCATGCATGGTGCACATGACGTTGCTCTTTGCATGACAATGCAAGCAGAGGCAACAAGTCAAGAGACGTCCCAGCGCGTCCCAGAAATGTTGACCGCCCCTTTGTGCGATCAGGAGCGGCTGAGGGACGCAGAGCAGCTGGCGCAGGAGATGGCGGTGCAGGCATCCGCCATAGAGGCGGCGCGCGGCAACGTGGAACACCACTACGCCTACATCTGCACCCACTTCCAGGACTTCATGCACGGGTGCGCGCCTCGTCACTCTCGCGCACCTGCCCTTTGCTGCCAACCGGCTCTCTTAAAATAGCCGTTTGCGCACGCTTGATTTTCAGCACATGCCAACTGCATCTTCTGCTTGGATGTCATAACCGGCGCAGTGTGATTGGAGAACAGTGTGCACCGGCACCAGGGAACCTGCAGTCACTGCCATGCACTGCAACAGCTGCTGCTGCCTCGTGCTGGGAGCCGGTCGATGCAATCACATAGACCTTTCTGGAGAGGCTTTCCACGGCTGGGGCCGTCCTGCAATGCTACTGAACTGTAGTCAAAAAATACAGGAGTGAGTATGTGTCGAATATTAATCGCAGGTACACCGAGCAGCGGCGGAAGCATGCGGAGGTGCTGGGGCGGTTTGAGCGGGACATGGAGGCTCTGTCTAGCGTGGAGATCCCTCCGCAGGCTCGCACGCCAGATCTGGCGCGGCTGAGTGACCTCGTGCCCGGGCAGCGCATGCGCGACTGGGCCGCGCAGTGCGCCTCCTCCCACCAGAACCTCTCCGACAAGGTGCGCGACTGGACATCTGCATTCCCATCCTGGTGGAGTGCGCAGCACTGCGTTTGCTTGACTTCATCTTTTGCTGATCAGGATTAGATGGCTTGGGTATCGTATCTGGAGGCAGAAGAAGGACATTAAGAATTGCAAAACAGGCATCCGTACTGAATACTGCAGCATCTTACACAAGGCCTTCGGCGTGCTAAATGGACAGACGGCCTCATTGCGTGCACATGGCTACATTAGCAGTCCTGATCCAATCTTCTCTAGCAAGGAAGGGGTTGAAAGCTACATCAGATCCGTGTTCAAAGCATGGTGGGTGGGAAATCCTGGGGCGTGTCATGCAGGCAGTGCCCCTGTTGATATATTATTGACGAGTGACATTGTTATACCAATGGCAGGTGGGTGACGTGGAGGGGGTGTTCAATGCGCTGCGTGCTGACGTGGAGGCCCTCTTCATGACCGCGCCCAGCGTGAGCCTGGAGGCCGTCGAGCAGGGGCTGCGCGACATGCACGCCGTCACTGACGAACAGGTTCGCGCTATTTTCTACTTTTGTTTCATTTCTGCTAATATGGGGGCCTATCCTGAAAATGTAGTAAGGTAACCTGGGATTTTGGTGGCACAGTGCAGAGTGACAAGGATGACCACAAATCCGAAACCATGTGTTTGAGAGCATCGGTGATGACCCAACATTGCTGAGTCACTCTTGTGATCTTTCTCCTCAGGCAGACGCAGCACCAGGACCTTCATGACATATGCGTGTTTATAGAGTAAGAGGGGTGGGGCAAGGCTTGCAGTTACTAGTAGGTAATGTGGCTGCTGCAGTTAAACTGCAGGAGAACTAATCCTTACATAATGTTCCTCAAGCTGACAAGACATTGTCCGCGCGCAGGAGAGCATTCTGGCGGTGCTGAACAGCGATTACGGGCAGGTGCAGAAGCTGGTGGAGGAGGCAGTCCGCCAGCTCAGTGCGGCGGCTGTCTCCAGCGCGGTGACGCCCCTGGACAAGTGCCAGCTGATGGAGCAGATGAACGACAACCATGTCAGCCAGCTGCTGCCGCGGCTGCGCGCATGCGACGACCACGTGGCCGCCTTTGCGCAGCGCTGCCTCGATGATAAGGTGACCTGCCCCTTTCTGCTCATCCACACTAATGCAGGTTGTGCTAGTCAATGTGAATTGCAGCCCCTTCGCTGCTCATCCACACTAGTGCAGGTCGTGCTACTGTTGGGGAATTGCAAAGCCCCTTCTTGCTCATCCACACCAACGCACGTCGTGCTAGTCTAGGTGAGTTGCAAAGGATGAGGTGTGTATTGGCTCTCATACAAAGAGAATGACAGTAGGAGGTTGTACGCATTGTTGAGCGTGGCAACAGGAGGTAACAGGAGGTACAGGTTGCAGGTGTCCATCAAGAGCAAGTTGCAGCCAGCAATTATTGTTGCTGCGTTGCTCTGAGGCAACAACTGGGGCAATTTGTATACATATCCACTGGTTCACAAGCAACATGCCTATGCGACTCACATGTCTTATATAGCTTGACACAGCACGTGTGTACTTGTCATTGTAATGCATTCGAATGAAACTGAGATCATCCTGATGCTGACGTTGCTCCACTGTGCGTGTCAACACAGAACCAGATGATGGCGGACGTGCTGGCGCACCTGCGAGCGATCAGCGGGCAGCAGAGCAAGATCCGCGGCCTGCGCTCCAAGCTGGCCATCCTGAAGGAGGCGGCCGCCAAGCAGGAGGGCGCCACCTCGGAGCTGCTGCTCGTGCGTCGCATCCCCGCCGTCTACCGCCAATGCCTCGCCGAGTGCATGCGCCGGTACTGCTCATGCGTTACTCTTTTATCTGGACACCTATTCGTGGCAGCGCTAGTTGTTCATGGGTGGTCTGGTGTGCAGCTGCCAGTGCCTCACGCAGCGCATGCGCTGGTGCCGCCGCCGACACTTTCTCGCTGTTGTATACCTCAGCACTGCGAAGCACCTATGTGTTGGGAAGTGGTCTTGCACGATCCGCCAATTGTGTATGCTGGTGCAGTGCTATTTATTGCCTCAAGCATTGCCTTTGAAAGGCAGCACTTGTTGATTCTGGAAGATCTGCATCTTGTGGCAGACATGTAGGAGTTTCACTGGTGAGACGACCTGACTGACGTCTTGAGACCTGATCTCCCTCTAGCTTTCTGCAAGACTTTTGTCTGGCAGCAGACCCGAGCCTTCCACCCCGCAACATTTGCTGCAAGTCATAAGTCTTGGAACGTCAGCCTTGTCAGTGCTTGCCCTATATTCTCACACCGTCGAGTTTGGGAACCCAGCTGTGACACGTCCTGTGTTTCTACGCCTGAGCGTCTCATTCCGCCCCAGGGGGGTGTATGGGGAGTCGTTGCTTGCAACTGTCTCTGCGTGCTTTGACGGCACATCAGGCCCTTGCCTTGTGTTTCATGCATAGTGCATCCTCTCTCTGGCAAAGTGGGCACAGGTGTGGTTTCACCAGATCCTTGCTGCAGGCTGAACATCGTGTGATTTTGGGCTTCTCATGTGCTTGTGCCAGGGAGGCGTTTGGGGAGCTGTATGCTGGGCAGGCGGGCCAGATGGCCGAGAGAATGGGCCGGCTGCGCGCCAAGGAGGTTGCCAAACGCGACGCCTTCCTCAAGCACGTCGAACGCTACATGCCCGCACCCCTGCTCGCCGGTGACGCCTCGTTTTGGCGATTGGATAGAGTCTGGACCATGCCATGCAACTATGCAGGACTTTATCGTGCTTGCATTCATTGTACTTCCTGGTCGCTCGGTGTTATGCTTGCTTGCCCCGTGCCAGTGTGGGGCGCGCAGTTCGTGCCCTGCAAGGGAAGTATTTGCAGAAGCTCGCCGTTTGTTATGTAGGATGTCCTCAGAGCGACAATTGAACAGAACGAAGCAATTTCGAGAGCAAGCTGCTTGGTTCTGCAATTCATCTCATGACATTGGCATGGGTTATCCGTGTGAGGATGAAGGGTGGAATTCTGTCTTGCCCTCGCATTCTGCTGACAGAAGGGTTGCATAGCCAGTAGTCTGCAACTGCCTGACTCTCAAGTCATCGGCGCAGGCATGGGGCTGCTGAGTCAGCCGCCGCACTGCCAGATCAGCGTGCCCCCATCGGAGGGCGGCCTGCTCAAGGCCACCATGGAGGACATCCGCGCAGTCCCCATCTCCCTTGACGCATCGGTGCGCGCCCCCTTTGCCACCGCTGACGCCATTTTTGGGTGCAATGAAGAGCACTGTCTTGTGCAATCTAAACGACCTTTTATGTAGCATGCACAGGGTTTCAGTGCTGTGGCATGGTACCTGCAAGTTCAGTGTGTTGTGATACTCATTATGAGCACACTTCCAGCATGGATCATCTTGCAATGCAGGCTCACCGTCATATGAAAGCGAGCATGCCTTCTAATACTCATTTGGCCAATGCATGTCCAGAGCACATCCCTGACGATCGACATGTGAGTGCATGCAGGCGTCGGAGTCTCTCAGGGGGAGTGTTTATTTCCAGCGGCAGACGTCCACCCCTGGAGGCACCCCACGCACGCACTCTCAGCCAGCCGCAGAGCCTGCAGAGACAGGTGGGATCTTGCTCCGCCTACCCTTTGAGCAGCTCTTAACATCTGCGCTTTGGGTGTCTTGTTCATTGCTTGGTTCTTAAAATGAATGGCGAGGTGTTGAGGTTTGATGGATTGACAAGGGACATGGCTCCCCACAGACCTTCCCAGTCATGTTCACTTTTTTAAACTGGGAGATCACTGCACTGCTGGGCTGTAGAGTACACACAGGGGAGCCCGGGCTTGCGCATGCTCTGCCCTTCAGATTCAATTGAGACTATTGGGACCTGAGCAGTGTGCAGGAATCGGAAACTCTGGTCTCTGGTGGGTAGGGTAGACCTTTGAAGCTGCTGAGAATCCGGAGTTCAATGATGTCCTCAGGAACGTGCTGCGCTGTGCTGTAGGCGAGGCGGAGGGTGAGGGAGAGCAGGAGCTGGCGGCAGCGCCGGCGCGCTCGTTGGAGATGGAGAACGCGCGGCTGCGCGCAGAAATAGCGACGCAGTACGCAATCGAGGCGGCGCGCGCGATGGCCGCGGAGGGCGCGCCACAGCAGACCGCGCCGCCCTTGTCCGCCTCGCAGCGCAGCCAGGGCCGCAGCGGCCAGCTCGGCTCTGAGGTGGGTCGCTTGGTTAGTACATTTGACATACCACTCTTGGAAAGTGCGTGAATGGGTGATGTTCACTGGGAGCTAAGATTTGACGGCAATTCTCATCCTTTATCAAAAGTGCCAATTCTTAATCCTTGGCCTGCAATCATTGGCTGTGAATTTGCACATGCAAGGAAGGTTGTCAAGTGTAGACAAGAGAGGGCTGGAAGTGGTGGATTTTTTGTCATCGTCCTCCTGTACTCACGCCCCCTTGCGGCACCATTTCTCCCTGGGGATGCCTAGGGTGTGATATTGCAATAAGCTGGCTCTGTTGCAGGTGGGCGATGACGGAAGGACACTCTGCTGCTTGTCATATCAAGGACCCAGACCAAACAAATGAAACAGCACAGAGGCCCATCATGTATGTGCATATGTATATTAGAGCTAGGGCCTTGGCCAGTTGTCTCACTCCGAGTAAGACAGTGGCCATGTAGCGAGCTCTGACCCATGTGGTAGCTCCCAGTGGAACAACCATAGTACTCTCCGATCGCACCCTCGAGCAGGACCAATCCTCCAATGGACAGTTGAACAAGGAAAGCCATAGCGTGCTCTGACCCTTTATTGGTGCGTCATAACAGGCGGGCAGTGTGGCCGGGGATGCGGCTGCGGCTGCGCGTTTCCGGGCGGCGCTGGCGGCCAAGGAGGAGGTGGAGCACCGGCTGGAGACCGAGCTCGCCGCCGCGCGCGTGCAGGCCGCCTCCTACGAGCACCGGTTTGCCTTTTGCAATATCTTCAAATTCCTTTTCTGCTCGTCACTGTGGTCAGACAGTATTTCTTGACATTATTCATGGGCCATTTTGGTGGTTCTCAACGCAACTGACAAGCTGGTGAGACGTGTCTTGACCGCGCCACACATGCACTGCTTTAGCGCCCGCTGTGCTCTCTTGAACATACTCGCGGGTGGGGTTTGCTAGGCGATAGGGGCATCCAGATTTTGAAAATATTTGAAATAGCGTTTGGTGTCTAAACAGGATACGTCAGCTGGAGGGGCGGCTGCTGCGGTCGGTGGTGCGCACGTCTCCCAGCGGCTCCCTCCGATTCTCCATGCGCTCCTCGGGAACCGGCAGCGCCAGCATCCACTCCGCAGGTGCGCCATTTTCTGCACCACTTTCCCACTGTTTTTGTGCCTCACCCTTGTCAATTCTCGCTCGCAAAACTCGCTCGCGCAATGACGCCCACCATTGATGCGCCTTGCTTCTCTACCCAGGCAACCTGTGCATAGCTGTTCCCTTTTCCTGTGCCTTGACCTTCGTTGTGCCGCTCAGACGCTAGTGTTGTTATTCCCGACAGCACTGTTGAGCCCACCATCGCTGCAGAAGCGCCTCGCTCCTTTTGTCAGGCAGATGGCAAGTGTCCTGCCTAGGTAAAGAAGGGTGGCGCTTTTCTGGTGATGATGAGTCTAATGCTTGCCCAATCTCTTTTTGCTGATGCATTCTCCGGTGTCACCATTTGTGACTGCCACTTGTGTTTGTCACCCTCATGCATGTCACCCTTACGCCGCAAAGACTGTTTTGATCATGTACAAGGAGGTGGATTTGAAACTGTTGTGTGAAGGTAGCGGCTTATTTATTTCCCTGGCGCAGGTTCCATGCAGCTGGCGCCGGTGAGCGAGGCGCCAGAGGGAACCTCCCAGGAAGCTTCCCTCAAGGGCCTCGCGTCCGGCACCGTCACCCGCAGCGCCGAATCCGTCTCCTCTCCGCTGCCGGCCGTCCCACCCGACCGCTCTCCGAGCGCGTCCACCGAGGCTGTGGCGCCTCCTGCGCTTGCCATGACCGCACCTGCAAAGCCAGACCAGGTGGTGGAGACTGCAGCAGTGGCGGCTGCAGAGGAGCCCCACAGAGGGGAGGAGGCTTCGCAGGGGGACACTGCGCCTGAGAAGGATCCGGTGGCTGAACTGACGGAGGTGGCCGGGCAGCAGGAGGAGGAGGGCGTTATCCAGCAGCAGCAGCACCAGCAGCAGCCTGTGCAGGAGCTGGTGGTAGGGCTTGCAGCCGTGCAGCTCAGCGCAGATGTACCCACCGAGCTTGAGGAGCAGGATTTGGCGGGCATAGATGCTGCGGCGGCGGCCGCCGAGATCGGCCGGGCGGCCACGCCGTTTGCCGCGGCCGCGCAGCAGCGGCCGGAGGCGGCGGCGGCGGCGGCTGCCGCACCCGAGACGCCGGCTGCTGCGCAGGATGCCGATCAGCAGCAGCCATTGCCGCCGAGAGACGACAGCGGCGAGCGGCCGGCTGCGGCTGCCGCCGCGCTGGCGCTGTCGCACGGCGGGTCGGCGCTTCCGTTCGCCCCGTCGGTGGCGTCGGCGCTGTCCGAGGCGGTCAGCCTGGCGATCCCGTCGCCGCCGGCCGCCGGCATCGCGCCTGTTCAGGCGCGGGCCCCCCCCTGTCCCCTCGCCGCTGCCGTGGCCGAGAGCGCTGCTGCGACTTCCGGTGAAGTGGAGGAGACTGCTCCAGAAGCAGAGGATGAAGGATTGGAAGGGAGTCCAAGTCCTGCAGCCTTCAGCCAGTCAGGAGGCAGCGACACATCTGCGGAGCAGTGGTGAGCGCTTGTCATGCCTGGGTGGCTTTGATCAGTTGCTGGGCTGCAAGAACAGGGCAGGAGGATGACTGGCTGCCTAGCAAATGCGGGCTGCATAAGCTAAATTGGATGAACACAGCTGCAGCTGCGTAGAAGTAGAGTTATCAGAGTTCTAGCACAGACGGGGATGTGCAATGGGTGCCTTTCTTGGCCGATGTCTGCACATAGACCGAGTCAAGCCGCCAGTGTTTGACATTCCCAAAACAAGTAATCTTGAGGCGCGATCTGCTCCTGCAACTTGCAAGGTCAGCCTTCAATTGGATCGGCCCATGCTGCATGGGGCAGCACTGACAGATTGCACGGAGAAATGCAATGCAATTTGCTGTTACCGCAGTTCCATACAACTCTTGAACACTTATGGCACGTTGTTGCGCAAGCGGGGTTAGTTCCATGGGGGGTTTTTATTTCCTGTGCCTGTTTCGTGCTCCAAGCTGCTGTCAACGCTTTGCTGTGTACCAACCCCTGCAATCCCGGGGGTGACTAAACGTAACAACATAACATAGGGCCTGCCCCCCTGTACATTACATGTGTTTATTGCCTCCCGCTTTTTCTGCAGCTTAGACTGATTCTCTGCTGGGCACAACCAATCCAAAGGCACATGCAGCCCTTTCCAGCATTGGGAGATTGCTGCTGAAATGCGCCTGCGGATATGCAGCTTGATCGGATTGCTGCCCCTTGTACAAAGTCAGTCTGGATGGTTTGCTCGCAGTGCCGTAGCTGTCACTTGCTGAACAGGAAGGTTTGCAGCGCCATAGATTTTGATTGGGAATTTATTGATGCAGCAACAGCGTCCTGCATGCATCAAGATTGAGCCCGCTTCTTACTAAGCCGGTATAAAGAGCCTCTCCTGTTGGGGCTTCTTCGCAGACTCATTGGGAGAATGGCTGAAGCGGCCCTTTGTAGGATCAATAATCTTACCAGAGCAGCTGGGTACTGCCATGTAAAAATCTGGCTCTCCCTCTAGCAGAAACTTGGGCAGATCGATTCTTGCATGTACTACTAAAACTTTTACGGTATATTGAAGAGTGCATATGGTCATAAACATGAGCAGGCACGTGCTTGACATGTCAGTCTCAGTGCATGATAAAGCACATGTGGCTAGGCCTGCAGCGCTGACAGAAACTATCTTACATGATCCGGTCTTGAGACAGTCATCTAAAACAAAGTGTATCAAAAAGTCTGACAAACTCCCAACACGAAAACAATGTGATCAAAGCATCCAATGGATCTTCAACTTGTCAATTGTTGCAAAAGCTTGAATAGCACAATGAGAAAAGCTTTTACTGGCAAGGCGCTCTGGTGGCTTTCATATCCGGGGACCCAAATATTTTGACACGAGGCCACAGAGCCATCATGCACACAAGCAAATCCAGTGGCTCCCCCACCTGTCACCCAAGATAATGATGGCCAGTGAATTCCCTGCAGACCATCGAGTGCTCTCAGACACAGCTGACTGCATAAGGCCGCCACCAAATGGTATCTACATGAAGTGCTGCCACAATATGTGGCCCAAAGTGTGTAGCTTCTGACCATCTCCCATAAGAAAAGCTACAGCCTGCTGCAGCAAGGCATGCTGACTCCAATTCTGAGGATTGGGTTTGTCCCTTTGGTTCCAACAAGAATTTCAGATTGATAGTTCCAGCCTCAAGTGCCCAGCTATATTGATCCCAGTGGACACATATTATCTCTCTGCTGCGCCCATATGGAGCAATGCATGATCTGATCAGCTGATTTATACACGAACAATCCTGAGGACATCGGGTTGACCTAATTGTGCAGGCTTCCATCCATGAGTATGAGCTGTTCTACTGGCTTTGTGGAATTCCACCTTCCACAGCACAGTCTGTTCTCTTCTTGGGGCAGTTTGCACCCATCTTGCTGGGTGCGTCGAGAGCCCGCAGCTGCTAGGTTCGATTTGGATTCGAATTCAGGCGCTGCCGCTGATGAGCAGAGCCTGGCCCCGTATGCCGCCAGGTACCTGCTGACAGCTGCAAATTTGAATTTCAAATTTGAGATCAGGCGCTGCGGCCCATGAGCGGGGCCTTTTCCCCGTTTGTCATCTCCCCGGGGTGGCGCTCCAAATCCGCCTTCTGCTGCGCGGCGGCCGCCGCAGTGCGCGCCTTCATGCCCTGTGCATGCGCGAAATTCCTTTTACAGATGAGTTGAACATGCTTTTTGGCCATTCGCTGCTAGCTGCATTCCAGCAGCAATTCTTTGGGTTGCTTCCAATAGTCTGTTCATGGCATGCAGCACCTGTTTTCTGGCATATTCTCTATCCAGCATTCCCCACCAAAGACACCTGAGCACAAGTGTATTAAAGTCTGCAGTACTGTTTCCTGCACAATCACGGGTGAAGATTCTCTGGGTGGCAAGGGCTGTCTGAGAGCCAATCTTTGGTTCATATAGTACTGACGCAAGCCCATGCAAGTGCACCAGTACAGCAAAACAAAGTGGTGTGGGGAGTGATCTACACACCTGCAGCTTCTTGTAGTTGTACCAGCACACGCCTGCAAATGCCAGGCTGTAGCCGCCAAGGTTGATCCGCGTCACCTGAACAAGCATACACAGAATTTTCCATCCTTATTCCCTCATTTGCAAGCTGTTTGCCCTCATTTCTCTCGCAAGCCAACAGCCGGGTCTGCTAAAGGCCTTGCAGTCTTTCACTGCGTTACAGAAGATGTACCAGCCCACTGTGTGTAGCGCTTGTTTCCTTCCAAGCCACCAGGGTCTGCTGAGCAAAGAGCTTGCAAACTGGAACAGGTTGCCTTGATCATTCCTACGAATTCTAGTGCATGATATCCCAAAGCGTGACAAGTGATGCCCTGCATTAGATGCATGCTGCCGACAATGCATGCAGGCAATGTATCTCTGCATACATATCGGCATGCTCAGGTTCATATCAGCTCCAACAGCCTACAGTGTCAAAAATCTCTGTGCAAATGCAGTCATGCCTGCGTATCATTCGCCTCGCATGCATGCGCCAGAAAAAGAAAATGTCTGCAGCTTGCCTGGGCTTTGAAGATGAGGACTGAGAGGCCGATGAGCAGCCAGTCCTTGATGACTCCCGCGATGTTCATGGTGAGCGCACTCGTCTTGCCGATCAGCAGAAACACCGCCATGTTCAGGCCGAACGCCGCCGCCGCGTTCGACACGAAGATGTGCGCGTCAAAGTGGATCTGCACACATTAAAAATGCATGAAAGGGGCTGAGACAACTCATAGCTGGGGCAAGCCAGTACCAGGTTGATGACTGCAAACATATTGGCTAGCCATGCTATGGGAAGGCTTCCAGTGGCGGTGCTAAATAGGAGAGAGAAAGGCATTTGCTGGCATCTTCAGGCCTTTCACCTGACTTGAGAAGCTCAAAGGTCAAGCAATGACCAAACATGCAGCATGGAGTAAGAGCGAGCATATCGTGGTGTCCAATGAATCTGGTGACCAAGCCAAGGGGTGGCGCACTGTAGTATCTGCGAGCAGGGGGCGGCATTCGATGAAGAACCAGGGGATGGAGAGGAAGGCGAAGGAAGCCGGCGCGATGTAGTACATGGTGGTCACCGGGTTCAGGCTCAGACCCCGCCTCTGCACACCCAGTCTTGATCAGTTCCATTCTTAAAATTGTATTCTTGATTAAAACAAGCTGCAGATGCAGGCATGCGAGCAGGTGCACCTGAGCAATTGCATGGTCTTGTCGTTGCATGGACTGAAAGAGCCCAGACTGGTGCTTGCTTGGTAGCTCTTAATTGGCATGATCAGTAAATTTTTTGTGTCGCACAGGGTGTGCTTGGTTGTCCTCTCTAAGTTGGGAGGTGAGCAGACAGGGAGGATTGGCAATGGCAACACAAATGTCTTGCTGCCACACTGGCATGGGGGCAATATGCAGAATGCATGTGTTAACAGGTGGGGCCCTATTGCGCAGCCAACCATTTCCAAAACAGCTGCAAAAAATCTAGCACCCTTCCGGTGGACTCTGAAGGCAACCTGTCCCGCATGCACCGGGCAAGATACAATGGCAATGACTTGCCAAATAAAGTTTCTGCCCACCTGCAGGAGGATCTGGACCATGGTGAGCCGCGTGGACTCTGTCAGCACGCTGATGAGCTGCAGCACGACGCCGATCACCACAAAATTTATCTCCCCATACGACGCTATAGCGACCCCCGCCGTCACCACAATCTGCGGCGCATATCTCCTGGTGACTCAGCATTCAGCAATTGACAAACTCAAAACATCGCGTATCACACATAAGTTCAGGGCCCTGCATGCACCGCTGCACCAGAAGACCCCTTTGATTGCTGGGCTGTTCTGCATTACACTGAGGAGGAGGACCTGCTAATCCTCACAATCATGGTCATTGATGCAGTTTTTATTTGTAACCCAGCCCTCAGAGATTCCATTGGATCTTCTACCCACTCCTGTGTTCTTGACAGCTCATCAGGGTGGCAGGAAGCCCTGGAAAACCAGCAAGTCTGTGAGACTCCTGTGAAGTATGTGTCTTGGAAGTGCCATCTACAGAAGTTACTGTTACCGTTATGTGGAGACAGCAGAGGCCCGGGGGCGCACCATATTGGCAAGGGTGGATGTTGAGAACGACTCGATGCCAAACGCGCAGCCGGTCGCAAAGACGGCCACGGGCATGAGCGCCTTGAGCATCTGGATGAAGGATACACTCAGGTAGAGGTACGCAGCGTTGCCCAGCCACAGCGTGCCTGCACGCATGCACACAGCTACTCTGACTGTTCATACAGAGTCCTGTTGTTTAGGGAACCTTGCATGAACTTCTAGCATGGCATGCTAGTTTGCAATTTCCATTGCGGCCCGTGATCGCTTTGAAGGCCACTATGACAGAGTGTTATCATGCAGGAAGCTAAGCTGATCAAATCATGTGGCCCAATTGGCTATAGCAAACCCAAAACAAAGCCTGATTGCCCCTAGTCTCCATACCGTTCTGTTCTGAGAATAACGCCCCTTAAGCATGATCTTAACGTGCTGTATCATCCAGCACAACTTGGGTAGCTCGAGACCTTCTGCATGAGCAACATGGTGTCCCAGCACCATTCTCCTGAATATTAGACGTCCTGAAATGATCAGCCTGATATCAACTTGAATGCATTGAGTCACGTGTTCCCTTGCAGCCCCAGGACCGCGTCACCACATCTTGATGTACATGCATAATTGCTGAGGCGAGCGCGCACCGGCGAAGAGGGCCCCGATGGGGACAACGGCGCGGAAGTAGGTTGATGATCAAGCCTTTCAAACGATGTGCTATCACATCCAATTGGCACATTGTGCCCTAGACTCTAAAACTAACCACACCGCTGCGTCCTGGGAATCTCAAGAATGATCACTTTAAAGCAGAGCACGCACCGGCGAAGAGGGCCCCGATGGGGATGACGGCGCGGAAGTAGGTGTCGGCGGTCATGTTGACGGAGGGAACGTAGTCCGTGCGAACGCAGAGGAACGCCAGTGCAGACGAGAACAGCATGTGCCACATCGTCAGCGTTATCGGGTAGGGGAAGCCATAGTAGGCCAGGATCCACTTGTTGTACATGATTACTGTGCCGGAGAGGGTGATCCACAGGGACACGTACAAGGCGTTGAGCACCACCTGCATCAGCACACATGAAGCCTTTAGTCACCAGAGGTTGCAATGCAGTTGTGTCACTGCAGGTCTACATTCGTGTGTCTTCTTGTAGTGCCTTGGCAACCTTGAAGGGAAGCACTGGCACATGATGGAGTAATCGCTGATGGGTGTAGCACAGGCAAGTAAGGAAAGATATCCTGGGTGTGCAAGAATCGCCCATTTCATTTCAATGCTGCAAGCCCAGTTGCCCCTTGCGCGCATGTCTGGCTGTTCATGCATGGGGCATCCACTTGTCCTTCATGCACTGAGCAGGGGTTGCAGATGTGCTGATAGCACTGTACCTGGCCAAAAAGTGCTTTGTCGGGGGTCATGGCTCCCTTGTCACTCATGTTGACAGCCCGGCGCCGCGCTCTGGTGTTGCAGGAAGGTGTACTGTGATGTATCAGCAGTACCTGCAGAACCACAGCACTTTGTCAAAGGGTGGCTGTGCAAGGACAGATGTAGTGCAGATCTAAAGAGCGCACACACATCTAGAGAGCACATACACTACTGATGCGCCAGGTACTGATGTGCCAGGAGCACAGTGGGCCTCATTATACAGCCCTCAATTCAAGGAGCAGCTACCGTATAAATGGCAATATCTGGAGGAAAGATGCGAGGATCTCGTCTTGTATGTTACCTGGGCTCAATACTGATGATATTTGATCGCCATGGCTGCTAGAGAGACCCTCCAAGGGAGCTCCAGTTTGTCCTGATTTGTGCTTATGACAAGGGACCTTCTCCAATCGTCGATCGGCTCAGGTCGCAAAGAAGATGGCTCTGGTGTGCGCACTTCGACAATGAAGCAACGGCAACGATGGATCAAGCAGCACCTGGCAACAGGAACGCAGGCTCAGAAAGTACTAGAGTCTTGCGTTGGCTTACTGCAGCATACAATTATGCCTCGCACGGAAGGAATGTTGCAGAAAATTGGATTTATGCTGTCATGCAGCCAGCTAGTGGCCCATTCAAGCGCTGTGATCAAGGTTGTGCCACCTGCCACTTTTCTTGGACAAGGAGACGTTACGCCAGCATCAGCGCCAAGTGGCGCTGATTTGCTCTTAACATTGAAAGCAGATATAACCTACAAATTTTCAACTGGGATCACTCATCCCGGAGTATGCCCAGACTTGCAAAGACAACCAGATTAGCACTGAATGCTCAAGAGCATTGACAAATATAATACTTCCATGAATTTTGTTTCTGCGCAGCCCCAAAGACGAGTGATGTATCAGAGAACCAGTAGACACTGTATGGCGAGCTTTAACGCTCAGATCGCAGCCTCGAGCATGCATTTGAGATCGACTTTTGTGAAGGTTAGGTTCTGTAGGGTTTAAGTCAAAAATCCCCTGAGCCGCAATTGGAAGGGGTCGCTGCTCTAATGACATCGAAAGAGCTCCTTCGCCTTCATTCCTCAAAACACTTCAGAACACTTTGATGACAGCACGCCTGTTGCTCAGCTTTGCTCACTGCCAGACGTGTTGTTGCCATTTCCGGGCTGTGCGAGGTGGTCAGCCGGCGGTGGAGGCAGCAGGAGAGTTATAGGCCTTAAGCAGCAAATCAGCTTCCCAGCTTGTTTTGTGAGCATCTAGTGCCCCGGTATCCTTCAGACGGACTAAGACAATTTTACTCTGGCATACGCAAGCTTTCCCTGGGCGAGGTGGCGCTCGTTGAGCCGTCAAAACAATACCAGGTCTGTGATTTACACAACGAGGTTGCAGCACCTAAAGAAGTATTGCCGTGCCCAGCTTCTCGTCCTAAACCCCTTGGCATCTGCTATGTCACCCTATCCGTAGACGGTCGCACTGGTTTGCGCTGTTTTCTACACGGACATGCGCCTCTGGCGTCCCTTTCGATTCTGGAAGTAGAAGCTCGCTTCGCTGTTACCGGAATCCGTTGATACACCGCTCCATCCTCTCTATGACCTGCCGGAAACGGCTAGGATCTATCGCGCTCGCGCACTGCTACATTCGGTCGCTCGAACTGCTATGAACGCAACTTAGCGCTTTCTGCGTGCCACACTCGGACGCCGAAGGACATCTCGCTGAGTCCGCTAATCCTGTAGAGTGTGCTGCGCGATATTTTCGTCGCTTTGTGGAAGAAGCGGCCTTTCGGCTTTGCATCGCATCGTTTTGCGCACTGCAGCGAAGCCCTTTTCTGCGCACCGGACCTTGTCTTTGTCCTGATGCCAGCGCTGAGTCGTACTTTGCAACGAATCCGCATCCGCCCTGCCTTGTCTCTGTGGTGTTGCCTGTTGTAGACTAGTTGCAGCCCGGTTTGTGCGTTGACTATTTATGCGCTGCGACAGATCTGGCCCGACGCCCGTTTCAGAACCCTCAATGGCATATCTGCGGAGCTTTATTCGGTGTTTCCCTTGCATGCAGGCAGCACTAAGCAGTAGCGTATTGACAACATCAGCGCATCAATCTCAGTTGCCAGGCTCCAGGTCTAGTCGCAGGCTCCAGGAGTGCATCGCAGGCATGAGCTAGCGGCAGTAAGGAGATCAGCTGATGGTATGCTATGATCAGCTGCGCGGCCACCGATCATTGGGGCAGGTTGTCAGGTCTCAGCAGACGAGCTCTTATGCTCTGAGCATGCTGGAGCCAGAAAATTGCGGCGACAACTCCCCAGCTCCCTCTTCAAACATCTCTTCCCTCGACATAGAAGACTACGAGCCGCTCAGCCCAGCAGAGTACACCATCAGCAGACAGGACACCACATTCATAATAGACCCCAGGCCTGCAGCAGACATCACACAGGAGGCAGCACGAGGCATGGACGACATCGATACCGGTGCAGACGCGCAGCAGCAGCCGGAAGCAGTAGCCTCAGATCAGCCCGCGCAGAACAGCCAGGCAGGTGATAGCGATGCAGCCGCCAGTCCCACAGCAGCTGTGGACGATGACAGTGAACGGCGTGAGTCTGGCGCCGCTGCCGGGCCGTCGCAGGACTCACCCGTGCAGATCCAGGACTCACCGGTGGAACTTGTGTCTGACAGCGAAGACGACCACATGCCGCTCGGCGCGCTCATGTCACGAGGGTCCGTTGACCTTCAGGAGAGCGACGTCGTGCAGCGCCCGGAGGGGCTCGCGCCAATCCGCGTCAACGGCGCGCCGCGGCCAATGTCGGCCGCCGAGAAGCTGCGCCTGACGATGATCGACTCGCCGACCCCGGCGCCGCCGACGCCGGGCGCCGGCGTGGACACCGCCGCAGATGGTGCGGCTGCGTCAGCCGGGAACGGCGTTGCAGACAGGCCGGCACAGCCGGCGGCAGCCGCCGAGAAGCCGCCGTCGCCGGCCAGCACGGCGGTGGACACGCAGGACGGCAGCAGCAGCGAGGAGGAGGAGGAGGATGACTCAGCGCCGCAGAGCGGGGCTCAGTCGGCGCGGCAGGGGAGCAACCAGCGGAGAAAGCGGCGGAATCTGCTGCCAGTCGTGCGCAAGGCGGCGCGCTGTGGGAAATGCCACACCTGCCTGCACCCAAAGGCGCGTGCCTGGCGCTCGGCACGGCGCCCTGGAGCACTTGTGCTGTTGTTTGTACCTGTGATCCTGTGGTGTGAAAAGGGACATATTTAAGTGCCAGCGAATGCTAGATGTATTAAGAGGGCTGCTTGGCCATCAGTAGGACAGATCCAACTACGGTACTGCACACATACAGTTAATGAATCGGCTGAAAATATGATGACAAATTCTTGCATGGACACAAATGTGCTGTACCTCGCACTCCTGGCTCTTGCATGCCACTCTGTAAAGCAAGCTGTCTATCCATCCCATCAAGCTGCAGTCGTACCAAAGGCAAACGCACAAATGAGTCCAGAAAATGCTGAAAGAAGGCGTGTTGTGGCCTGCCGCAGATGAAGAAGGCGTGCATAACAGTGCGCGAGCAGATGATCAATGAGATGGGAGAGAAGGGGGAGCTGCCGGTGTCTCTGCTGCCAAAGCTGAGCCAGAAGGGCAGCAACATCCTGCCTGCATCAGCCCCCTCACGGCCTGCAGCCCAGGACTTCAGGTGTGCTGCTGATGACTCACCACCTGCATCTGATGTTTGGATCTTGAAGTCAGATGTTGTGGGATAATGTAACATCCTCTGATGCTTTGCTTCCCTGCTGATCTGTGCTTGCATGCGCCAACCGTGCATGCCGATGATCCCTCCGTTTCAGCCAGTATTGGGACAACCCATGAGCAGTTCTGCAGTGCTCATGAAGTGCACCAGGGATCAGTGTGGTGCGTTCTTTGGCTTGTCACTGCTGATGCAGTCCGGCATGCCCAATCCACCACGCCTTCAGGGCCGATTGGCCACATCGGCCGTGCCTGGTCAAACGGCGCACCATTGCTCCCGTCCTGCTCAGATTCTCAGATTGCAGATTGCGCGTGTGTTTGCACGCTCGGAATTGATTGCATGGTTAGTAAGATTTTGTGCTGCTGCACAGCGCGCTGGACAAGGAGGAGGAGAAGAAGAAGCTTGACCCGTTCCAGGAGACGCTGAAGCAGATCATCGGCCGCTCCGGCGGCGTGGTGCATGCGAAGCATCTGGATCGGCTGCTGCGGCTGCTGGACGACTCCAACAACACCCACAAGCGCCTTGTCATGCTCACGGTGCGCAGACTGCTTTGTTGCATCACTGCTGATATCAGCGGTGTCGTCAGCAATTCGCTGATGTCACAGATTCAAGGGACTGCGATGCTCTTCCGCAGTATCACACCCTTTCGAGCTGCTGAAGTCCCGATAGGCAGCCTGGCAATGTTTCCCCTGCAAAAACAAGAACTTTGTGGCGAGGATGAGGTCAGATGCAGAGAGTGTGACCGCTTGTGGTTCTGAATGTACATCTCTGCGTAGTTTGCTAGTGCATGACTTTTCCATCTGTGCAAAGGGGTGGGTTCTTCAACTCTCTGCACCTCTCTGAAGCATGTCAGATTCCCCGCGCATGCCAAAGAGCCAGCTGCCGGTTTTTGGCAACCCCACAAGCCCAGCACATCATCATCTGCATCCCTCAGCGGCCATATTGCAGCTGCCTGTGACGCAGTTCATGTACGAGGTTCATGTACGAGGAAAATGCTTAGTTGCATTCACGCTGTGTGTCAGGTGGTGGAGGGCAGCAGCTCGGAGGTGAAGGCCGCATTTGTGCACAGCCGCGGCCTAAATAAGTTACTAAGCTGGCTGGAGGCGGCGGACGGGGGCGTTCCCAATTCCATCGCCCTCGCCAAGAAGGTGCTGGTCACCCTGAGGAAGCTGCCTGTCGACGTGGAGGCTCTGCAGGGCAGCAATGGCGGCAGGTGAGTTGTGCATGCAGCCTCAGAAGTCATGAAACGTTCTCTGCTGGACCTATAAGCACCAGGGACATGCCCTTGACGATTGTAGAGAAGTCCTTCAAATAGATTATCCCTACGAGAGGATTTTTTTGCATTGGCACAACCTAAATGGGACCAGAACATTAAGGCATGGCCGCAAACCTCATTTTATCCTATGCTGCATGTGCTTCACGAGCGCTTGGGCAGAGGGTCGCTAATGCTCTTAACAAGGTGGACCAAAATTTTAGTGAGCATAATCAGCATTGTAAACATTAGTGAAATTTGCAGCAGCAAATGTCGCCTGGATTAGCTGTACGCATTAATTCCCCTTCACGAAGATCCTGGTGCTGTACCTCGCAGGCGCATGAAGAAGATGAGCAGGACTGGGCCAGAATCACTGCGGCAGGGGGCTGCGCAGGTCTTGGAGTTCTGGGTGAAGCTGGTGGAAGCTACACAGGCCGCTGGGGGACCAAGCAAACGGTGCGCTTTTGAAATGTGCTGTCGCTGCAGTTGCGCTGTTGCTGTACATTTGCTGCAGGCCACCAGGAAAGCAAAGTTACGAAAGCATGCAGCGAGAAATTAATGTTGTGGGACTTGTACAGCTGTGCACAGTGGCTGTGCATGTACCAACTAGAACTAATCTTGTAGTGTCCTTACATCATGCCTTGTAATGGGTTGAGCTGCTGGTGGAAGAAATGTAAGAAGTGAGAAAGAGGAGCTGAATCTTAGTCATGTCTGCTTGCAGGCCGGCTCCTGCTGAAAGCAATGGGGTTGCTCCAAAGAAGCCAAAGACCGAGGCATCCAGCAGTCAGGTGTGCACACATTTCCTTAAGCATAACCAATCTAATGCGTGTCTTCTCAGATATCCCCTCCCCAATGATAAGAACAGTTGCCATCTCCACAGCGTCTCCTTCCAGGCCAGTCTGCATCTCAATTTAAGCAACCATATTACCCTTATATATTCCCATATCTGCATGACGGCCCTTTAAGGTCTCTGTGACAAAGACAAGAAGGCCCACGAGCAGCTGATTCGGTGTTCTGAGCATGTGCTGCCCTGCAGGCGACAAATGGCAAGCCAGGCACGCCCAGGGCAGGAGCACAGCCGAAGCAGGCAGACACCGGCAAGACTTCTCAGGCGAAGGCCGCCGCGCCAAAAGCAGGAGCCGCCTCCGCAGCCGCGGCACAGAAACAGGAATCTGTGCCGCATTTGGCTGTGCTTGCGGCTGCTGACCTGGACGAGCCTGTGAAGGCTGAGCCTGCTCCGAAGCCCAAGCCCAAGCCTACTGTGCGAGACGCGCTGTACAACCCAAAGAAGGTGAGTTGTGGTTGTGTTTTTCAAGAGTCAGCTCTGGAAGGGATTGACACCGTAGGTGTGAGCGAGGAGGCACAGAAAGATTCGCAATGATCAAGCACAACAAGCATGGGCTATTGTAACTTGTCAGGTTGTCTTTGCATGATGGCGTTGTGTTGGGAAGCATGCTGACATGAGGGTGATATTGTCCTTTTTTACCCAACGAGTGTTCAGGTAAATACTGCCGAGATATCAGCAAATCTCTGCACGTGTCTTGCACTTCCAGGCTGGGTTGGTAAGGCTCGGTTGTCTACAAAACAACGGGTGATGACATGCTTGTTAATGCAGTAGTCAGTGGAGTCCTGATGACAGCAAATGCGCATGCCTGATGTGAGTGGTTGCATGCAGGTGCATCAGCTGAAGGTGCTGGACGACGAAGCCGCCCAGAAGCTGGCGACAGACCGCGCCGAGGCAGCTGCCCAGAAGGCGCCGGCAGCTGACGATGCCGCTGCGTCAACCTCAACCGCTGGCGCCAATGGCTCCGCTGCTGCCTCCTCTTTCAGCAGTAAGCTCTTGCAACACACTGTCTTGCTGCAAACATGTAAACGTAGAAACGAAGGCTTTTTGTGTGCCTTCTTCAAGTCCTGTCTTTCCACTTCATGAGCTGTGTGCAGCGGCACAGTCTGGCCGTCTCTGCGAAGTGGTTCGAACAGGCTGTCAGCGCATGCATTCAACTGTGACAGTAGAGGCAGGGCCTAAAGATGGCATGTCAAAGCGGATGCCTATGTGTAGCTTGCAATGGATGTAGCTCACGAGGCGCTCAGTTCTGAACATTTACATGTTGCAGCCATTGTTTTTCTTCTGAAGGGTTTTGCGTCTCCTGTGGATACTTGCACAAATCCTACACCCCCTGTGTTCCCAGGTCCCAGCTGAAATCGTGAGCCAGTATGGCCATTCATGTGACACAATCTGGACATACCGTACTGCATGAGCATGCATTCAGCTAAGGCAGGAGAAGCTGGGTTTGAAAGTGGTATCTGAGAATTCTTTTGATAGTTTGCAACGGAGGTGGCTCGTGGGGAGCTCAATACTGAGGATTGAATGTGTGCATGTTGCAGCAGCAGCAATTGGCGGAGCAAGCCCATCATCCTCTCTTTTGGGGCTGCCAGCTCCTGCCAACAAGTTTGGCGCCACCACTCGCATCACAGCGTTCACTCCCAAATTCGGTGCGCTTCCCTTGTGCCTCAGGAATTGTTGGGCAGCGAGCTACACACATGGAATGAGCGGCAGTCTACAAATTTCACTACTGTCCAAGTGTCGAGAATTTCTGAGCCCTTAGGGAGGCATCTTAATAGTCCTCCCCAAGCGGCTCAGGGGTGTACTGTGGGCCATATGCTCTGACGCCCTCATTTAAAGAAAGAGGAATTTGCACCCCAAGATTGCTGCATCATTTGTGATGTCTCGTGTGTGAGCAGGAGTAATTGTCTAATGTGATCATTATTGAAAATCTAGCCGAAGACTCAAATTCTTAATCTATGTGTGATTGCAGGATCGCTGGGTGCGCCGAGCACCGGGCTGGGGGGGCCGCGGCCGCCACCACCGCTGACATCAGCCGCCACGCGGGCGGCGGAGGCGGCGGCACGCGTTCCCTCTCCCGATCGAGAATCGCGCGCGCCAAAAAGGAAAAAAGTGTCCTGGGTCGCCGAGCAGCAGCTGGTCTCCGTGCGCTGGTTCAGGAAGGTGAGATTCTTATGATGCATGCTTGATGTTGTAGTCCATGCTTGTTGAGACATGAATGCACGGCCTAGGTGAGGACCTCTTGATGTCAATTCTTCATGTCCTTTGTTCAAGCTGGATCAAACATGGCCTAGGCATGCTTGTCAGGGGAATACGGACTTGGTGCAGCCTCGCCCAATCGAATTTAGTTGAGTTCCACTCTTTAGAGCTTGTCAATTATGGAAGTGACGGAGACATACTGTATCTGGCTAAGTCATGACAAGTCCAGTTTGGCGTCCATGCTTGAACTGCTCCATTTCAAGTGGTTGAAGCAGGGATCCCTTGCGGAACTTATCGTGACTTTTTTGTCAGTGCCCTAGCAAAAATTAATGGACCCACTTTGGCTCCAGTTGAAAGATCACCCGATGTCCTTCCTCTTGCACGCATCCTCATCATCAAATCACACGATTCTTGCCAAAAGAGGCAATGTGCTGTACCAGAATGGTGACAAGAATTTGAGCAAGCATCACATGACTGCGCAGGAGGACCCTGCCTCGACTGTGCGATCGGAGTCTGCCCTGCGCGAGGAAGTCACAGAGCCGCCGTCCGAGGCGGCGGAGCAGGCCGTTAGTCATCCGCCGGGCTTCGAGTTGGCGGCGCGTGCGGAGCATCAGAACGAGGCGGCGGCCATCCGGCTCATGGCCGACTCGGTGCGGCGCCCTTTCCTTGTGGGGATTTTCTAGGGGATTGGACGCAAAATGCACTGGACCTGAAGGTGCCAGCTTGACCCTGGTAGGAAGGGCAGGAAGCAAAGAAAGGCCTGTCTCGGTTATGGGTCTGCTTAGAGAGGTCGTTCCTCTTGGGTGTTTTGCATACTCATTGTTTTCTTAATCATGCTTTAGTATTGTGGGCAGTCAAGTGATCCAACTGTGTAGATGGTCGGATATTTTGGATGCAAACGGGATGCGCCTTGATTATATGATTGCATGGTGGGAGTGGCATAGTATCTGATAAAAGCCCATGGTGCCGAGCTGCAGGAAGGCTGAGCTGATGTAGCCAGACTTGTGCAGACTTCATCATTTCAGCGAGGCATGCCTTCGTCTGAATTGAAAGAAGTGCTTGCTATGTCTTAATCTTTTTCTGTGTCCTGGGGCACTGAACGCCGTATGACCCTTGGTCTTTTGACATTGCAGGCTGAGATTGACGAGGAGGAGGTTGAAGTGCCAGAAATGGAGTTGCACCTGAATTGGCATGCGCCCCCCTTCTGCCGGGTCCCCCCGGAGGCAAACAGCGCCCCTACTCCTGAGCCCAGCTGCGGCGAGGAGTCGAGAGAGAAGGAGCGGCTGAGAGTGCGCTATGGCTACATCGAGCCCGTGCACTACGGACCCGGTAGGTTTTCCGTAATCCTCGCAGATTTTGTATCTGCATATCTATCTATGTTGTAATGTGGACGGTCACCCAAAGGCAGAGGCTATACAAATGGGCGGCTGCAGCCATATCTGCAGGGTAGCGATTGATTTGCTTGGTTGACACCCCTCCGGACTCTGGAATCCGTAGAAGCAATGTGGCGTATGACGTGACATCACCGGATGGTTATAGAAGACAAGCCTGGCCGAGTATTGGGCATACCTGCAAGTCGTGCATTTGCACATTCTCTAGACCGTTGCAGAGACAGTGAAGGCAAAACGAGGCAGGAAGAGTATCCAGACAAGTTGTCTGGCATATACATCTGCAGATCTGCTTCTTGTGCATGAGCCGCGTGCTGACTACAAGTAGCCGTTTGCACCACTTCATGGTAGATGCTAGTTCACTGATGGGAAATCCAATCGTGTGTGGTACATTTGCATTGCAGGTGGCCGGCATCCGCCGGACTCCCCAGAAGAGCCGCCCAATGAGGCGCCCTCTTTGGTGCAAGAGAAGAGGATGCCTCTGCAGTCCATGGCCCCGCCAGATCAGGTGTGGAACTTTTGTCATTTCAGCTGATCTGACACTAGGGGTGATCACTATACTAACTATACTAATTACTAAAGTTAGTATAGTAATGACCCCTATCTGACACCCTTGTCCACGTGCCTAATAGTTCCTCACTCTGTCTGCTAATCACCGGTGTGGCTTTCTCAATGTCATTCCTTTGCTTCAGCATTGCGATGGCAAATGACTTTTATGGAACGGCGGGAGAGGGCCTCCTGTGCCGTGTGATAATTTCACACAAGCAGTAACAGAATGCATTGTCATGGCTTGTAACGCATGTCACGCTTTTTCAGTGTGGTTGTCTATTGGTGAGCGCTTGGTTTTTGTCACTGCAAACAGGCTCCTCAGCTAGCTGCGCCAGTGACATCTCCTCCCATGCAGCACCAGCAGCCTTACTACCAGCAGCCGCCACCTCAGCAGATGACTCAGCAGCAGATGACTCAGCAGGTGGCCCCCCACCAGCCAGCATACCAGCCCCCCTTCTCGCAGCTGCCGCCAGCTCCCCAGCACCACATGCATCAGCATCAGACGCATATGCATGCGCCAGTGGACTATGTGGAGCAGCAGCTGCAGCAGCTGCAGCAGCTGCAGCCGCCGCAGCAGCAGGGGTTCCCCCAGCAGCAGCAGCAGCAGCGGGGGATCCTGGGCCACCCTCCAGTGGCCACCGCTGGGGGGCCCCAGTCCCTCCAGCCCCTCCACGCCGAAAATGTCATGGTGCCCACTCCTCAGTTCCCGCTCATTTCCCTCTTGCACCTGGTCACCAGTGTTGAAGACCCTCTTAACAGAGGTGAAATGTATACTCTCTGTCAAAAAAAGATGCAGTGCAGCTCTTCGAATTCTTCTGGTGCAAAGACCATGCCATACTGGGGCATTATACCAACGTCATTAAGCAGCTTGTTTGCTGCTTCTGCCCCATGCGCGTGCTTGACCAGCCTGCAAACATGTGATTGTTTGTTTGCTTGAAGTGTGTGCCTGAAAGTCAAAGAATGGCACACAGGAGGAGGCGAGGCCGGGGGGTCCGGCAGGCAGGGGAGCCCGCGGTGGCCGGGGGGTCCCCGAGAGGGAGGACCGGCGGCCGGATAGACCGTGGCAGCCTCGGCCCTGCGCCTTCTACAACCTGCACCTGGTGAGCCAAACATGTGTGAGATCAGCTACAGTAGTTCTTTTATTTTTTGGTTTCTGGGTGAATGCTCATTCTTTGGTCAGCGGGGAGATGGTATGTAACTGATGGTGCAACATGAAGCCACATGGGTGCAGTAGACTGGTCTAATGAAACATGAGCCTTGAATGTGTCTTGAGGCGCTTTTGCTTTTGTCTACTCATACCAGTCCTTGAAATTATCAGTGGTGTCACTCTTCTGCAAGCCTGGGATTCCAGCCTATGCTTATTGAGGCGTTGACTGCTGCTCTTTTTGCGGACTTGCAAGCCGCTGGCAGACTTCTTATTCTCTCTCTGATCCGGCCAATCTTGTACTCCAACAAATTTTTTTTCCAGAAATCGTGATGTTCGGATCGCCGCATGCAGGGATGCTTCCGAGGCGACCAGTGCAGGTTTGCCCACGTGGCGTCCGATGAGAGACCGGAGGATATTGAGCGCCGCGCCCAGAGTGTATCCTCGGCGCCGCTCCAGCTCATGCGCAATCTGGCGCCCGGCGAGCACATGCACATCCGGGTGCGACTCATTGAAATTCATCAGTAACCTTAGTCACCTTTAGTCACCCCTGTAACTTCTTCTTGGATCTCGCAAGCCATGTCCGGTTTGCTCAGAACGTTCGCCAAGAAAGCTGGCAAAGCTTGCGCTCTGATGCCTTGTAGCATTTGTGTTCTTGTGTACTCCTTGTGCTAGGTTTGAGTGCCAGTGGTTCTGGCTCGGGTGCAATGAGCGTGATGGTTCAAGGGTGAATTGTGTGGTGCAGGGGCCGTCGATTTACAACCCGGATGCTCCAGTGGAAGGCAGGGGGCCTATGAGAGGGGCAGGTGTGCTGCGATGCGCCGCAATTAGGACTTATAGTATCAACATTGCTGCTCTTGCTTGTGTTTGGAAGAGTAATGTATGGGTGACAGAATGGTTTCCTGGTATCCCGGGGCCACATCAGTCCGTTACTGTCAGTGTAAACACTATGTACTGTATTCATCATTCCTTCACTTATCATTATCAGACCCATGCAGTCACAGTTATGGACAACCAAGTATTTTGAGGCACTTCGCAAGCTCATCTCCACATTGCTGCAACAGCAGCTGTGCATGCTCGCACCATACTTGAGACTGTAAGCTGTACACTTCCGGGTCGCTGAAATGCGAATTTGCATTCTGTTGCTGAAATTCGAATTTGAATTCTGTTGCAGGCGGCTCATCAGGGGATAGCAGGAAGAGGGGGAGGGATCGCCCCGGGCCGTGGGAACGCAACCCACAGCCGCGCAGAGAGCGGGATCGGCAGTTTGATAACTGACCTAGTCGATTCAATCTTTATATCAAGGGGTCCAGGGGTCCAGTGGATGCACCCTTTGGCGAGATCAATCTCAAGTGGCCCATTGGACCCTAGCGCGGGGGTCAATGTCTCCCAGTGGATGTACCCTTTTCTGGCAGGGTCAATGTCGAATGGCCCAGTGGATACACCCTTTGGCGTGATTATTGTCAACGGGTCCTGTGCATACACCCTTTGGCGGGGTTAATGTTATGGGATCTAGTGGATATACTTATTGGCGGGGTCAACGTCAAGTGGCCCAGTGAATCACCCTTTGGGGTGGGTCAATGTCAAGTCACCTAGGGGATGTGTCCTTTGGCGGGGTCAATGTCTTATTTTGGGAGCGGCTTGTCATGAGCCATGCTAGACGGTCTTCTTGCAGCTACCTCTGGAATTCATCTTGAGAGGTCAATGTACCAAAAGCTTCTAAGCCCTGAGGCAGCAGCTCTGCAGCTCATCCACCTTTTCCAAACTGGGTTGATCAGTGATAGTCAGCATGGATTTCGTGCAAGTGGTTCAAGACATGTCTATCACTGCGGGACTGCTGGTTTTTTTAGCATGTATTCAAGCGCAATTGTCTAGGACACCTTGTGTTCAGCACTGATGATTGTCTTGTGAAGTGGAGGGAAAATGGGGTGCTTATGGCAGGAGGCTTTAGTTTCATGTGGCAAGATCTGCACCTTTCGCTAAACTTCTCCGAGTATGTTTGCATGCTTGCTTTTATGGTTTTAGGGGATGGCGCGATTGCTCGAGCCTTTGAATGTTGTGCAATGGTCGCACCATATATATTTGGTACCAGGGCCTAGCTTATCCTCCAGGAGTGGTCCCTCAGGGACACAGGGACTGAGAGGGAGTTGAGGCTGAGAGATAGATCTAAATCAGCCATGCCTGTAAATCTATAGCGATGTGTTGCTAGCACCTGATGACGCCATCTTGAAACTGGTAGTCAAGCCCAGAATGCTAGCTTCTGGCTCCTTCAGATGATATACTCAGAACATCTGTATAAATGAGCTCGATGGAGGCCCTGCCGGGTGCGGCCACTAGCAGTGGCTGTCGGCCGGCATATATCTAGGTGGCGACACCGTGTCGGTGACCGTGTGGTGACCTATATAAATTATATATAGATCTATTACTAATAGGTCTCCACTGCAGCGGCTGCTACGCAAACTTTTGCAGTTGTGATGCATGCATCTCAGGGCGCCCACGCTTCTGCATCATGCCTACACATATCACAAACGGTGGCACAGCACTGTAAATCAAACCGTCCCAAGTGGAAGGCCATTCCTGCCCGTAGACGCTGCCCAAAGTTGGGCTGCCCGTGCCACGTAGCTTTCCTTGGACATTTCCACATCGAATATAGAGATGCCCTTACTCAGTGCATACAGTGACAACTGGAGACTTGCGAATTTCTTACAGGATTTTCTGATGCTGCCTCTGCACATTTATGCACTCTTTCTGCTTCTGCTATACTGAGCGAATCAGTTTGCTTGTCTTCAAGTAAATCTCAGAGACTCTGCGAGTGCCGTTCCTATCCCGTCATTTGCTTCAAAGACCTGAAGAATATCCTCTTCATAAGTATCTGCAAAGCTGGGGATGGGATCCAACCGTCTTCACAAGTGTGGAGGTTGTGATCCCAGTGGTGGCGATGGGAACATAAAGCCTCGTGATAAATGCTCTTTCTGCGCCGCGATGGCAATTGTTCCGCAAGAACGCAGCACCGCAATGAAATTTGTTATTGAGGGAGAAGAAATCCAGATCGAGATGAGGAGGCTGCAGAGGGATGCCCCTCATTTTGGGAAAATGCCAGAAGACAGAATTGTGCTGCAGGTAATTCTCTCTGTCTTCTACTGGCCATATGTATGCAGGCACTTTCTTTTCGATGCAGTGCAGAGCGATCAAGGCAAGGCGATTATGAATTTAGGAATAAAATCGACAAGACAAGAAACATTGTGCTGTTGTGCAGTTGCTGGTGAGGGTGATCAAACTATGCCTAAGGACAATCTATGCAGGCTATTCTACCAGTAGGCATCCCATTCTTCATACTGTCGGTGCACTTGTGATCATGGGCTGTCAGGTAGTGCGGAGCCTTGTTGTTTAATTGTAATGCTCTTTGTATGAGATGAAGTGCATGCTTGAGCTTATGCATGCAGTAGATAAGTTCTTGCATCTTGCATCTTGCAGGAGCCAAGCCAGCTGCATGCATGCCTGGTTTCAAACTGCCTGCATGACCTGCTGCGTTGATCACGAACCTGTGCTTCAATGCAGCGTACATTTCAGACGATGAAGGCATGACATACCACGATCTGAGCAGCTCTGAGGGACAGGCGCACATTGCAAGCCGAGCAGCCTCAGTGACTCGCATGGTGGAGCTTCTGGCATCTGTTCCTTGTCTGTTGACGCACCTAGACTGCGAGGACTTCCATGCAGCTACCATTGCTGCTGCAGTGGCCCTGCATGCACTGAACTCCAACCGTGCCAGATGGGACGCTCTGCTGCAGACGTAGGCTCCCGCTCTATGCAATCACATGCAGTCTCTTGGCACAAGAGTCCAAGTGATTAGCGGCTTGCAAACATGCACATTGTCCCCATTTCTAAGGCCGATGGGGGGCCCCGTTGGGGGCTGTTCAGATGTATGATGGCATGAGGTGATATTGAGCATGCATGAGTAGTGCTCATTGTAACTTTGCAGGAAGGGCTTGTCGGCCAACAAGGTGGAGGAACTCCTGCGTTCCGGCCTATCGCAAGCTCTCTGTTCACTATTACAGGAAGGGGTGAACCACCAGGAGGAAACCAGGATCAGCAAGGGGCAATTGAGCAACATGTACAGGGTGAAGGAGCTGAACCCCGCAGGCCCCCGGAACTGCATGGCATGGGCTGAATGCCAGCTGGTCATGAAGAATCCCTGGCAAGCCATGCAGGTGATGTCCCTGCATGCGCTGGTGAAACATGCGCTGTGTTAAGTAGCGCTTTTTCTGTTGGCGCTATAATAACCATCTAAATATTGCAGCATGGGGATACCTGTTTGCAGACTTGACAAGCACATGGCCGGGTCCATGCAGACACATGAGAGAGTGTGAAAGTGTGAGTTTGTGCCCAGAGTTTCCCTTCTTCACCCTCAATACAACCCCGTGCACAGACTAATTTGACGTCCAGAGAATCACATGTCTGCTTAATGTTGCCTAGCTTGATGTCTGTGAAATGGTCGCCGGCAAGGTCTGGTCCTTTTTGGTGTATTTGAATGTCCTCTTGTCACCAAAAATTTAGTCATGCCTGACATGATGGCCATACTGCCAGCGCTGAAGTCAGCAGAGGTCCAGAAGGATGATCTGAAGGCATGCAGGCTGCAGTGGATGTACTGCCGCATCATGCTGCTGACTGGCAGCCGCCCAAGCCTCCCATTCACAGTGTCCACCTTCCAGGCGCATGTAAACCAGGTGAGTTGCCACCGTCATCCTGTCAACTGTGATATTCATTGCTGTTATATTCACACGTATTTCCATCCTTCCAAGGCTAGGTGCCAGCAGTACTGTGACGTTACCATGCCAAAATGTTTGCACTGTGTGATGATCACACTGTGATCAATGCCTCATGATTTAATTTCACTTGACTGATGGGTGGCCTTAAGAAACAGTACAATGTTGACTGACACTCAAGCGAACCAATGCATGTTGCGCAAGAAGGTGTTAAGGGACAACTCTACGCTTGCACTGCTTTCATTTCTTGAATTCCAAGAGGAGCCTCACTGTAACATCAAGAGTAAGGACATGTGGCAGCCGTTAGCGCAGTTTGTCTGCAGACGCACCTTGCCTCTGGCAGCAACAGCGTGTAAGAACAATAATTGGAACATGTGGGATGTCCTGCAGGGAAAGCAGTGCAAGGCAAGGCTGGACAGCTGGGGTGAATTCCCATGCGCACACACAGGCGGCTGGACACCTGTGCCGAGCATCTCTCTGGCTCTGCCAGACACATACTGGGATTGCCTGGGCATATCTGCGCACTTCAAGGCAGCCATCAAGCGCGACCCTGCCTTTGCAGCCACAGAGCTGCCCGCCTTCACTGAGGTGGCTCTCAAGGAAGCGCGCATGCATGTCAGGTGATCCCCTACCCTGACAATTCGGTCTGTATCCCTCCTGAACCAGGATCCATATACTTCAATGGGGTGAACATTGGGTGCTAAGGCAGATGTCACCTTCCCAGAGCCTCAATAGTACTTGACAGAACGGAAGCTGGGCTCTCTACAGCCATGCATCATGCATGTCAGTCACTCGTCTTGATCTAGAATCAGGAGCAGGGTTGGTTGGAAGGCTTTGTTGTGCAGCTTCAATCCCAGATTGACTTCACATGCTAAGAGTTTTGGCGACTGCATTGGACACCTATGGGCACATCTATCACTGTGCTGATGTCACAGCAACATGCATATCATGTGTGTGATGCATGTTTGTGATGTCCTTCAGGTGCCACTACTGCCAGGAGCTGAACGGCGAGCTGATGTTCTGTTCAAGGTGCCATGTGGCCAAGTACTGCTCCAAGGACTGCCAGAAGAAGCACTGGATCAGCGTGCACAAGCAGCTGTGCATTGCAGCAGCATCTTGATTCATGATGATCACAGTTCTAGAGGGGTGCATGGGGTGATAGGGTGGACTCGCTGGTGGTGAGGGCTATTCTGTACACATGTGTCCACGCCGCATGAGATGCGTGCCATGCGGCATCATGATGAGATTCATCTTTGTTCCATGATCATAGGACGATAGGCACTGGAATCGCTGGCGGTGCATGCAGGGCATTCTGTGCATTGCAATCAGCCAGGGCTGAGGCATGCTGGCAAGTACTTAGCTTCAAGGACTGCGTACCATCATGGCATCATGCCCATTTATGATAAATTTATGCTGGAGCACTTCCGGTGTAGCTTGCTCTGTTATGTAGATCAATTCCAACCGCAATGGTGAGGAGCTGTTGGTCATGCTGACAGCTAATGTCTCGCTAAAAACATAGGTCAAGCTCTTTTCAGCCCTCCTCAAATTTCAGTATGAGCATGCATGCTTTTTATCAATCTTCCACCCAAACGCACCTGTGTGTTGCCTGCGTGTGTTGGCACGTGCATCCGACTAATTCCTGGGACCGAAGAGAAGCTCCCAGAATGAGGACCTCGACACCTCGCCCATGCTGTAATGCTCTTTTCAACTTATTCAGACATGTGAAGCCAAGAACGTCCGTGCATCGTCGTGCCTTGACCTCAATGGCCTCGAGCAAATCGGAGCAGCTGAAGACACTGTACCAGAGCTATGCTCATGAGTTTCCAGAGGTACTGAGTCCAGCACATCACAAAATTACGCAAGGTAAATGGAGGCGATTTTGAATACTTGATCATCGTGTGTTGCGATGCACAGGTGAAAAGCATTAGGGCTTCTGAACTACATGCTGAGCTGGAAGAAGACAAGGACAGCAGCAAAATAATCCTGATTGATGTCAGAACTGCAGAGGAACAGAAGGTGAGTCCCCAGTGTGAGCGTGAGGAAGGAAAGCATATGCTTACGATGGACTTTGCTGATCAGTGACTGTTGATGTCCTCGTCCAAGCGCAGGTGTCCAGGCTTCCAGGCAATGTGCTGACCAAGGAAGAATTCGAGATTTGTAAACAGAGATACTTGAATTCACCTCTTGTCACCTACTGGTACGAGACGACTGCTCAGGCACCGATGCATGATGCTGGGGTTTTCTTGTACTGGGATAAACGACCATCTAAGTCAGCGTCCTCACTGGACGAGAGGCTCTGAGTCACAAATAAGATCATCCTGAGCTCTCCCATTTGACTGCAGCACTGCAGGTGTGCGGAGTGGCAGGTATGCCAAGGTTTTACAGGAGGAGGGATTCAAAAATGTCCGCAACTTTGAGGGCTCCATTCTGGCATGGGTAGGTTTGGACTCTCATCATTTCTTGTTCACAAATCTTTCTTCTTTTGGGAGATATGCAGCATTGTGTTCGTGCTGCCATAAGGTGAATCACTGATATGCATTGTGCTGCAGACCCAAGCTGGCTATCCACTGGTGACACCTGATCAGGAAGCAACCAAGCAAGTGCATGTGTGCGCGGAGCAATGGGCGCTGCAAGGAGATGACTACAAGCCTGTTTGGTTCTCAGGTAAGCAGTCCCAATTTTGCCCTATGCCAGCTGTGTTGAAGATTATCTCGACTTTCACATTTTTCCCTCCCTTTCTTATTTCTGATGTACACAACGTTCACACTCATGTTGAGATGATCAGTCAATGTCTGAAGCCGCTTTGAGGCGGCAATAATTGTATCTTGCATGCCATATTCATCGCACCCCCGGCAACCCTGCCTTGACTATCACATGACTGGTGCAACAGGTTTGAAGGGTGCTCTGTTGGCAGTTGGGGGTTGGGGGTCCAACATCTGGAAGAAGGCCTTTGGAAAGAAATGAACGAGATGTGGCAGAGCACAGTTTTCACAGAGGAGAAACAAATTGCATAATTAGATCGAGTATTGAAAGTCAGTAGAGGGCGTAGAAGTAACCCCAATCCACTTGTACTCTTTTTGAGTTCTCTGTGAGTTTCATGTGCACAGGCTGAGCGGCCCCCATGAGACTGCTGCCAGAGGGGAATCTGCCCAGGGGGGTCTATATCTATGGTTAGACATAGGTCTGCAGCGCTCATCATAGCCATAGATCCCCTTGATCTGCCAAGACCCAAGGGTCAAGGCCTAGGCATGTGGCTGCTCAGTCTCAGTTCTGGCACCGAGGCAATAGATCGCAGCTGGAACTCTTGGAGCGCTGCAGTATGACCACTCAACGGTGGGATTGTTTGACCTTACAGATAGAGGAATGCAGACATCAAGGCAGGTGCAGAGTGAGCGCCAGAAGATAGGAGAAAGGGGTGTATTTTTATCTTACAAAGTCCCCTTTCTATAAGGCAAGGATGTACTATACCTTCTTGGATCCAATGCAAGGCGTGCGGTGCAGATCTGGGTCTTCTGTTAACTGACGGCCCGTCGAGCAATCACTGCTGCGATTGTGTTCGCACAGTACTGGACGGTCATGACAGTACAAGACAAGATGAATTCCAAATGACTCACTGTGATGTTTGTAGACTATCAGACGACAGCTGAATGTGGAAGTGGTGTGGATGAACAAAGGGTTGCAGCTGAAAAGCAGTCATACCTGACATGACTTGTATGTACAATGGAGTGGTGACAGCTTCATTCACCTTAATAGTGTTCAATGTACAAAATTACATACTATGTAGGACTGGTACATTCACTGGTTCTCATAGGAGCAAAGAATGCCAAGTGTAACATCAACGTTATTCGAGACAAAGTGCGCCCCCTTGCCAATGGCAACTTGCCATGCTGTTGACAAAATTGCTGATGAAACACGGCCGCAATCCTTCTAAATCAAGCAGAAGCAGAGGCAACCACACACATAAATCTTGAGTCATGGTTAATTTTGGCTACACACGCCGACTGCTTCACTGAAGCATGAAAAGCAGGTCTAACTGGCAGGATGGACAGCACAGAGAAGTGAAGAAGTGTTTGGATGTTGCCCTGCAGCATTGAATCACACAGCTGAGCGATAACTGGAAGAAATTCCAGAGAAGTACCCATCGCAAAACACAATTAAAGACGGCTGAGTGGCTAATGCAGCCTTCAGCAGATGTTAATCCCCCACTAGAACACCCAGCTCTCCAAATTTCTCATGTTTCATTGGCTGGGCCAACTTCTTTGTGACATTTGTTGATTTTGCCAAGGGGAGCAGAAAATTACAGTCGTTCTCCCTCCTCTCTTACTCCCTTATGCCTGCAAGGCTTGCAGTGTGCAGCGTGGCATTCCTTCATCAAAGGTCCTTCAAAGACCTTCAATGAGCCTGAGGTGGCTCCCAAAAGGCCTCTAAAATGTAATAAAAATAGTCAAACACTGGAGCTTTGATGTGAATTGCTCAGTCAAGGCTTTGTGACTGGTGCATTCTCAGCTGTCGCTGCACTGCTCTTCCCGTGGGATGATCCACGGAAGCTCTTTTCCAGCAAGTCCTTGAACTTGGAGCCCGTCAGCACCTGCGCGCATGCGAAGCAACTTGATCAGCACATGCGCACATTCTGCACAGCTCCAGGATTTTGCCACACAGGCATGCCCACATTTGATGCCAAATTTCGCTGTCACATTGCATGTGATGTGCACAATCGAAACTGATATCAGAACTTGTCTTCGACCTCAAACACACTTGCAGGCCAGAAAAACATCATACGCTTGACTGTAAAGCCACTCCTCCAGCCTTTGGAAAGCGTACAGACAGCTGTCAGCGGTACAATGGTGGCCCACAGGGAGTGCATGCATGCTAAGAGCTCACCTTGAGGAAGAGGCCGCGGGCTTCCCACAGAGGCAGGAAGATGCCAATCAGACTCGCCACAATGATGAAGATGAACGCCAGCACAACATAGAACCTAAAGTATCCGATGCTCCAGGTTCCCCCGGCCGGCGCCATCAGGCAAGGCCACAGAATGAAGACTGCGAGGTAGCCGGCGATGGTTGCGATCCAGATGTGTCGCCGGTAGCGGCCGATGGTTTCTCGGTCCTCTTCCACTTCGATGACTGATGGGTCGATCGCGCCGGGGCGAGTCACCTGCGCCGCATGCATGCAAACGCCTGGCTTTTCTATTTTTGAACATTCGATTCAAATCTGATGGTAGTGCACAGGGGCGCGACACCCTTCAACGGGCAGTTCACTTTCTCTTCGCTGCATTGAGGACAATACTGAAAAATGTACACCAGTCAGCTCAATGATTCATGCCCCGGTTGTTGTTGAGAAATAAAAAATCCTCAGAACTGGCATGGGTACCAAATGTTGAGTGTCTGCAAGGGTGCCCCACCCCTTCAGGCAGGCTCTTTGGCACATGCAAAGACCAGGCCAGTTGGTCTATTGCAACATACCACCATGCAACATGATATGCAACATAATACTGCTGAGGGATTGTCAGAAGGAACCACAGAGTCAATGACTATCAGCGGGCCAAAAGTTGAACCGCACCGTGTCCTCTGTCTTGGTGATCTTCTTGTTGAGCTCCTCCCAGTTGAAGGGGGTCTTGTCCGGGAACGCCAGGCTCCCCACAACAGTAATCAACAGAGACAGTCCAAGGGACACCACGTTGCCGGTGAGCAGAGGCATGTTCAAGCCTGTAGTGTCCACTGTAATTTCCCCAAAGCCGATCTTTGCATATGCCAGCCACGATGCTATGCCGCACGCGCTGCCCACCACAGCACCTGCACAAGTAAGATGAATATTTGAAATTATGGCAGAGAATGCATATTCTAAAGGGGCTTAAGTGAGGGTGAATTTGTGTCTCATCAGCAGCACAAAGGACCATTCATGTCATGTTGCATCCTGCTATGTGAAGCCTTCTCTGAGGGCTGACTCCCATGTGACAGAATGCCTCTTGACAGGCAGGTTTGGATTTCCAAGTCAAGGCAGCCATCCAGCAAGGAAAAGTTGAATGCAGATTTGTCAGTGACGGAAAACAGGAGCAGCACGAAAGAGGCCTCTTCCCTCAGTGCATGAGGAGGGTGAGTATGATTAGGTGCAGCACAAATTGGTGATTATTACTCATCAATTAGTCATTGGGGGTGACTCACCGGTGGTGGCGGCCGGGCCGGTGCAGCCGCGCCACACCAGCACAAACAGGAGCGGGGGAACCGCTCCACCGCTGAAAACTCCAATGCTGTTGATCAGCAGCACTATGTTGATGTTGGCAACCTGCAGGAGCGGATTTGAATTCTGAATCACGAACAAAGAAGTGGTTTTCACTGTCAATCAAATCTGTTTACCTGCCAAAAGCGGCGTGGTGCATGTGCAGGCAAACTTCAGGCAACAAACCCCCATGGATCCAGCCCTCGTACATCACTCTTGTCAAGCTACACAGATTATATCGTGCAATATTTAGGCCGCTTCTAAAGGCAGCACAAGACTTGAATAGGAACTTTCTGGGGTAAACCAGTGAAAGCAGAGGAACATTCACCTGAACGACTGTGAGGGCTATGCCCATGATGATGGACCACACCACAACGCCCAACCGTGACACCAGGATCAGCCTCGGGCCCAGCGCCTGTGTAGGACATAACAGCTCCTCTTGATATTTCAGACCAAGTCGACAAGCAGGCGCATCTGTATTGGTTTGAACACGGATGACACAGGCCAAACTCGTGCGTGCACAATAATGTCCCAGACAGAGACACCCCCAGGGAATTCATACAGAACCACCTGACTTCCCCAACACTGCATAGATGCTACAGAGATGCACGTCGCTTGCTGGCAAACAACCTAGAAAGTGTGGGCTCTTTTCCTGCGCCCCAAAATTCCTCCGCTGCTCACAAGCATGCCTTCCACGCTGCGTGTCTGTCTCCCCTGAGCATTTCTCTTCCACCATTGCCCACAAGTAGAATATTGTCTTTCATGACTCAAACTAAACGGGCGTCCCCATGAACCGAGCCAGGACTCTCATTAGGCACCCCTGCTTTGCATGTCCTTCTAACAGATTGAGGTCATCTAAGGTCCTGGGGTCCAGAGAAATAGAATATTTAGGGGACTCCAAGCGAACTTAAACTTCAAGTTATTTCAGAGGAGGTCCTGCGTTATACGAGTGAAGGGAGATAAAGGGTCAGAGAGCCTTGCCTTGGGGTTGATGTACTTGCGGTACACATCGAAAGTGAACAGAGAGCTGATGGCGACCATCTCTGAAGCGCCACTGGAAGTCACAGCCATGAAGCAGATGATGACTACTAGCACCGCGCCTGCCGGCCCGATCAGCACATAGGCCGAGGCCGGCATGACAAGGCCTGACAGCGCCTCTCCCACGCTCAGCTGCATACATCAGCAAAATGTCATTGGCATTGTTACGCCTTTCATGTCGTGAAGACCACAGTATTTAGCTCTGAATTTGAATTGCATGCCTCAAACAAGAGACAGCTCTGCATTATTGATCGAGTTGCTGTGCTAGTGGACTCCACTGCTTCATGTATTGGAGCATGCATGTCTGGTTGCTTGCTAAGGTCTCGGCACACCGCATTGCTGCTGAGAACAGCAGCTTCTTGACATTCTCAGAGTCATGCTTTGTGCCTGTGATGCTTGAGGTCAGGCCAGCATATGCTGCCTTATCATCATGTCAGCAGCAATGAAAATCCAAGTTTAAAGCACTTTGCAAAAATCAACGATGCAAGTTGAGGGCGTACCGGCAGGTTGAGAGCCAGAGCTCCCAGTCCGAGGCAGATTGGCAGTGAGAAGACAATGGCCAGAAACAGAAACGATGCCAGGAAGTAGCCCTGCACCCCAGGCACACATCTACGTCTCAAATCAGCTTCAGATCAGCGCATGTTTTCTGATTTCTGGCAGCTGCAGCGCTCCTTTTGGGAGCAGGCAGTCTCTGACTCAGCCAACATGCTCTAGAATTTCTCTCGACTGATCTGCATATAGTCCAATAAGGCATGCATGGTGCAAAAGAGTGGTGCTTGTACATGAGAGAGATGGAGGCAAGGTTTGGTACCCAGTCATACCTTGGCAGCTGCAGTCGGCTTTGCAGCGATGGCGCTCTGCCAGTAAGACTGGTCCACCTGTCAAAACAGAGAATTTTCCATGGTCAGGACCTCTCTTTCTAGCATCAGCAGTACTCACACATGTACATGCTCTGTACATCCATGGTGCACAACTCATGCTCATGGCATCAACATGGACACATCGCAGTGAAAGAGATATGCAGACATTAAGGAGGAGCGAGCGGCAGAAGAGAAGAAAGAGGGCTGCTTTGCCTTCAGACTTGAAGGCTGCCAGAAAATGAACAAGCGAGAGCACTTGACAGCAGCAAGATCAGCAGGCAGATGCGCACCAGCATTTGAGAGAGGCCGCTGAGGAAGAAGATGAACATGAACTGGATGCCGGAGTCAGAGGTAATGGTGAGGTAGCTGCCATCCTTCTGGTCGGCCACTGGGAAGTATGAAGCCATCTGCACGAGCCTGTCATGCACCTGCAAGCCACAAACCATTCCTGCTCAGCATGCATGCAACACAGGATCAAAAGCAAATGCATGCATGCCATTTGTGAACGCCTGCCATGCACATGCAGGCCACAAATAGCCCTGCCCATCATCTCTGACATGCATGCAGTTGTTCAGCCCACAAAGGAAGTAAATACGCTGGAAACAATGCAACTATGCAGTGCAGCTTGCATGCCTAAAATATGAATACTGGGCTATTTCGTAATGCCTGCCATGCACCTGCATTCATGGACACCCCTGCTGAGTGGCTGAAAACATGCATGCAATTCAGCCTCCAATTGCACCCAGGAAACAATGCAGTGGAGCATGCATGCCAAAAATAACAATACCGTGTTCTTGGGGAATTTCATGATGCATGCAGGTGCTTTGTTTACTTTAATGATCACCCTTGCTCACTGCCTACATAATGCCTGCAGATGCTTTGTTCGTTTTAACAGGTCACCCATGCGCATTGCAAGACTTCAAAAAAGGACAAACAAGTCACAGAAAGTTGACGCATGTCACAACTATGCATGCTATGCATTGGGCCAGAGGAGCTGCTACTCACGTCGTCGATGCCTCCAAAGAAGTTGTTTGGCACGTAGACTTGGAACATGAAGAACACGCAGACCACAAAGATGATGACCGTGTGCATGTAGGACGTTGTGAAGGTGGCTTTCAGGCCCCCCACTGCCGCGTAGACCATCGTTGTGATCGGAATTATGAACGCCATCGCTGCACCGTTGCAACACACACATTATTGAGACTCTATTCCTAATCAAGAAGTACAGGACCTCAACACAGCGGAAATTGCTGCAACACTGCAACAAACACGTATTCCAAGACTGTCACTGCTGTAACAAAACCTCAAGACTTTCTGCTGCAATCATAAGAAAAGACTCTGAGGCAGTGTTGTGAGAAAGAAGGGCATATCTTCACTGCATGGCTTCAGATAAAACATGGCTCTGAGGACTGCAGAGCGATGGCTGCCTTATAGCATCGTGGGACTGGCATGCTTCACTTCGACTGCAGAAAGGCCATGAACATGGCAACCACATGCCCAAACTAGACTGGTCCGCACGGAGGCAATTATAACATTCTACTTGACATCTATTGCGGTTGTTTGAGCACCCCAGCCCCTGTTTTTGCAGCTCGATGTGCATCTGGGCCGGCCAGAACAATGATGCCCCAAATTTTTCAGGTGCTCCTCTAGGTTGGGCGGACTAACAAGGAAAAGGAATAGGTGACTCACCATAAGAGTTGACTCCTGTGAGAGCGTTCACCACGGCGACGCAGCCTTGCAGCATGGAGGTTGACACCAGCAGATTGGTGACCACCGCAAACACAAAGAACACCTGCATGCCCACCAGCACGCCTTTTGCATTTCTGGGCATAATAAAGATTGTCTTTGCAGTCCTTGTCTGCTGCATATTCGCGTGGACAAGTTGTGCTCTTCTGCACGCCTTTGCATGCAACCATGGCAACACCATAGCATCTTCAATCTGATGCGAGAATGGCCGCCAGCTAAAGAAACATTCCCTTAGAGCAACTAGCTGTAGGCTGAGCAAATGTCATGAATGGCAGAGCATGGTCAAGCTGTGTTCTTTGTCCTGCCCTAGTAAGCAAGCAAATATTCATGTGTTCTTACTAAAAGCCAACAATCCATACATCAAAGAGCGGAGGCAGCTCACCACATGCGACGCCTTGCCCCACTTGACCTCCACTATTTCCAGCATGGTGTGCGCGTGCGGCGCTCTGTACTTGAGCTCAAGAGCCACCACAGCAAACAGCCACACGCACATCGCCCCAGACACAATCCTGCACATCCATTAGACGATTTTCAACTTTTAGTATCACATGCTGTTCCTGCCAAGAGGCAAGGTGCGTCTGCAGACAAGCTGCAGGTAAGGGCCGCCAAAATGTAATCCCTTGATGGATTCGCCAGATCCAACTTAGATCAAGACCCATTCAACCCCTGGGATGGGGCTCAGTACTCATACGTCCTATTGACCCCCGGCAAATACCCTGATTAGGAAGCCGAGTTAGTGCACTTTGTCAAAGAGATTCCCTTGAAGAAATTCTATAAAGCTTACTCTAAATTTGAATATAAGTTTAAACTGTCAGGCTGTGCACAATTGAAAATTTATAAGGCTGCAGCATGCGTGCATCCAGGCAAGCGCAAAACCTCTGGCATAGTGCTGCTTGGCTCTGGACATTCCGCCTTTCTGCTTTGTCTGAACTGCTGCAACACGGCACATTTGCCATGAAGATGAAGCAATTGGGTGTATGCTTCCGCATGCATGCGCCACGCATGCAAGATGCTTGTTGCTGGTGCACGTATGCAATATGCTTATTGCTGGTGTAGAAATCTGCAGACAGGGCAGGCAGGACCCACCAGTAGGAGCCTGTGGCGCCATAGAAAAAACCGTAGGTGACACTCTGCAGGAGGATGGAGGCCCAAGTCCAGTGGCTGACGATGTCCACAGCCAGCAGCCCGGTCCCTATGCTCCTGCCTGCTGTATTGAACTGGGAACGAAGCACAGATGTGGTGATGGTTGGCCTATTCGCTGCATTAGATCTTACAAAGAACGAAATCCAACGCAAAGCCCAGCATCGGCTTGATCAAGTCTGGGCAATGCCCGGCAAGGTCAAGGCGTGATCAAGGGGCTGAGGATCATGCCGCAGGATTGGGCACTCACATGCATGATATTTTAAAATTGCAGTTGAAGGCGCACTTGTTCAGAATTGTAGACCGCTCCAGAGTATGTGACATCCACCCAGACCAGCAGGATTGCAAGAAGTGCAAACAACGCCCCGAAGCACAGGACAATGGCCCAGCCGGCAGCCTGAAGCCATTTGTATTTTTATCAATACACTCTCACTGTTCACGCCACAAGCAGACACTGAGCACGCATGGTCCTAGGGTTTCAGGTCTAATTGCCTTGATCTTCTGTCAGGAACAACCAATTCTGGTATATCGGTCATCATCGTTCATTTTCGTTATTCCAGGCGTCATTAAGATACTAGACTCCTAGAAAAGAAATTCCGCCGGACCACTGTTGCATAACCCCATATGACGTCAACCCCCATTCAAAGATGCCAGAAGCCCCTACCTGCGGCAAGAGGAAGTCGCCTGTGAAGAATGCGGTGGCTCCATCATACTGATGTAGACCAAAAATATTGACCTCGGAAGCGTTCAAGCTCCCAGGTGCAGGAGGAGCTGACATGCCGCGGTTTCAAAACCAGCAGAGCTGGACACGGAAGCACGATCCTATGCTCAGCTGAGCTGAAGAAGTTCCGTAAAATTCAACTTGGTTGAAATCTTTGCAGATCGGTGCTTTATGAATTCCATTTTTCTTTCCAAATATCACGCAGAATTTTCGGCCACCTGAACGGCCGTATACGTTCAAGGGAAAGGTTAGTTGTCATATTAATTGAGATCAGAACATTCATGCCAATACTTATTATTTAATACTCGGAAGCTATGACTCTCAGAAATACTGGAAGAGACACCCTCTGACAGGCTTCCGAAGGCGTTGATCTAGGCCCCATGGGGTTTGCATACGTAATCAGCCTGGTTCTTGCTGTGGCCTGTGCTGTGATCGTTGGCCTCGTCTATAATGTCCCGGAGTTTTCAGACTTCCGAGGTGCATTGTACCTAGGAGGGAAAGAGCAGGCTGACTTCAAGCCACTGGGCCATGGCCTCTACAAGATCGAGATCTTCTGGCACATGACACCCTTCCACAACGAGGTGAGCCTTTGTTCGCTGCTTTGAGATTAATTGCATGCGTTTTGCGCTGCGCCATCGTAAAGGATATAATCAGAGCTCTGAGAAGCACCACAGAGAACTGAATATCGCATGTCTAATGGCAGAACCTGGACTTGTATCTGATCAACGAGGACAAATCCTGGTATCTATCGGACGCTGGCGGATTTGATTCCTGGCTGGATCCGCACGCCAGCAGGATCGTGAAGGCAGTCCAAGCAGTCATTCCGCCTGGGCAGAAACTCACCTATGTCATTTGTGAGCCCCCCTTGGCATGCTAATGTGCATCTTGGCAAAGTCACCTTTTCCACAGTCAGACCTTGGCAGTAAAGCTCTCTATAAGTGCTGTGCACTGAGTCCCTTGGCATGGAGACCCCATCTGTTGAAATGCATGCAAGAAGCCTGCCATGAATAGAATGCATGCAAGGAAGGCTGACCCTGTCCAAATGCTCTGCCTTCAGGTGTGCAAATCTCCTTCTCTAAATAGCTCTGCCAAGCAGCTGAGATCTGATCGGATTGCAAATGCAGTGACACATGGGCACCTGGATCATGTGGGCGCGATAGAGCCACTCATCAAGGCATACCCAGACCTCAAAGTGATTTTCCACGAGACAGAGGCCCCCTTCCTCCTGGGCACTGCCCAGCCGAGCTGCTATAACTACAAGCCAAACGGCCTCAGCGCAGGCTTTAAGCTGCTCATGCTGCTGAAGCTGCTGCCGCCTTATGTGCAGTACAAGGTGCGATCTTGGCTCAAGATTTAACTCAGTTGCAACGCATTTGTGAACTAAGATGCCGGGGTGGTGGCGTGTTTGTTTGTCACAACACATGTGGAACTTCATGTGATTGGTATGATTCCCGTTTTGCAGAGGAAGCCAGGCTGCAGCCATCCTGGGCTGACCTGGCATGTGGATTCAACTGTGTTCACAAGTGTTTGATTGACACCGTATCTCTCTGTCTGTCCTTTCTTTGTTTGCGGCACCTTCGCATTGCGCATGAGGTTCAATATGCCCTGAGGGCATGTCTGCTTGGCTCTGCTAGGATCAGCAAGAACCCTCAATCGAACGGAGAAAGAGCCCATCATGACCGTGATCACGGCAGGTCACCCCTGACAAAGTTTGTGGATGCAGATGCCAGCAAACAGGAGTCTCATTCTGGAGGGGCCGGAGGGGGACTTGTCAAAATACGGCGTGCATGATCTCAGCTTCACACATGCGCCAGGGCACTGCAGAGGCCACGTGGTGTATCACCACAAGCCCTCAAACTACATGCTGGCTGGAGACTTCACAGATGTTCTGCAGAAGGAGGATGGCGGCTATGCTCTCAAGACAATGTGTGCCACAACTTGCAACATCACCGAGGCGAAGGAGACTGTGTGCAGGTGAGTTTGGTCATTGTTGAGGCTGCCTTGAGGTTGCAGAGTTTGACATTACTTTCAGTCGGTGCTTGTTGGATCCTAATTGGCCCAGAACGGGGCAACAGCTGCCAGATTTGGCCCAAATTTGGGGTGAAAATACCTCGATCAAGAGGTAATTTCTGTCAGCCAAGACCCCAAGAAGATGGCCTAAGCAGACTGCAGACGATGCTAAGCTTTTCTTTCACTTGACCATCCTGCAGCTTGCCATTTGAAGTAGGAAAGCATTGCTTGTCTTCTGACAAAGCCTCAGAGTTTGCAAGTTCCCCTGCAGTGGTTTGCCCTGCAAGTTGTGGGCACAGTAAAGCAATTTAAAGGGTGACTGTGTGCAAGCAGGGTGGTCCATGGCATGGATTACAAGCTGCTGCTGCCCTACCACGACGCCAGGAAGTCTGGCTGGACAAAGGAGGAGCTCATACCACTGGCAAAGGAGTACGCCGGTTGTTCATGACCACCTGACCAGAGATTTCAAAGCGCCTTGTTAGTTCGGCCTGGCTTTCATACATGCGTTCTTACGACGGAAAGAGGAATGCAGACAGCTTTTCCAATGCAAAACAGTGAGGCTCACATAGTGAGGTGTCCCCGCCATGTGCCTGCTGATGTCAGCAAACTGATGACAGCAGCTTGCAGGCTAAACCATTCTAACGCGTGCCACAGTGTGCGCTTGCAGCTTGTGCTGTTTATTTTGCGGAGGGGTCAAGTGATAGTGCCTCTTTACTGTTGGGCACATCCACGGGTTAACAGCACTGCAAATGGCTGGCTTGCACAAATGGATGCCCTCAAATGAGTCCCAGTTATTAACAAACCTTTTCTGTACAGCCTGATGATTCATATTTGATCTCGATTCTGACACTCATTATCATTGACAATGACTCCTCGCTGTGTTTGTTAATGAAGTGCAGCTCACAGCTGTTTGACATTCTTTACAAAATAGAGTGTAATCAAAATCTTATTTGAGTACCAATACTCTAGAGATGTCTAGCCAACAGAAGATGCACCAGCCAAGCACACGCATGCATGACTCGCCGCAAATGACAGGGCTCCCAATCAAATGCACAAGCCAAGAAGCCGACACCAACCCACATACCCAGCTGAAAGCAGCCTAAGCCTTCAGCGAGGGCCTGCCCAAAATAAATTTCAAAGGAATTAGATAAAGCTTTTAGATAAAAGCTCTTGAGAGGAATGCAGACATCAAGGCAGAGCGAGCACCAACAAGATAGGATTCGGCAGCAGCGAATCACGCGCGCAGCTTGCGGATGGCGGCGGCGACCTTTGATCTCTGGTCCTCGCCTGCTCCGCTGTCTCTCTCCTCTTCTGGGCCGGGGCTGGGTACGAGCGAATCGAGGCACCAACGCCAGCCGCACCTGCCCGGCTTGCCGCCTGCAGCAACCCCAGCATAGACCGATAACCGGACAAACTCACTCGTATGCATTGGATTTGGAAAAAGATAGCGTCCTTTCAGAGAGACTCAGATTGTGATTGCATAGGAGCAAGGGCCGATATTTCATGAGACTTCCTTTGTCGTGACTCTTTGCGTATAGAATGCAGCTGTCTCGTTGGACTGACTTGACTTGCATAGCAGGACATCGTTGCAGCGTTACTCAGCAGTGCAAGCAAAAGCATGTGATGCCAGTGACTGCTGTCCTGTTAAGCGCGACACCAGGAAGGTCTCCGTGGAGTGATCTGAACTGGACATGAACAGCGTCACACGCTTCCGCCTGAGCTTGAGCGCATAATGATGCGATGCAAAGGAAAGAATATAGACCTTAAACACACCACGCGGCCATCTTGTGCAGCTGCTCTCAACAACCCAAAGGCAATGCACAAATACTTGCATGCACTCGATTGCTTCAAATGACCAGGGATGCCCTTGCACCTGGGGAAGAGCCGGTGTCAGTGCCGGTGTTGACCCAGGGGCAGAAGGTGCGATGGAACAGCAGAGGGTCAAACGCCTGCACCGACTTCGCTCCCCTGGGCGAGAAAGGGTCCGCGATCGGCGGCGACGGCTGCTGCGGCTGCGGCGTCGGAACCTGAACATGGCCATCAGACATGCTTGCTTGTGAGAACATGCAACATATCGTCTAGTGAATAGGCTTGAAATCAGTATAAAGGCCATCACAGAGCCATGGTGACCAGAGATACGGTAACACCCTCATGCATACAGCAGGGCGCTTGTGCAAGAAAGAACACTCCTCCAATTTCACGCATGTGATACAAGGATTGCATAATGATGAGCTCACCTCGGCAGGGAACGCCATTGGCAGCGGCGCAGCCGCCCCCGCCGCAGCCGGCAGCACCGGGAATGAGAATGAGTTATCCCCCTTACCACTCCCCTGCTGCTGCTGCTGCTGTGAAGACTGCCCCTGCTGCTGTAAAGGCTGGTGCGACTGCTGAGAAGAATTTCTGGCTCTCTTGCTGGGCGGAGGCTGCACGTTTGTTGTGTCTGCGTCGCCTTCTGAGCGCTCAAAAGGGCGCTTAGTTATCGGAGGCGCGCCGTTTGCGGATGCGGCTGATGCCTTTGCTTGCAACGCGGGGAGGCCAAACACTGGAGACGGGGTGTCTGCAGCGTTGGAACAAGCTCTTCAGCGCTAACTGTCAGTACTGGCAATATTGCATTGTCCCTCACTATCAACGCTCAACCAGGCACGATCAAATTACACCATGTATCAAGCATGCATGCAACATTGCCATGGTATCGAGACCACATGACGCATCTCACTCATCTTGACATCCTCAAGGGGTCTGCAACCAAGATTGCCTGGATTGTTTGTTGTCATTCTTGTCTGCAGCATTATTTAAAAACTAAGCCTTACCACTCTGTGACCCAAAGGGCCCTCCATCGCCGTCGCTGGTCCCTGTTGGCTGGGCTGCAAAAGTGGACAGCCCAAAGACAGGCGACTGGGCAGCAGCCGACTGCCCAAACGGGCCTGGGGTGGATAAGCCCCCGATGCTGAGTGATGGACGACTTATGGATGCTTTAGGAGGAGTCGACGAGGAAGGGAGCGGCGGCTGCAGTGCAGGGGTGGATGAACTGCTAATAGGGGTGGGCGCGCCGAAGGAGAGGGGCGCGGGCGAGGGTTGGCCGAAGGGTTTTCTACCCCCGGGGACTTGCGGCGCGGGGCTGGGGGTCGGCACGCCGAACGCAAGGGGCGTCATGGAAGCTGAGCCGAAGGGGCCTGGGCTGCTGCTGCTGCTGGGTGGCGCCTGATCTGGCGACAGGCTGCCCCCGGCGATTGTCTTTGACAGGTCCACGCTGCGCGCTGCGACTGGCGGGGACCGGTCTCTCCCGCTCAGGCCTGCATACAAAATTCTTCGCTAAGCACCAGCCATTGGTGGCTGTCTGCTAGAAATCGTAGCTTCGCACCCTGGCCTAGGAGAACTTCAAATTCCACAAAATCTAAAAAGAAGAGAGATGCTAATCATGACCTGTACCTTTTCTAGACACTATAGGAGATGGCGAGAATCACAAATGAACATGGTATTGGTGATCTTGAAGTGAGCAAATTCTCAATGTACATGTCGTGTCCATCGGAATGCAGAATTCAGACCAAATCCACGACATCGGTCCAACCATGCATTCATCAATCCAGACGAGTGATCCTCAGCGAAGGCAGAGCTGTGTACCTGCAGTGATCAGCCGGCTGCCCGACCGGGCAGCGGGCACCATCCTGGGCACAAAGTCCCACAGCCCGGCACGCGCGCCGCACATCTCACAGCACAGAGCAGCGCCTGTCGCATCCAAAACGGCGTCCCCTCTGTGGTTGTCCCGGCCGATTGACCCTGGCGCGGAGGGCGAGCCAGCTGACCTGGCGGATGAGTCAGCGTGGATCTGGAGGACCTCCCAGCCGCACAGCGCCAGGAGCCTCTGGCGCCGCGTGAACTCCGGCGTCCCTTGACCTGAGGGATAATCATGCAAGGAAAATTCTTGGATTTGCACGGCAGTCATATGCGTAGTACAAAGGCCAACATCAACATTGATGACCATGAAGGAATGTTATGAGTGTGATCTACATTACATTACAGGAGGGCTCGGCAAGGAGGGCTCAGCAATGATGGTGTATGAGAGTGATACTCAGGGAAATCGCTTTGGTTCAACGCGTTCATGTGAAGCAGCAAGCCATAGCACGCGTCGTTATTGTGCAATGCGAATGCCAACAGTGGCGCACATGCAATGCCGGATGACGGCTGCTGGCTGCCCACAGCTCCGCTGCTCATGCTGGGCTCCTCTGGCTGTCTGGCTATCTCAAACCCCTGGAAGCTGCCATTTGTGTGCACCCCGTTCCCCGCGGCCGGTGAGCACGGCGAGTCTGGTACATCTATCTGCAGCCTGGGGCCTGCCCTCTGAGGTCCTTGCACTAGCAGCTGCTGTAGCCGCGACCTGCAAACAATGAAAAAGATATTCTGTCGCTAAATCACTGCTCGGAGCATTGTGCGAGAGCACGACGCTGAGCAGCTGTGTGCTCCTTTTAGCTGTGGACTTTGACCTGCACCACATGCATGAGGATGCAGCAGAGTAGCTAGCACGAGGTTGGTCTGCTCCTCTAAAAGCCGAGGGTGCTGCCATCAACCAACATCGAGAAGGATAAGGTAAAGCCAGATGGGAGGAAGTCACACACAGATGAGAGACAGAAGCACTTCAATGTGCTCAGGGATAGCCCATGTCATCCACCCAGTGACTTTCTGCCTCCTCAGCCGGCTCTTAGTGTTTCCTTGATGTTCATCACGAGCAGCACCACAATCAGATTTTCATCAAAAGACCCCTATTCTATGCTCTGGTTGCTCACCTCTTTCTGTTCTGCTCAAGAGTCCTGCCAGCATATGGCTAGGGGCCTTCAGAAATTGAGGCCCATCCAGATGAGGCTGCACATGTCAACTGGCTGGAAAACATGAGCAAAGCGAGACATTCAGGGCTGTGCCATGTTCCCGAGCCAGTCAACATCTGCATCCTGGCCTGGGACTACCCAGACTTCATTGGCCCCCTTGTGACTGCCATCAGATTCTGTCAAACAAACAAGGACATGCAAAGGAGCACACCTGCGGGCGGTGTTGATGCGTGCATAGGCGTCCTCGGAGACCGGCGGCAGCACATTCAGCCGGCCAAGCGCCGTCGCGCGGTCGGCAAAGCCGGCAGCCACAACCGACCTGCAACCAGACAACTTTGTGAGAGCTGCCTGCTTCCCCTCAGGACCCAGACTCGCCGAACAGAGTCTTGGAGGTTGCACAGCCTGATAGCCTTTTTTAAGGGAGACTTGCCAGACAAACCTAGCCACCCAGCTGGAACCGCGTCATGCATGCACGCACTTCAATTGCAACGCTGTATGCAGGTGCTGTGAAGTGAAGAAAGCAACGAGTGGCGAGCTGCAAGGTGAGGATGCTCTGCGATGATTCGGCAGAGGACAGACCGGTCAAGAGGAGGGAACTGCGCGAGAGACGGGTCGCAGGCCGCCGTCCGCCAGGGGCAGCCGCTGTCGTGCGCCGATGCCAGCCGCGCCGAAAACTCCCGGCCGATCTGCATGCAGCAAATTTGAATCCAAGTTCAATAGACTTGGAGCGTACATTGAAACCATACAGCTGGGTTGTATATCCCCACATCATGCTGTCTCGACCGTCCGCGTAGGTGGCTCTTAGCCAATTGCAGTGAGCCGCATGGGTGTCTATGCAAGTGCATCTCGAGTGGTAATACTTCCACGGTTCTGGAGGTATCGTCAACAACAAGCAAAGTTCTAGAAGTGTGCATACATCACAAGTTGTGTTGATCTTTGCTGTGGGAAGGAGTTTAGGGTAAGGGAGCACCTCTCTGATCTCCTCTGGCGGCAGTGTCGGCGGCAGCGGCAGACTGAGCCTGGCTCGGCAGAACTGCACATGCAAATAAGCTCATGTTCACTTTCTACATACATTCACGTCCTGGACCATTCTCATCCCAATTAACTCCTTGATAAGAGCTGAAAGAATCCAATCCATACGAAGCTGGCAAATCACCAGCATTTGCATGTCAGAAGTACAGTGCGGTCAAGCCGAAAGGAATGAGATGGTGCGCACCTCGCAGCTGAGCATGTCCATGGAATGGTTGACCCATCCCCTGCGTGCGCACTCCACAGGGCCAGCGCCAGCGGGCTTGCAGAACCAGGTGCTGGATTTGAAGCTGTGCAGGCGCCGCAGCAGGTCTCCCCGGTCCCATGTCCTGCAGGGGTGGTGGCTGGCGCCTGTGCAGCAGCGACCAGATATCACCAGCTTTCCCTGACTAATAATATTAGACAACCATCGCTCCGTTGCAACACTGCAATGGCTTGGATGTTTATACAGACAACATGCATGTATCACAGAGGTCCAGGCTACAAATTAATACCAGAGCTCTGTGATGCGTTTGCAGGGTATCAAAGTGCTCATTGTGGTTTTACACAATTTTCACCTGTGGCAGGACTGTTGGTAGAACCCTCTGATCTGCTGGTCTGCCCCTTCAAAGATGGCAGGTAGACGAGTGCGTCCAGAGCCTTTCGAGCCCTTTCAGCGGCATTTTCCATGTTCGTCCCCTGATTCATACAAATAATTATTGCAGGTGCGATGACTTGCTATCTGTACAGCCTTTGGTTGTTTGTGACATACCAAAATCCCATCAATCAGCCATAAGTGACACCGAATCGTGGGACTCAAAGTGGCTTAAGGCTAACAAAAGGAGCCTGTAAATATCTGTTCCATAAGCATATTTGTCTTTCATTGATATATTTTGCGAGCAAACGTATTCTCATGCTTGTCCCATGCTTGTAACCATGCAAGCCAGAACAGGACACTCCAGCTAGTCTTCCTGCGAATCACCGTCCTCTCAAGAGCAAGGGGAGCTCTAGTTATAGATCGCACAGAGTCTGTAAACATTGTAATGCTCTAATGCAGACAGGAGCACCATGATTAAACTGCCGTCTTCTCGGTGAGATGGACAATCTGATGTTGATCTGCTGAACACCAAAGCGGTGTGACGACGGTGTACAGTGTGCCTAGTATTAAGAGATAAGAGAAAATGTCGAACGTGTACAACTTGGAACCTCCAACCAAAGGGAAGGTGAGTCATGCTCAAGCAATAACAGTCAAAACGCCTCTACGTTTCAGGCCCATTCCTGGAGTTGTCCATCCCATTAAGGGCAGTTCTAGGATCTGTAATCTCCATTGATGCGCAGGTCATCCTGAAGACTACCCTTGGCGACATCGACATCGAGTTATGGGCCAAAGAAGCCCCAAAGGTATCCCTTGCACTACCCTTGCTCATGTAATATTCCAGTCCCTCTTCTTTGCCAGGGTGTGTTGGCAGACCTGCCTGGCACCACTGTGATGCCAGCTTAAAGTCAGGAGCTCCCATCGTTGACAGATATGTGTGCACAGGCGGTGCGCAACTTTGTGCAGCTGTGCATGGAGGGCTACTACGATGGCACAATGTTCCACAGGATCCTGAAGGACTTCATGGCCCAAGGAGGGGACGCCTCAGGCAGCGGCGCAGGCGAGGAGTCCATCTACGGCCACCCCTTCCCTGACGAGTTCCACTCCCGGCTGAAGTTTAGCCACAGGTCAGTCATTCCCTCCTCTCCTATCTGAATTGTGGCATGACCACGGAGGTGGCTCTACCCGTGACAAGCAGCCGAACAAGCTACACACTGAGTCACCTGATTTCAGACACCGACAGACTTTGTTCTGGCATGAGCGGTGTGTTGTTGAGTACTCTTGTGCATCAGTGAAGTCCAGAACTCCTGACAAACACTTCATTTCGCTCCTCGACGTGCTGATGCTTTCAGCCCGGTCATGCTGAAGGATTTATGGCGTACAGTATGTGAATTTGTGATTTCTGCTCCGTACAGCTCATAGCATGCATTGCCGAATGCATTAGTGCATGCCATGACTACGTTAGGAAAAAGTTGGATAGTCTTGGGCTGCCCTGACATGGTGGAAAAGGTGCCAAGATAGGCCGAGCTGGAAGGCTGTCATAGAAACGCTGCTGCGACGCACCTAAGCCAAGTGTGGCTTGGATAGGCGTGTGATAATACTAATAATAATAATACTAATAATGCTGCAGGGGGTTGGTGGCGTGCGCGAATGCAGGAACGCCCCACACCAACGGCAGCCAGTTCTTCATCACCCTGGACCGCTGCGACCACCTGGACCGCAAGCACACCATCTTTGGGAAGGTCACCGGGGAGTCAATCTACAACTGCATGCACCTCAATGACCTGGAGGTGCGCCCATGCTTACCCATGCCTAACCCTAAACCCTAGTGTGTGTATATGTATATATATATATATATTTTACACGCTTTTCCTGCCAAGAGGCAAGGTGCGTCCTGCAGACAAGCTGCAGTTGAAGGCTGCCACAATCCTACACCTTGTTGGACACGCCAGATCCAAGCAAGACCCAATCAACCGTGGGCACGGTGCTCAGTATTTGCACCGCCCCCCGCCAGCCGGGGCCACATATATAAATAAAAAAAAAGCTCAACTCGTCACTGCGTGTTGTTTGCAGGTATTGCTGTCTGCCTGCTGATTTGTCTTGTGCATTACCCTGACCCATCTGTGTGTTTCTCATAAGACCGACACAGGCACACCTTTCCGCTCTTGTCAGCGATGTAATTTGTTTGTATTGTCCTGACCTGTAATAGGATTGCCTGTTCGTGGTCGGAATAGGCACTCCCCACTATTACTTACTAGCTGCCTGGCTGCACTTATTTTCCTTAATTGGCACTTCCTGTCTGCAAGTGCACCTTTGCAACGTGTCAGGGTTCAGTTGGATACATATCCTTGCTCTGCAACTCCTACATGTGTATCGTAAGCATTGCTCGATGAAGCTGCACAGAGCCAGCACACTGCTGCTGCATGCTATGGGCGGAAGGTCTTGCAAGTGCTCACCAATGCAAGCAGTGGCCTACGTGGTTCATCAACAAAATTATCCTCCATCTCAAGGATCGAGAAATTCTGTATCATCATCATTGCATGGTATTCTCCTTGTGAAAATCTGACGCAAACAATATAACTTATTCGTTGATGTGGCACTGTGTGTTTTTGGCGCAGACGGGTGAGGATGACAGGCCGACGCACCCCCCGGTCATTAAAGAGGTGGAGGTCCTGTGGAACCCCTTTGATGACATCATCCCCCGCAGCACCAGGGAAGAGCGCGAAGCAGAGGCTGCTGCCAGAAAGTGCGCTGCAGCTTGTGTTCATCCTTTTCTTGCCAATCCGTACCTCTTTTTCTAACTTCAAAGCTCACTGGACAGTAGGAGTGGCGCTATCAATGTGTTTTAAGCCATGCATGCAAGCTGTTGGGAGTGTAGGAGAACAAAAAGACTGGGGCATGCTGTGCCTATGAGCATCGTTCTTCCCTTGCCGCTCACCTCTCAGATGTGCAACTCCATAGAATTTCAGCAGTTCCCCTTCTGTGCCTGCTGTGAGCCATGCAAGCAAGCTCTTCACATGTAGCAGAGTAATAATTTTGTGGCATGCTGTGCCCGTGAACACCATCTTCTTTGAATGCCGAGATAAAAGTGCCACTTCCTGTCACGGCTGGCAATGGACTTGGTAAGGGAAGTGCGAGCACAATTTCTGGGCCAGAGAGATGGGGACATGCTTTCAAGCATATTGCATGGGCTCAGGGCTGCTGAGGAGGCGGCACTGAAGAGGGAGAAGAAGTCGCGCAAGAAGAACACAGCGCTGCTGTCCTTTGGTGAGGAGGCAGAGACAGAGGACGCGGAGGGAGAGGGGGTTCCCTCCACCAGCGGACGGGGCATCCGGTCAGCGCATGATGTCATTGATGATACACGGTGAGCTGGACCTGCTGTGCTCTGCTCTTCTGTGCTATGCTCTGCTTTGTTCTATTCTGGCGTCCTGCTCCTGGTGTGGCAACTGTGCTCTCAGCAGCAATGTCACTGTGCCCGCACACATGTGATGAGTAGATGCAGCATAACGTGTTAATCGTGTACCTGAGTCAATTTTTGTTTTTATACATGCTGCACGCTTCTTGTTGAAAGTATGCCCTACAAAAGGCGTTGCCGTCTAACTATGCATTTTGCTGGAGCAGGCTGTTGAGAGAGAAGACAGAGGCGGCAGAGGCGCTGGCAAAGCAGGAGCAGGAAGCCGATGAGGAGAGAAGGCGAGTGAGAGCAAACGTCAGAGAAGCCCTGGGCAAAAAGGTGACATACTCTACTCTTCTCATGCCACATCGTGCCGCCGGTGACTGATGCAGCACAAATTCTAACTACATATGTCTGCATTGACCAGTGCTCATATGTCGGGTTCCTGCCATGGCAGACTGGGTTCCTTTCAGCTGGTCTCCTAACCAGCGCAGCTTTGTGAGCCCTCTCTGTCCGTGACGATGAGTCATACAGGCAATAAGTTTTTAAAAGTCCATTATTGGTAATTTGGGTGGTGAGCAGGCCAAGGAGAAGGAGGAGGCCGCTGCGGCGGGCGCTGACGAGGACGGGGCTGAGCGGACGTCCAGTCAACTGGGAGGTGACGCATCGGACTTCGGGGCGCAGATGCGCGCGGCCGCCAGCGCTCGCAGGAACGCCATGGGACACCAGCCGCGCAGTAAAGAGGTGCATTGACTTTCTCGCTTACCTTGCTGGATCTTTTTAGGGCTCTGACATTATGTGCTTGCAGAGGGCGCAAAGTGCTCCATGCCTCAAAGAATGTCTCCCAATATTGGATAGGCCCCCTTGCCTTTCTTGCTGGCTGCCAGGCCTCCTCCTTGCGCCATAAGTGATGTTTTGCTTCTGCTGCTTTGCGGTCATGTAACTTGATGCCGATGCATGTTTGAAGATGAGGTACCTGCGTTAATTCCGGATCAGTCCACTCTGCTTTCATGGGGGCCTTGTCATGTGCAGAAGGTTTTCCTGTGCCATGGCCTCTGAAATGTTCCAGATCTGCAGGAGCCTGAAGATAGGGGAGATAGCAGCGATGGAGGGGGCGATGATGACGATGAAGATGATGAGCCCGGCCCCAGCAAGACAGAGGAGCGCGTCGAAAAGGCGCTGCTCGGGAAAGCCACTCGCGCGCAGCAGAGGATATCCAAAAGGGTGGGTGACGGCTTATCTAACCTGCTTGGTTCATTGTGCATCATGGGTCAAGGAGGGCTGCTCAGCAGGGGAGCTTCTATGTTACAGCAATGACAGAGGCATGCATGGATCGGGGAACTTGGATGTTTATTTGCTTCAACACCAATGCCCAGGCAAACCTGGCATTACCCCCGCTATCCCTGAGAGGCCCAGCCATGCCTGCATGCCTCTAATGCGGTTATGTAGCAGCTTAGGCCGATCAGCCCAAGACATAGAGGTCCAGCTGAAAGGATTACCAGCACGTTCTCTACAGCTTGTTTGGCCTTCCTTTGCATAGCAGTGTTTAACCTGTGCTCATCCAGGTTGCCACGAACCTGCTATAAACCTCCCTGGATAAAGATATTCCCGCTGGAAGTCCCCTTGATAGAGAAATCCCCGGGTGCAGGTGAGGGTGGATGATGCGGAGCTGCTGACCGACTGGCAGCGGCGCAACGCGGAGTACAAGCAGCGCAAGAAGATCGCTGGGGCCATGGGCGCAAAGGTACGCCCCCTCACGCTCTGCAAACACTTCTAATCCTAGCGAGTGTGAAATGTCAGGGCATGCGCACTTCTTTTGATGGGGCATGAAGAGGAACGGGAAGCTCCAGTGCGGTGCCCATTGCGGACCATATACTGCCAATAGCAAGGCAGCACCATTTCGAATTAATAGTGAAGTAATCTGCATCAGAGCTGGCTCACTCCGTCATCAGGACCATGTGCTGCAGCAAGTAAAGAAATATACAGGATGTGGTGCAATGATCCACCGCTGACAGGTTTGGTAATGTGCGCGCAGGACAAAGCTGACCGTATGAAGGCGTTCCAGCTGCGGCTGCGCGTCGGCAAATCCGCATCGGCCGAAGCGGCCGCGGCGGCGGCCGCCAAAGCTGAGAATGGCGAAGAGAAGGGTGACGAGGTGGGTCCATGTCTGGATCTCTCTCTTTCCTGGGGCAATTGAACTACTGATGCCTTAGGGTCCAAAGAAGCACAAATGCTATCTCAGCAGGGTCTCTTGCTCATTCGTCCTATTATGTGCAAATTCCAGTATCAACAGGTCTGGGAGGTTGGAAGGCGTTGCGAGACTTTGGGGCCTGCCCAACTGTAGCGTGACTTTGTTGACAGCCAGGCCCTGAGACAGCGTGCGGCATTGCCTCTTAAGAGGACAGTTTTGAGGCATGACAGCAATGTCCTTGGAGAAGGCGCTAGTCCGCATGACAGGCATTGCTGCAAATGCCAGGGCTGAAGCATGCTGATTTAATGTTTGGCTTTTCTGGCGTGGTGCAGGCGTATGACGGCAAGGTAAGGAAGGACTTGGACCACGATCAGCTGATGCCGGCGGCTTGGCGGCTGGAAAAGTACCTGGACGCAGACGGAGGTAAATTTTTGGATTGCATGCTTTGAGATTTTGAATAGTAGAGAAGAGGCGACTATCAACAGGGAATTCGGCAGCACATGGGACAACAGTTCTGGTGTCCTTTGATGGTAGAGCACGCTCGATCATAGTGGCACTCAAATTGACACCTATAGTCCCTTGCATAGCCGATCACATTCACTTTCACCAAAGATCTTTTTGATTTCTAATTCTCTGATGCTGAAAGGGCGTATGTGGCCGACAGATGGGGACGATGACCTGTCGCTGGACGCTCTGAGGGCGCACAAGCTGGTGTACAACAAGGCGCGGCCGGGGGATGACATGGCGCGCACTGACAACGTCGATGACCTCGTGGTGAGTCAGCGCTGACTCCGCCTTGACATGCACTTTCCTCTGTGTCCTGTAGGGATTGCATTTCACCGCAGGGCAGCCCTATCTACTCACACTGGCGCTTATCGTACCTTGCTGTCTGCATGCCTCTTTATCTGAATGTACATGCAACGGTTGACACTTCTGAATGACACTCACGCTTGAATTACGGGACACCAGAGGTCCGCTGCATGCGAGTAGCGTAATTCTTACCTGCATGAGCAGCAAGCAATCTGCCCGGTTTTGACTTTCATCGGTCAGTGTCTCTTGTTAAGCTCACTATGTGTATGGCATGTGCAGGTCACGGACCCTTTAGCGCAGAAGGGGCAGGATGAAAAGTACAACAGGGTGAAGGCACGAGAGAAGAAGATGAACCGGGAGTGGGTCAGCCAGGGGCACAAGCTCTGACTGATTGCATGTGCAATTGCAAGAAGTTGCTTAAAGATTTCCGAAAGCGCATGCATGCATACTATATGCAGCGATGCTAGCTAATTATGATAGCTATGATATCAATAGCATATTCAGGTTAGAGTAAAATATGATCTTATAATATTGGATGCACTGCACTTCCAGGAACGCAGACTGCGCAACATTCGATTTGATCAGGAAATTTATTGCTCAATTCCAGGCTGTAACCGCCACAATTCAACGCCGTCGCAGATAACTCGCATGTGTGCCACGCGTGCTGGGCTCGAGCTTTGTGCGTGTGTAACTGTCTTCCAGGCCGTGAGTGGCTCCAAAGCTACAACATTGCCGCGCGAATATGGGTTTTGAAGGATTCTCGATGTGCTCAGCGCACATGTAGCATCTGTGGCGCTTGTCTCAGCCCCTGAATTCGCACCCAATAATTGTTGAACATGGCACTGACTCCTCGGGTAGCCTTCGACACAACACTGGGTGGTCCTGTAATTCTGAAGAGTGACCAATGGCAGGTGTCCTCGGATCCCAAGAGGAGCTGCAGAGCAATGAGGGTTCTCCGAAGGGCAGCCAGTGCTAATTCCAGTGCTGGCATGCAGCGTCAGCATCAGAAGGGCTCATACGCTTTGCGGCAGAAGGGTCCCAATAATCGTGGGTTTTCTGGGGACTCAGCGTCCTGCTCTACTCGATGCAGCGCTCTGTATGCCGCGGCTCTGCAGCTCGCTCGCAGTCAGGTGTGATTGGGACATGGGTCAATATACTTTTGGCCCGACTTTGACCTGCCACTTTGATGTCAAGTGTGTTGATGAAACTTGTGCATGACTACTCTTATCCGCATTCGTCCACTACGAGACTTATATGGATATTGGGTATTTTTAAGTTGTTGCCATTTCACACATTCTTCTCTAGCCCTCAAAATCGTGCAGCCATTTCTACCTAGGATTCCCTTGATACGCGGTAGTGCAAAGGATTAGTTGGATTGATTGTATCCTTCATTCGCTCGATGAAGGGCCAGGACATTTTGAACCTCAAGGCAGCACATGTTGCGCTGAGAAACCAGGCAGCGTCCCAACCCGACCTTTCAAGTCAGAGCCCCTGCATTTAGTCATCCCAGAACGTCCACTTTCCTACAGCCTAGCCTGCTTCAGGTGTACCAGCCCTTCCGAGAATTCAACCAGGAGGCAATCACAGGCCATCCAACTGCTACCACTGCTGCCTGCAGGACTATGTGCGCGCGAGGGACGCATTCCAGCGCTGCGTGGAGCTCTGCCCGGACTTCACAAAGGCGTGGGTGTCTTGGGCGCAGCTGGAAAAAAGGGTCAGGCTGGGGGATGGCGTAGACCATGTGGAGCGCTGCCGCTGTGTGCTCCAGCGAGGACTCACCCTCAACCCCAACAACGCCGGACTTTGCCAGGTTTGTGACGCCTGCTCTTGCAATTTGTATAATTGCGCCCTTGCCGCCCTTGATATGCCCTGTCATTTGGCCAGGTCCAGCCTCTGAAAGGACCCGAATTGGCCCTCAAGCACCAGAGACGGCCTGCCCAGGCTTGTAAATCCTTTTGATCCTTTCCATGCTGGCCTGCAAGCAGTGGTGCTCGCTGGATGAGCAAGGCCTATATCAGACATTGCTTGCAGCTGAGCTGCAGCCCTCATGACTTTCTAATACTTGCAGCACAAGTACTGTGGTTCAAAACGTGGGATTTTCTTGCAGTGTGTGTTTCTGACACTCAGCTGCATAACCTGATTTGCATGCACCAGCAGCAGCTGCCCTCTCTCAGCATCTTCAGCTCGACATTGCAAGCTTCTTTGTCCCAGGCGCAGCATGATCTTCAGCTGGATTTCCTGCGCCATGAAAGCTGCCTTGTGAGATGGTTGAGGCGGGTGCATTTGTGCAGGCTTGGGGACTGATGGAGCTGCAGAGAGGCAATGTGGTGGCAGCAGTTCTGCTGCTGGAGCGCTGCGTGGCCTACGACCCTCGCTGCTCCCCAGTGCTCAAGTGGAAGGCGGTCAGGATTGCGCAGCAGGCAGTGACATCCAGAAGGCGGCGTTCCCTGACAGAGCTGGCCAGCGGGGACTTGAGCAACTTTGCTTAGTCATGCTTAGTCATCTTCGCCAGGTATTGTCGTAATTTACTGGATCCTAAGGTGCCAGCTTGACGTCCTGAATATCAAAGAACCGAATGGGAGAGGCAGGGATGCAAGCACAGGCCTGGATCGAATCTTGTCCTTGGGCTCGCTTGAAGGATAAGTTTTTGTGGGCATCGACTGTGATTGTGCGCGGCCCTGTGCCACCAGTGGAATATAACATCACGGATCCTTCTGTCTTCGATGACAACTGGCCGACTGCGTAGGCTTAGCTGGTGAGATGAACTGATTGTTGGTGGATTTTCTACAAGAGTTGATGGTACGCGTGTACATGGAGAGATGTACCTAGATGCATTGGGTTCTGTGCTGGTGATTTGTCGCTGCTTTGTCAGAGCTTTTTGAGCAGCCTTTGTACCACCAATTCCTCGTTGACAATGCAGCAGTGTAGAAGCCGGCAGCATACCGTGTGCCGAGAGTCAGAGACATTGACAGCCAGCACTTGATGTACAAAAGAAAAGGGTAGAAGAATTAGCTGATCACTGTGGCATTGTGCAGCATAGAGTGCCTGCAGGTCCTTCAGAGCTTGTCACAACTTACAGTAGATTGAGTTGAAGGAGGTTGAGGCTTGATGGTCAATGCTAGTGACGACCTTCGTGAGATGTGTGCAGCTGGTCACAGCAGCTCTGCAGCTGTGGCAAATGTGTGAAGCTTTCCCAGCGCCAACATCATTGACTGTGTACTGGATGAGGCATGAATTGAAGATGCGTTGAACGCAAGCCAAATCAAGCGAGGAATCTCTGATCAGACATGACAGAGCCTTAGAAATTGTGAAATCTGAAGGCGAGCTTGCTAGCTGTTGTGATTTCCAGAGCCCAGCACTTAAAGATCTCTAGAGTCACCCTCTGGCACCAGTTACCCCCTGCAAGAACACCTAATGAAAAAGCACCCGCAACAGTCTAGACTTTGCCAAAGATCTTTGCCGCTCGCAAACAGCCATTGCATGCGCCACAGCGGCAAATATCGGCATGACTAAACTTTGCATCCCTTGGGAATCGTGCCGTCATAGAAAATTCGTAAACAGAGCGCTGTCTCGGCCGCACTGCAAGATACTGAGTCAGCAGAGCATTAACGACCGAACAGGGGCTGAAAAAGTATTCCTCAAACTTAAAGTACAGCATCTTGATGCTGCCTGCAAATCCAGCCAGATCACCATCAGGCACTCTCAATTGCAAGTCGTTTGCCAGCACAACAAAGCTTTCCAGTCGCAGTCCTTGGCAGAATTGGATGACAATTGGACCAATTGGGAGATGATTGTTGGAATTGCTATAGATCTGCAGGTCCTTGAGATTCTGCAGGCACAGCCCCATCGGAATAAAGCGGATAGAATCCAGGTCCAAACGCAACGAGGTAAGATGGCCAATGCTCGTATTGCAACTCAGAATGTCCATGACTTCACTATTGTAGTGCTGGTAATAGCTCCTACCACAGACGTTTTCATGCAAGTGCCAGGCACACACATTCTGATGCGGCTTCCATCCGAAATTGTCCTGCCAGTCAAAGTTGCCGCAGAAGAAGTGCGAGTCGCAATCAATTGTGACACGGCACTTCTCTGGCACCGCAAAGGAGTAGGGCACAAGCATTGTGAAACGCACAGCAGTCAACTGAGCGCAACCACTCATGTCGAGTCTCTGAGCACGCCTGCAGAAACTGTGGCCAGCAGTGAGGTCATATTCATCAAGATGACCTTCATGCTCCACTCCTTCCCATTGGATGCACAGTGTCTGCAGCACATGCAGCTGCTGCAAAGACTGGCATCCCAACATTTCTATGTCTTCCCTGACTCGTAGCACCAAGTGCCTGAGGGTGCTGACCAGCGGGACACCAAAAGTTGTCACCCTGAGAAAGAGCGTTTGAACATGGCCTGCATGGATCAAGAACATTGCCAGCCAGGGAGCCCAGTGGTCAACTTGCTTGCTCAGCAGATCCCTACATTCGACGCAGCTCTCAAGTGTTGGTTCATCATCGACCAGGCACGAACCGCAGGTGACCTCTTCCCCAAAGACAGGGGCACTAAGACTGACAATCCTCAGCTTTGGCAACTGGTTGGCAGAGTGCATTAGCAGTGCCATTCCGCCCTGTGCTATGTCGAGGCTGATGGCGCTACTCATGTTCATCGAGAGGGTAATACCCTCGTTCCAGTGCTTGACAACCCAGCGGATGTCGCGGATTTGACTGGGCGCGATGCTGATGTGCCTTGGCTGCACTTGGTACACTGCGCGGCAGGTCGTGCTAACCTTGGCCCACTCCTGAATGCTCATTCTTGCTGCTACCATCTGCCAGACCTCAACAGGCAGCGCATGTAAGTCCTCCTTCGATGAAGATTGCTCCATTACGCTGCTGAACCTGCACAAGCTTGCACGTATGAGGCACTGCATCAAGAGAACATGCAGCATTGCTGCCGCTGACCAGGCTGCTTTCCCCTGTCATCAATACAACCGTTATATTAAGCATGATCCAAAGTATCAAGCATGATTCAAAAGTATCAGATGGTGATTATGAATAGAGAAAAAAAAGTTATTCTGTACTAGGACACTATGGATTGGTCGATGGGTGGAAGACCATCACCACTTCTTTTTGAGAAGTACCTGGTATCGCCTTTACCCTATTGCCTATATCTTCCAAAATATATTTTAAGGGAATATATTGATATCTCACCTGCTGGGAGATCTCCTGTGGCGATAAGAAGAGGTGTGATCCACCACCCCACTGTGAAGGTCTTGCTTGACGCCGACACGTTGGAAGAAGAATTACCAAGTCTTGAGGTCCCCTTTTGGTACAACGTCTCAGGCGAGACCTCTCAGATTGATCTCTACATTTTCCTTGAACTGGCCAGGTTGCCTGAAGAGGATCCAGACGAGTTTGCGCAAGCATGCAGTCATGTCGACATCTAATCATGGCCCTTGTGAGCCTAATTTTCGTCCTTTGTGATCTCCTCAAAGACCACAATGTGTCAACATGGACGCATGTCTAGTCTCCCCCATTACAGCATGCTGTGCACTGGCATCATGCTCCAATCATTGCTCCCGCTAGATTTCATCACTGATGCATGGATGTGTCACACGGTCATGCTGGCACAGACTCCAGTCTGTCATGCACAGTCACAATGCAACACTGTGACTGAAGTGATATCGGAAGGAGTGTATCCTGATTCAGGCTCTTTGAAGCCCTCAAAGAAGGCTTCATGTAGGACTGGAGTGCCGGCATATCGACAGAGTGTAATCGACGTTTTAGCTGATGTACAGAGATGCCAACACTCAAGTTAATTTGCATTGTTTGTTCAGACTTTTGCTGCTCCATGAGAGATTTCCTAGTAAAGAGTTTTCCTTCGCTGCTTGAGTATGCCTTAAAAAGGGCTTCAGCTTGAAGCAAGTTGCTCTTCAAGGACTGTTACAAAAATTCATGAGTGCGCCTTGTGCAGAGGCTGGATCGTGTAAGGTTGCAATCTTGAGGAAATGGAAGAAGTACTCGCGAGTACAGACATGACGTCTAGCCATCCTGATCATGACTCACTCCATGATGGCATGAAACATTCTAAATCCACATGGTGCAAAACAATGATGCCCGCGGCTCAATACACACCCAATTACATACCGTATTATTATGCAGTTATTAGTCACAACCACTTCAATTCATGCAGCAGATGATCTGCTGATATTCTTACAATACAATGTTAGCTGGATAGCATCAGAGCCTGGACAGACATACAGATACATTCGAATCAGACAACCTCAAATATGCCATCCACTCTAGCGCGGAATGAACAGGCGCCACAGCGGCAGTTCTCTGGGAGCGCCTGTGCCCAGGGCACACTAGCAGGAAAGCAGGCCTCTGTGAAGGCTGAATCCTCAGGAAATGCCCTCTGCTTTGCTGCCAGCTGATCACTTACTAAGGCAACAGTCACAGGGCAGCAGTCAGACCATCGCATGTACAGTTGCTCAATGCTGGCTGCGAAGCTTGCTATGTCAGGCACCCCCAGCCGAATCTTGCGGCCCACTGCAACAAAGCGCTTCAACTGCACAGAGTCATCAACCGACCCAATGATGATGTCATCCTTGCTATGGATCTCCAGGTCAGTCAGGTTCTGCAGGCAGGAGCCTGCCACAAAAGGAGCCTTGGCAGAGCACAACTCGAGGCAGTCAAGGCGCAGGGATGTGAAACCAGCCAGTGGCTCTTCCCCTGCAAACATGCTGGCAATCTTCTCGGCAGTGAGGGAAGAACCTTGGGTCTCACGCAACCACCATCTGTTGCATGTCTTGAGGCAGGCTTTCTCAGTGTAAGCAAACACCATCAAGTGCTCGGCCATTGCATTCCAATCAGACTCCACAGTGACGAGGCAGCCTGGTGGCATGTCCAGCATACAGGGCACAGCGTCGACACAGTGCACGGCATGCAGCGACTTGCAGCCATGCAAGAGCAGTGCGCCAATGGACTGGCCCTCACTCTGCTCCGACCTTCTGAACGAGTGTCTGGTGCTGGCAACGCGTTGATAGACAATGCCCATGGTCTCAAGGTTGGTGAGGCATTGCAGGACTTCAGCAGCTGACGCCCACAAGTACTCAGAGATCTCCAGGTGGAGGTGCTTGAGTGTTGTCGGCAGTGGCATGCAGAAATCTGTCACCTTCAAACTCAGCGTCTGCACCTGCTCTGCGTGCATGAGGAGCATGGCCATCCATGGGGCCCATTCGTCATAATCGCTGTCACTGGAGCTGTATTTACTGGTCGCAATCAGCCTGGCATCCTCCAGTTGGGGCAGCTTGCCGCAAGACTGCAGCATCATTGTGGCGGAAACTGTGACACAGAGTTCCCAAAGGCTCATATCGAGAGACAGGCTCCTGGCCTCGCTCCAGTGTTTCCCAAGCCACTCCAAATCCTCAGCTTGGTTCGGCCTCATGGAGATGCGCTTGAGAGGTGCCTTCTGCATTGCTGAACAAGCTCCTCTGGCTCTGACCCAATCCCTTGTCATCATCTTCTGTGCAACGATTTCCCAGATCTCGGCTGGGAGGCCAGATGTGCTGCACTTGTGTTCTTCTGGTGCCATCAGGTCCATTCCTCCTGCGCTGTCATTCGGGCTGAGCTGTTCGTGCACCTTTGTATTTCAGCACAATGATGAAGATAAAAAGCCGATCACGAAAAGGGGGTAAGGAACATGCAGTCAATGTACCTATCCTGTTGGGGAGTCTTTATCCTGATCAAGCTGATCGCCACCTTGTCGAAGAAGACACTGACTGTTGTCCCCTCCAGCTGCTGTAAGGGCGAGTGTTTTGCATGAAGCAGCTACAGATCGGCTATTGTGTACTAGATTTGAGGTCAGTGCGAGTTGCCGCTTTCCGGATCAAGAAGCGCAGCACGCTCAGCATGCGCATGGGGAACCCATCATCTTGAGATCAACACCAATGAGGCTCAAAACGAGTCTGCGCAGCATTAAATACATTGTCCAAGACGGTATATGCAGCTTTGGCCACTAGCCTAGCTCCATACACCTTAGGGCAGGGCTGAAGCCTGATCTCCCATTCCCTTCGAGCACTTTCTGCACACCTCGAGCTGTAGGACAGGTGAGAAGGCATAAGTCTTTGCTTTATGATTGCCTGCTTTGCTCCGTTCAGCTCGTAATACTTGAAAACCGAAGAAGCATTCTGTTTGGCTTACGAGGCAGAAGCGAGAGCGCTCCTAGGATGTTTGGTGTCTCGATCCTGGCATCTACACCTGCTTAACATTCACTACAAGAAAAAACATTTTATTGCAGAACCCTGAGGGATTGCTTCTTGCCGGAAAGGCTGGCATGCCACTCTGCCTTGGACGATTTGTTACCTACTTGTTGTGCAGGATGCCTCCCAGACGTCACAGAATATCTGCTGCGAAGCAAATGGATTGCGTCCCCGAGTCGGTATGGCTGCAGATCGCCAGCCACTTGTCGATCACAGAGTGGGCCATGGCGTCAGGTGCCTGCTCCACGGCGTTCAGACTGCAGCTGCGCACCTTGGATATTCCCTCAGCGCTTCCACCAGCAGGTAGGTGCTTCCTGGTATAAGCCTGCACCATCCAACTCCCCCCACGTGGTCGAACAGTCTGTTTTCCTGAGGGTGATACCGTTGTGGTGGCCTAGATAGCACCCAGACAAGCAATGATGCCAGTGGGTGCATTGCAGGGGTGGCGTGGGTCAGCAAGAGGCTGAGTTGTGCACATGCACTGCGGCTGCGAGCAGAGGACTGGAGAGGGCTGGCGTTTGCCATGAAGCAGGGCCTGAACAAGATGAGCAGCATCCAGCAACTGGAGGTCACAGGGGACCATCAAGATGGGACAGAAAAAGAGGCAATGGCGCATATGATGTCTCTCTATTGGCTGCTGGCGAAAGCTCCAAAGCTTCGAGTGTTCAGTGCCAACTTTGAGAAGGTCACATGGGTTCCGCCACTGTCCCAGTTGAAGCACCTTGTCCTGGCTTTTGAACAAGACACAGGTGATGTGTTTGCTCACCTGCCAAATGCAGAGGCTCTGGAGACCCTTTCATTGACACTCTCAGAAAATGCGTTAGAGGCACCGGCACTGGACCTAGAGAACATGCCCTGCCTGCACACACTCACGCTGACACGTGTCCGGCCAGCTGGTATCACTCTGCCCCACAATTGCAGTCTGCATCTCTTCGACATCAATGATGCAGTCTTGTCAGATGCCCAGTGGGATGCTGCACTTGTCAAAGTACGCACTTTCGACTACACAGACCACTCCCGGCTTGTTCTCGGCCAATTTCCTGCAATCTTTGCCAGGTTCCTCAACATAACAACTGTAGCGCTAGATGTCTCTCACTTGGGTGACTCAGAAAATTATCTATCCCTGGAAGGTCTTTCTCAAGCAGAGAGGCTGTATTTGTGCGGTGAGCGTGTGTATTTGACGGTGCCTGCTAGAGTATCTTGGCAGAAGTTCTTTGTTGAGGGCGAGGAACAGGTGGCAATCACCTTTGCAGACGTTGCATATTTTGCACAAGCAGTGCCAGTAGCTTACTTCGTATTTTGCTCTCTGTCTGGGCCATCTTTGATGCATTTGACTGCTGCGTGGGCAGCTGGCGGCCGCACATGGGACGGCTACGCATGTGGTGGTAGCACTGTCATCAGAAGCCCCCAAGACTCCCGGAGGGGTGGGGCCGTAGTTACATTCGGAACATGTCTCTGTGGAGCATGCATGATGTGTCTCAGGCGGTCAGGTATAGCACACACGTTTTAGTATGACATGTTTCAGGTCTAAAAGTAGTAGTACTAGCAGGGAGGTGCTATCTGTACATACTATGTAGACAAGCTCTTAAGAATAGAGCCCTCTACCATTGAATATTGTCAATTTCGGTGGCTTGATATTCAAGTTGGTGATGGTTTGACCACACCGTCATAAATATGTTCTTCCTGTCGCTGTAATGGCAAATTTCAACTCATATACACTTGTCCCCACGTAGCAAGCAGGCTGCATTACAAAGATTGCATGATGTCTGCAATCCACCGCCTTGTGGACACTTTTCTCGTGGACCTTGTGTCTCACAAGACCTCCTTGTTGCCTGCTCAGTGATTGGACCTCTTTGTGTGCCATGCTGTGAACATGTAGCTCGACTGGCCTGTGTTTTGACTATTACCCTGATGATTACTTGTCTGCCCATTCTGGATTTTCCTGCATAACACCCTCAACGTCACCTCCCAAAGGGGAATGTTGCGTTGCTGGCAGGCCAGAAGCATCTCTTGCAGAGGGGTGCTCAAGCGATGCAGGGAGTGCATCATGCAATTGTTGCGTGATGACGTGATCGACAGGCTGCAGGCTTTTGTAGGCCCCGCGGAAGTGGCTGCAGACGCTCTGCATGTATGCCCTATGGCCTCTGGCTTTGGGTTCGCCGACCTTGTAATAATCAACTATGTCTGCACCTATCTTTCTCTAAAGGAGCTTTCAGTACACTGTATTCTCTTGAGGACTTTTGTGCCCCACACAGCTTTATGAAGCAATATGAAATTTAACTTCACTTCAAGCTACAAAGTGCATCAATTTCAGGATTACCTCCTCAAAATTTCTGCCTTGAAACGGACCAGTAACACTCATGCAAGCATTATGCTCAAATGATGTGAGTCACATCAGTCACACAGCCTAAGGAATGTCTACACAGATCTGCACCAGCTGCCCATTTGCTTCTCTTACACCAACGCTCGCGCTCCCTTCCCAGCACCTCTCCAGCACGCAAGTCTCACCCATGCCACCCTTCTTCCAGAGACCTTTGCGTTGCAACCGCCGTCCCTTGTAAGGTAGCTGCCCAGAAGCTTCAGCTGCATCCATTCGAAGCAGCAGCCGCCGCTGCCGGGAAGCTGCCTCCAGGAAAGCGAGGGTGGGGAGGCAGGGGCGTTCCCAAACGCAGTCACCAAGTTTGGCGATGTTCAGCGAGCCTAAGCTGGCGAGCCATGTCAGCTGCGTGCGATTCAGATCCCCGAGCGACAGATCAGCATTGCGGCCGAGGTCCAAGTGGCGCAGGGAGGGAACGCTGAAGACGGCCGCCGGAAGCCGCATGAAGCTGCAGGAAGCCAGGCGCAGCCGCGTGAGGTTTGACAATGCGTGCAGGTTGTCTGGTAAGCTCCGCAGAGATGTGTTGGACAGGTCCAGAGACTCCAGGGCTGTCAGCTGCAACACCTGCATAAAGAAGGACAGATGATCATGAACTGCAGAGACATGTCATGGCGGGACAAAGTCACCTTCTCAAGAAGTAGTGCAGGGCCTCCACATGCTGTGCAGAAGGCACTGCTTATAATCTGGAAGGTTGATTCGAGACAAGTTGCAACGCACCCCTGCAATCTATTCGAGCATAATAGGCAGGTTCTCAAAATACAAGTAACTGTCCCGTTTTCCGCAGATATTGTCCCTGCTAAGTTCTTTTAATTACAATAACTGATAACTGTAGAAATTATTCAACGAATAAGATTTTTGGAGACACCCAGGCACACCTGTGGAGGCAGCTCCCACATGCCCATATGGCAGTCCAGTCTCAAGACGCGCAGCTTCCTTAGGCGCCCAAACCTCTTGGGCAGGGCAAAATCCTGCGCTGCCTGATCTGGCGCCCCCGTGTAGTCATCCTCGTAGTCAACGGCGCAGCCGTCCAGGTCACAGGGCAGCTCCCCCGTCAGGCTGAGCTCCTCCAAGTTAGTCAGCATGCAGATCTCGTCCGGCAGGCTGTTCCCACACCTGCTTACGCACAATACAAGAAACCTTTGAAAAGCAGATCGCTATGCATGCATTTTCTCCTGCTTGAGAATTCTCACTCTTCGAAGCACAACAATGTCACAACAACCCCCGCATTTGCTGTAGGTACAACCTTAAACCATGGAGCAATCAGATAGCAAGCAGGCGCCATGCAGCCACTTTGCTCAGCCAAGAATGGGTGAGAAATCACCAAAACAGATCTTATGCACATATTCACACAAGAAGCGCACCAGGTGCCCAAAGAGAGGGACTTGAGGTTGGTGAGATGCTGGAAGCCAACCGGCAGCCGCGCAGTCATAGGAAGCTTCCCGGGGGCTGCGGCCGGGCCGGTGGAATCTCCCAGGCAGCTGTCCTTGATGGCGAGTCGCGTCAGCTGTGTGAGGGCTGCCACCACTGGAGGGACCTCTGTAAAGCCTGCACACCTGCAGTGCAGAAGCAGAAAAAAGTGTCAGACAAGGACATTACACTCCCTCTTAGGCCCCACATGACACGCCAAGCTGTCAGGAGATGACTTCATGATCAGGTTGGGGCCAGCTGTGATCGTCCCAGAACATTCTGGGCCACAGTACTCTTTGTACCAGAGCAAATGACACATGCAGGAGCCAGAAGACAGCGGAACTGGCACGATCTGTGCCCTGCTACAGGCAATCAAGAGACTTGTTTGAGCCTTCACATCATTGCGTTTAAAGCCACAGCTTGCATAAGATATGCCACAGATCATCTTCACCCACTTCAGAACGTCTCCTTGTGCTGTGGCATCTTCCTCACCAGCATGCTGTGGTGCCTTCCTTGCAAGCATGGTCGCAAAATGTGGTCAATGACGCTTGCAAGTAAAGCAGTACTGCATGTGGCACATTGTGACAGGTAAGCATGACTCACCCGATGCTGAGGCTGCGCAGCGAGGTAAGCTTAGTCATCCAGGCCGGCATGTGTGCCCATGCCGCCCACGGCTCCCCGTAGGCCGGGCAGCCGCGCATGTCCAAGGTTTCCAACTTTTGCATGCGCGCCAGATCAGGCCACGTGTGCATGAACCCCCCTCCCAGGGTCACGGCAAGGCTGCGCAGATTAGTCATCCCTGACAGCGCCTGCATAACCAGTATGTCCATCAGTCAGAGCTGCTGTCACAGATCGCACCAGAACTGCAGATTCAGACCCCAGAAGGATCACTGGTGCCCAAAATGTGCCTAGTCTGATACATGCCTTGCTTATCCATGACATCTGCTCTATTTCCAGATGCAGTGTTGAAGTGCAGCACAGAGTCGGATGACCACTTGCGAGGATTCCATCGGGCAGTGGGCAAGTTTTAATCGTATGATGCCAGAAACAAACATTGCAAGTACAATAAGTACTTTTCCTGATGCACCGCGTCCAGCTGGTGTAAACTGTATGGCAAAATGCCACAGCAGATGGGCAGCAGCAAAGTTGTTGCGTCGAAGGAATTATGGAAAGTGTGCGTGCAAACCAGTTGTTTTCTTGCTGCACCCACCTGCAGTGTGACACCGTGGTCACAGAACCCATCCAGCTCCTCTATGCGCAGCACTTCTAGTCCGGCAAAGCACGGCAGCAAGGGAAGTGCAGCCGCCACTGATACTCCCTCGCATGCTGTCACATGCAGGCTCCTCATATTGCATGACATGTCGCATCCTGTCACATGTACGCTCCTCAGATTGCGTGATTCCTCGCATGCGGTGACATGCACGCTGTGCGTATTGCATGAGCCGCTGAAGGTGCCCAGCAGCTGCAGGAAGCTTCCTTGCGCTGGGTGAAGCGCTCGGCAGTCCACGCGCAAATTTTCCACCTGCAGCAGAGAGCTTCGCGTTTGCTTGGATGTGATATTTCTTTTGTTCAGGACCGTTTGCGAAGACATGTCAAACAGAATGTTATGAATGATGTGAATGTTGTGAGAGTATGGTTGCTCAGAACAGACTGCTGCGAGGGACAAATTGCATCTATCTCGGCAGCGCAAGCGACCATGAGAGCAGCATTGGATGCTGTTGACATCACTATATGTCCTTGCCAAGTGGCTGGGGGGTTCTGACAGGGGATGACTTCTGATGACTCCCGATGACAGCATCAGTGTCTCGCAGGCAGTGACCCTTCCCAGGTTGTCAATCTGAGTGTGTCCCTCGCACCTGATTGGCACGAGGAGCAAGCCACCTCAAAAACTCCCTCTGCCATATGCGACGCTGTGCTGGTGACTCGCTGCTTGCACCAGCAAGGTTTGGAGGTGGCGCCAAAGTGATGGATGCCCATAGGTCCCCCAGAGCTGAGCAGCAGGCGGCGTCTGCGAACGCCTTGCAGACGAGGGGGAAGCTTGTGCACCTGCAACAGGATATTTCAATCGGCTTCACGAAGCTTCCGCACTGGGGTTTCAGCGCTTCGGACACCTGGCAGAGCGCCCAGGTCAGGATGCGGCATTCTGGAGCCCGGGCGAATGCAATATGACCAATGATTATGAGTGTAGACACATGCGCCTCGTCGTGGCGGGGGGACGGCCAACCTTTCCGTCAAGGGTAGGAATGAGCCGATGTGCTGGAGGGTCTCAACTGGCAGACTGTCCATTGCACGCTGTACTACCGTGCTGTAACAGACAGCGACTGTTGCAAGAAGCTCGCAGTGATACTTGGCTCTGCCCCTTCAAGGATTAGTGTGTGGCTTGCTGAAGGCAGGTCAGCTGTACGGCATCCTGGTTGGCTCCGGTAGTGCACTGCTATTTCTCAGATATAACACCCCGTCGACTCCCATGCGTCGTCAAGAAGGTGGTCGAATAATGGCAACAGCTCTCAGGGGGGTCACAGAATGTGCACAGCGTCGACAGTACGAGAAACTCAACCCTCACCGATATGACTATTTGACAGGTGGAAACCCCATATCACTGCTGTTTTGCCGTGACCTGCAGCAAATGCGCTCTGAACGCAGCTTCTGATGGTTTTAAGAAGAAAGGTCTTCCTTGTCCTGCGTAAAGCGCAGATTTTTCGGTCAGAAAAAGGGGCTGATCTGGCACAAGATTTTTGTACCTGAATCGAAGCCAAAACTGGCCTTGCATGCTTTTTTTGAAACCCTTCCATCCAAACCCCTTTCGGACTTAACCCTGAACTTAAGTTTCGCCAGGCGAAAATTCCGCCACCACTCGTTCGGACGACAGGTGGCAGAGATTCGAGTTTCGCAGGTGCCGACTCGCTTCCCTTCACGCAACTCGATGTCAAAGCTGGCCTTAATCTGTGGCTGCGGGACCTGATCACGCGCGTACGGGCTGGACTAGCGTGGGAAGCGCTATATAATTGTACATAGGGCGACAGGGAGGCAGCGCGCAGGGACCTTTCGTGAACGATCGGCATCGGGCCTTTGCTAGGTGTCGCCCGATCGCGGCCTGATCTTGAGATTGGACACTGCTTGTGTGTGAAAGATGAAGAATGACTGTGCTTGAAAGCGATATATGCCGTCTTATTTTTAGTAGACGGGTCACTGTCGCACTGTCTTGAGTCAGACAGATCAAGTCGTGGCTGTGGCTTCGTAAGCGCGGTACAATGCAGCCTTTGGCGGCAGAACGCAGATACTGCTATTATGGATTGCAGTATTAGTAGCAAAGCATCTCGAGAAAAATGGCGCGGCGGCAGAACGGCCCGAAAGCGCTGAGCATTGGAATGGCATGCAGGCAGGAGCAGGACTGGGCGGCCAGACATGCTGAGGCGGCATGCCGTGCTTGCGGCGGTGCTGCTTTACGCAGTTGTGCTGGCGAATGGATCCGTTGAGACGGACAGCAGCAGGGGGCGTTCCTTGAAGCAGTTGTTTGGAGGAGGAGGAGGTGCTGCCTTGGCTTGTCTTGTGCTCGTGGAACACACCTCCTTTGCAAGCATGCGTCGAAAACACGGCACGAAACAAGCAAATTGCAGATAGCTCCACGCAATGGCGAGCAGTTTTCTGGGCTTGCGCTGAAACTGCAAGTCAAGCACATCCCTTCCTGGCAGCTTTGGTTTGCCGGCACCGGCAAGCCACTGGCTCCAATTTTATCTCAAGCGTGTTGTAGGCTTGAAGACCTTACCGCTGGCTGATCACTCTTTCGCTGCTTGCTTGAATAGTTGAGGATGTACATGCATGCTCTGATTTACCTTCAGCATTTGACCAGTGTCTTCTGCGCATCCTGAACGGCCTGTGGCGCCTTTTGTGGAATCTGAGTGCGAACTTCAAATATATTTCAACTGCATATCCTTGACATCAGGGGTGTATGCCATGCAGGCACCGGCAGCATCTTTGGAACGGGCACGTCGCCCAGCGGCAATGAGAATGGCAGGGGAAATAATCCGCCACCCAACAACCCACCCCCCAACAATCCACCCCCCAACAACCCGCCGCCCAACAACCCACCCCCAAACAATCCGCCACCGCAGCAGAACTCCAACCAGGGGAGCAGCTACAACTCGGGGAGCTCGGGGAATCAGCAGAGGAGCTACTCACCGCCCAACAACCCACCCCCCAACAACCCACCCCCCAACAATCCACCCCCCAACAACCCACCCCCCAACAACCCGCCGCCCAACAACCCACCCAGCACACCACCCCCGCAGCAGAACTCCCAGCGGAGCTACTCGCCCTCAAGTGCGCACTCAGCCTTGTCCAGTGCTGGTTATGAAGTTGTTCGAAGCGGCCCATAGAACTTTGCTTTGGTGCTCTCTGGGCACAAGAACCTTGAAGGTCCTGTATGTTGCATGCATTGCATGTAAAGCAAAATGTTGCTCTTTCTTCCTGCTTGGCGCTCGCCTTGCCTTGTGTGTCTTGCCTTCTGTCTTGGTTTGTCTGTTGCTTGTCTTTGGGCGCTTGTCGCCTCGTGTGCCTTGCCCTGAAAGGAGCCTAGGTCCTCTTTTTACTTGCTGGACAGTCTGCATAAGGTTGCGCTCTTGTTGTGTGCATCAATGTATGCCGGATGGCTGATCATCACTGGAAAGGGTTGTTGCACGCCGCGAGGTGCATCTGCAGCCATGTCAGAACTTCCTGCCATAGATTCTCATCTTCTTATGAACATGTGTTCTTGCGTAGCTGGCCTGTGTCATGACTTGTGCTGTGTGTTGGATGTGTGCAGATCCCCCATCTAACCCGCCGAGCAACCCGCCACCCAGCAATCCACCCAGCACGCCACCTCCATCCACCCCGCCATCCACCCCGCCGCCGAGTAACCCACCCAGCACACCACCGCCGAACAACTACAACCAGCGGAGCTACAGCAACAATCCGCCTTCAAGTGAGCCCACCCTTTTCATTGTACCAAACAAACCTTTACTCAGCCAATCTTTGCAGAGAGCTCACTGTCTCCATCAGACTTGCCCTTGGGACCATGTGACAAGGCATGCGCTGGTAGGCTGTGTTCGAGCATTGCCGATTGCTGTTGTTTACCTGGCGCTCTGAACGCTCTGAAATGGTGCTTGCAACAGGGGAATTAGACTTTGTAGAGGTAGTAAGACAAACTCCCATTAACACTGCTTTTTTGTACTGGGAAAGTATAGGGTTCCCATATCTCCTTCAGTTGCTGTGTGTCCTGAGGGCCATCACTGTTGCTGTGCAGACCCGCCGAGTAATCCACCCAGCAACAGCCCACCCCCGAGCAATCCACCCAGCAACAGCCCGCCGCCCAGCAATCCACCCAGCAACTCGCCGGACAACAGCAACCAGCGCAGCTTTGCCCAACCTTCTTCAAGTGAGCCAACACTTTAGCTAAAAACACATTGCTGTACAGTACAGACATTCCTGCTGCCACATTTGGCGCCCAACTGCCTTCATGTGTTCCTCACGACCTGATCTCCCTGCTAGTCACCCTGCTGGATTGTGTGCTTATGTTCCGCAGCACTGATGCCTTACTTGGTGTCAAATTGTGTTTTGCTGTAATTTCTGAGTCCATGAATTTTTGAATTTGGCATCAGTTGCCCCATGTCAAAGAGTCATGTTCTGGGGCACCTGATTTTTCCTATAGTGCCTTCCTACTGGGATAGTATCCAGGAGTCCGATTTTCTGCTGCAGCCGAATAGGCCCAATCCTTTTCCCATTAGTGCCCTCTTGTTGAGCGAAGGAGCCATTGCATGTACTGAGCTGCTTGACATTCTGTGGTTTGCTTTGCTCGCAGGTCCGCCGCCGAGTAATCCACCCAGCAACAGTCCGCCACCGAGCAATCCACCCAGCAACAGTCCGCCCCCGAGCAATCCACCCAGCAACAGCCCACCCCCGAGCAATCCACCCAGCAACAGCCCGCCACCCAGCAATTCACCCAGCAACAGCTTTGCGGGCTTGGCAGGCTCCTCGCCAACCCCGTCACCCACCCCTTCATCCACCCCTGGCAGCAGCCAGGTGTGCCCTGATAACCCAGGCTGGACACTAAGAGTCTTCTTTAATCCCCGCTTGCAGGACAAGTGTCAATGCGTGCTATTTCATTGACTCTGGTAGTACTTATACTCATGACTGTAGTGTTTATTCTCTGCTTTTGAGGTATGGGAAGCATAACAATATTGATTCTGACGTGAGAAGGAGACAAGGACACACGCATGTAACCTATTATTCTTATCTGACAGGGAGGACACCCTTTTAGTGTCCTCGAGCACCGGGAATTATAACTGCATACTCGTGTACTTTCCCGGACCGGGGTATTGTTGGCCCCAGCAGATGTCCTGCAAGCATGTTGTGACAAGCATGCAGCACCGAACGCTGTGTATCTAATACCATGACTAAGGCTTGCCTGTGTTGCAGACGCCGTCCCCAAATGCGTTTTCGAACAATGCGCGTTCTGCCAATGTGGCATCTCAGCCAGGTGGCACGACCCCGTCTCCTGGGGCGACCCCTCAAGCCACAACCACTCCAAACCCCTTCGGGGTGAGTATCCCACTAATCTGTCATCCCCTGGCCTCTAGTAACCAGATGACCCCTAGGTGGGGCAATCTCTTTTATGACATTCAAGGCAGGTACGCTGGAGGACAGTCCTGGCCTGGTCTATGGGGCGAGATTATTTGGGTTTTACCAAGCCCGTGATATTTTGCCGTGGGCAAAATGCGCATTTTTCAGGCATTCTGGTGGTTGTCTTGGGATGAGTTTTGTCGTTGAATCTCGGCCAATGAGAGAGCGGGATTTGAGGTGCTGTGAAAAGAGTGTACAGCAGCCGCCTGAGCAACGCGTGCATGCACAGCATGAATTGGTCCTTCTTCTACCTTGCCAGATCGAACTTCTTGCCTGATTATGTGCAATTTTGTGACTCAATGATTGGCTTTGAGCGTTCAAGTGATCTACGTGGCCTCTCCTGTACAAGGCTTGTCCATCCGAGTGAGTTTTTCTTCGCGAGACAGTGTGAATTAGCCCAGGCGTACTGGTGGTTGCTGTGGGATTTGTCCTGCCCATAAGTTCAAGGAATGAGTGGGTCCGATCTGAGCGCTGGTCAACAGTGCACAGCAGCCACCTGAGCAAAACACACTGCACAGGATGAGCTAGTCTTATCGGCAATCTTGCCAAGATCTTCTTACGCTATAATGTGCAGAATTATGACTAACTATTTGGCTCTGTGTTGCAGGCTGGGCAGACTTCAGGGACGACCCCGTCTCCTGGGGCGACCCCGAACCCTACACCCAACGGCGCAACCACCCCTGTGCCTACCCCGTCCACAACGGTGCGCGCCCCTTTCTAAGACCCATCACAATGATTTGACATGCGAACAGCGCAGTAGCACTTGTTGTAACGATGGTGGGAGGCAAGAGCCTCATGAGTTACAGTTATCCTTTCGGTGACAGATATCCTTTCGGTGTGCACATATGAAATGCTGCTCACGCCGTGCACGCACTCATTTGACAAGGCAGTGTGGCATGATGAGAGTGTGGAGAATTACCTCTGTGTGCTTTCTGCACATCGTATTGAGATGTGGGCTAATCATCTCTTCCTTTCCCTGTGGGTGAATGTGCAGGCATCTTATCTGAGAGGGTTCCAAGGGCTTCACTTGTGTCCAATATCTATCACAGCAACAAGCTTGTTTGTCCTAGCACGCACATCAGAATGAAGGCATGCATGCAGGCATGCATGAACACAGCAATGCAAAAGGTACCTAGAAGCTGACGAATTTTTTTTCCTTTCTGCGCGCAGCCTGCTTCCGGTCTCAACCCTTTCAGTCGCGTCGCAGCCCCCGTAACGACCCCCGTGTCCACAGCTGTGGCCACCACCGTGCCCGGGGGGACCCTTGCCCCCGGCCAGACACTCGTACCTGGACAGACCGTCGCGCCAGGTGAATTTCTTTTCATTGTCTTGTGCCTCTCTATGTTGTGTTGTCTTGCATGCAAGCATTCATATATTCCCTGGCCCCCCAAGTCCTGCATGTAAGCACAAGCTGCACGTAAGCACAATAACAACTGCGCTTCATAAGCACACACTGTGCGGACTGATGCCATCGATTGGGGCCGACTCCTGCCAAGCCCCAGAAACACCACCAACACCCAGCAAATTGCTTGGCAGCAGAGCATCAGCCTCTTGCCAGTTTTGTAAGGCACTGTTGAGAGCTGCGTCTCATTGTGCACTTTTCTGTGTGTGCAAATGTTCAAACTTAAGGTGTCAAGTTGTCCTGCGCAGGCCAAACGACAGTTCCCGGCCAGACAGTGGCGGCGAGCAACAACAGGTTTGCAGGATCGGCGATAACTGCAACCACCCCTGTCGCGACCCTTGCCCCGGGACAAACCCTCGCGCCGGGTCAAACACTCACCCCTGGACAAACTCTAGTCCCTGGAGCAACCTTGGCTCCCGGCCAAACTCTTGCCCCGGGACAAACGCTCGTCCCTGGGCAGACAACTGTGCCAGGAGCAACTCTTGCGCCGGGACAAACGCTCGTCCCTGGGCAGACAACTGTGCCAGGAGCAACTCTTGCACCGGGCCAGACTCTTGCTCCTGGGCAGACACTTTCCCCCGGTCAGACAGTGGCACCAGGAGGATTGGCGACAAGGCAGAGCTCGGCTGCGAGCCAGCTTGTGCCGGGGCAAACGGCGGTGCCTGGGGCGACTCTCGCCCCAGGCCAGACGCTGGCTCCGGGGCAGACTCTCGCCCCAGGAGAAACGCTCGCGCCAGGTCAGACGGTGGCGCCAGGAGGATTGGCGACAAGGCCGCTTGTGCCGGGGCAAACCGCGGTGCCCGGGGCGACTCTCGCCCCAGGACAGACGCTGGCTCCGGGGCAGACTCTCGCCCCAGGAGAGACGCTCGCGCCAGGTCAGACGGTGGCGCCAGCTGGCGGGGTAGTCACCCCCATCGGCGGCTCTTCCGGAGCCAAGATTGACCCCAAGACCGGTGAGTCACGTGCCGTTTTTTTTCGAATTAATAATTCGAATCTGACTCTGAGTATCAGGTTTCAGGGACTTGGTTGTCTGTGCCATAGTTTGTAAACACTTCTGGGCCTTTGATATGTAGATGAGCTCTTTCAGGCTCTGGTATGTCAAGACAGGGGTGCAAAAGACAAGCCTGGCTTGTGTATTGAGGGTGTGTGGAGTGTGGGTTTAGGCATCGCTTGCCTTCTACTCCTGAGCCTTCCTCCGGGCTGCCCCAATCTCTGCTTGCCCTGCATGCAACAGGAGCTTTGGCAAACTGCACATTTATGAACTTTAAAAGAGCCTGCAAATTTTCCGGGCAGATTATTTTCTGTGGTCGCCCACACTGCAAATTGTCAAGCAGTGCCGTATGTTTACTGTGCTGAAACAGAATATTTTAGTGTCATTGATATTGTTGCTGTGCATTACACACGCAGGCACTCTGTCGACCATCACGCCTGTGCCAGTGCTGACAGCCGCCCCTGGTTCCACACCTGCACCCACTGCTGTCGCCCTGCGGGGCAGCCAGGCCGCCCTGGCAACCTCTGCGGTACGTCCACCTGTCATCTCTTCCCTTCTGCTCGTGTGCTGCAATGTTTGTACAATGATGGGCTATTTCTGCCGATAGAGGCAAGGTGAGCCTGCAGACAAGCTGTGGGCACAGGCCAGTTATCCTTAACGCTTGTTGGACTTGAAAGATACAAGCAAGATCCAGTCGACTGCGGGCACGGTGCTCAATACTTATCATGAGCACCATGCTATGATAAACATGAAATGTGAACGTTCTCTTTATGCCGGGCCCCGGTTAGCCGGGGGCAGCTGCCAATATGGGAGGGGCATGAATCAGGCAAGGTTCTTTCAAACACATTGGCAGTCGACTGAAGTTCATTCTCTCAATACAACTGACTGAAAGTTTCGTTTTCCATGCAGCTGTCTGGAGCAAACATCCCAGTGGCAACAGTTGCTCCCGGCAGCGAGCAGACAACAGCCCCCAACGGCCTGGCCCTGGTTGGAGGCACAACCGCCGGAGCAAGCGGGGTCCGCACAGAGTCGGCCGCGCAGCTCGCGGCAAACAACCCGGCCGGCAATGTGTTCAAGGACAATGTCAAGACCGCTGCTTCAAACCCGGGTGCGGCAGCCCCTCTTCCTTTCGCCCCCTGTCACCCTGCTTTTTCAGGGGTGACTAAAAAGTTGTTTGTGGCACCTCCTGCCTTTTTAGGGTGGATACACGTACGGTGTATCAAGCATCAAGATTGAGAAGGACATATTGGATCTAGGGTGTAGCACGCATCAAGATTGAGAATTCGCCCACAAATGGCGCCCACAAATGAGGGCTGCTGAAGATGTAATATACATTTGAGCTATGGTTTGGTAATCTCTGTCACAAGTGTTACACAGCTGAGATGTAACATACAGTATATTACATCTCCGGCAGCGCTCATTTGTGGGCGCCTGTGCAAGTAGCAGCGTGCCGTGGTCTTGTGGTGCGTTTTGTCATCTTTGGGGTCAGACGGGGCAAGGCTGTGAGTGGCGCCAACCCATACCGTATTCTTGTGGCCAATATTTTGGAGGATCTGGAAGCCCTTGTGCTCGTTTGGGCTGCGCAATGGTGCATGGCAGGACCTATTTCTGTGCATGATCAGCTTGCTACTTGACGAAAGGAAAGCCGATTTGAACTTGCTCGCATGTGCAGGCCTGGCGGTGCAGCCATCGCTGACTAATCCCCTGGTCAACCAGAACGTGATAAACAACAACAACAATAACAACAACGGCGGCGGGGGCAACAACAACAACAACAATAACAACAACAACGGGGGAGGCATCAACAACAACAACAACAACAATAACAACAACAACGGCGGCTTCGATAACAATGGAGGCAGGTGGTGGGGAAATTCCATCTGGAGAGCGGTCGGTGTTCCGGTGCTCGGCGGCTGGGGAGGCGCCTGGGGCGGCGGCAATGCACCCGGCACCTGGGGAGGAGGTGGGATCCCCAGTTATTAATCATCTCATAAACACCTCTTAAATACCTCATGTGGCCATCTTTTCGATGTTGGGTAGAGGTAGCTGAATTTCAAATTCGAATTTGAATTAAAGTGGTCCTGCTGGGAGGCAAGGTGCGCATGTGAATCACATGCGCCCGGCACCTGGGGAGGAGGTGGGATCCCCTTTAATTATATACCTCTTAAATACCTCGTACGGCGCTCTTCTCGCTTCTATGTACAGGTGGCAGCTGACGCGGAGTTGAGATCCCACGACCATCCCAAATGAAATAAACATTAAATACCTTGTATAGCACTCTTTTCTTTGGTGTGTAAACGTAGCACTTGGGGAGGAGGTGAGGTCAATGTTGTTGAATTCAAATGTGAAACTGAGATTGAAATGGTCCTGCCGAGATGCATCGTGCGCATGTACCAATCATAGCAGAACTGCAAGACGTAGATGGCAGATTGAGCGTTATAGATAGGGACAAAAGGCTGCCTCTCAGTCGGCTACAATGCATACAGCACACGGTTACCGGTTTCTTGTGAAGATACACAGTTGCGGGGCTGCTTAAAAACAAGGCGTGGGAAACAGGGATGCTCAGAGACGGTCCCGGCTCGATTTATAGTCGCATTTATACAGAAGTTGCCACTTGATTTCATCATGATGTCTGTGTGGGTGTGCTTGCAGGCACCGGCGGCGGCATTATCATCAACAATAATAACAACAACAACTATGGATGCGGGACATGTGCGTTTCCACCATATTCCCCTCAATAAACTCTTCCAATCCCCTTTCCCGCCCTGCGAACCCCAATTTGCTGCAGAGATGGGCAGTGACAAGCAGGAGCAGGGAAGTTTTGTCAGTGTTTCTGATCAGCAAGCAGTGTCAGTGATATGTCTCGGATGTAGCCTGCCGTTCTGTGATCAGCAAACAGTGGCAAAGAAGTCTTGGGCTGGTGTCTTGATGGTGTTATGTGCTCTGATGGCTATTTGACAGCTCTACTTCTGTGTGCTGCAGCAGCGCAAAGCAAGTCCTGAGCTGTTGTCTTGGTGGTGTTCTGTGCTCATCGAGCGCCCTCTGACATGTCTTCTCCTGTGTGCTGCGCAGTCAACAACAACAATAACAACAACAACAACGCTGCCCCCGGTTCGATCATTATCAACAACAACAACAATAACAATTTTGGCGGCAATTGCGGAGGTGCGCTTATCAGCTTACTACATGCTAAAGATAATGTATGTTGGTTGCTACTGGAGTTTCTTTGTGCTCTACTTGACATGAAAGTCCGAATGGGTCGTGACAAAATAGGCAGTGTGCCACTAAGCGTGCCAGAGACTTATAGCAGTGAGATGCCTCGATATGTCAGCTTTGCATCCGCCAAGCCCGGGGAAAAGGGCAGCCTTGCATTATATTCACATCCTGTCACATGCAGAGCAACTGATAATGTTGATGGTTGTCCCCTGGGCAGGATACAACGGCGGCTACTACGGATCTGGCTACAACCCATGTGAGCA